TGTAAGAGATGATCGGGTCATCTGCTGCAAAATGCCTTTGCAGCTTCTTGCAGTGGTGCCACCCCCGGTGGGGTGCAGTGGCCCCACAGCAACACCTCCGTGGAACTCGCTTTGGTTACTACTGAAGTCCATGTGTTTCCTGGAATGCAGAGAGGTCTTCGCAAAAGGAAGCAAAAGGTGGATGTCTTGTTGGAGGCGAAGGCAGGCACTTTGCAGTGGTGAGGGAGACCCAAGAGGCAGAGGAGTTCCTGGACATGCTGGAGCATGGGAGCTGGAGCTTGTCGCGGAAACCAGCCCCAGCAGCTAGTCAGTACACACAGGGGCTTTCCCAGGTTCCCCACATATGTTCTCTCCTTACCTTGCCTGAGTTTTTTTTTTTTTTCTTAAGATTTATTTACTTTTTATTAGAAAATAGGATATGCTTAGAGGAGGAGAGACAAAGAGGAAGATCTTCTGTCCATTGATTCACTCCCGAAGTGGCCACAATGGCCGGAGCTAAGCCAATCCGAAGCCAGGAGCTTCTTCTGGGTCTCCCATGCGTGTGCAGGGTCCCAAGGCTTTGGGCCATCCTTTCTGCTTTCCCAGGCCACAAGAAGGGAGCTGGATGGGAAGCAGGACCGCTGGGATTAGAACTGGTGCCCATATGGGATCCCGGCACATGCAAGGCAAGGATTTTAGCTGCTAGGCTACCACGCTGGGCCCCTGAGTTGTGTTTTTAACAATGGGAAATCCAGGCGAATTCTTAATGCTTATGATACTAAGTGAAAGTATTGATGGATTGTTGACTTTAGTAAAATAGTCCCGTTTCCTTTTTCTCCTTTTTAAAAAATCAGTTATGGGGCCCGGCGCGGTGGCGCAAGTGGTTAAAGGTCCTCGCCTTGCACGCCCGGGATCCCATATGGGCGCCGGTTCTAATCCCGCCAGCCCCGCTTCCCTTCCAGCTCCCTGCCTGTGGCCTGGGGAAGCAGTTGAGGACGGCCCAAAGCTTTGGGAACCTGCGCCCGCGTGGGAGACCCGGAAGAGGCTCCTGACTTCGGATCGGCATAGTATCGGCCCGTTGCGCTCACTTGGGGAGTGAATCATCGGACGGAAGATCTTCCTCTCTGTCTCTCCTCTCTGTATATCCGCCTTTCCAATGAAAAAATAATAAAAATAAATCTTTAAAAAAAAATCAGTTATGGAAGTATAATTTACATACAATAAAAAGTAATTTATGAGTTTTGGTAGTGTCGTCCCCAAACAGGCTACTGTGTTCCACTTATGTGCTTATACCCTGAAGAAAGCAGCACGCTGGGAAGGGGAGAAGGGTCCTCAGTAGTGGGTGCCAGAGTGGCAGGCTGACCCGGGAAGGAGCATGTTCGGCTTAATGTTCCTGGACACTTTATGTAGACCAGTTCTCTCCTGCTGTGCCTTACTCTAGACCACAGATGAGTGTTCCTTTTTAAATTCTTTGTATTTTAGTTTTATTTAGTTCAAAAACAAAAGACACAGAAATCTCCCAACTGCTGTTTCCTTCTCAAGTGCCTGTGGCAGCCAGAGGTGGGCCCGGAGCTTAACCCTGGTCTCCCCTGTGGTCTCCCCTGTGGGGAGCAGGAGTCTAAGCCATTACCTGCTGCTTCCCAAGGTGCACATTAGAGGGGAGCTAGGATTTGAACCCAAGGACTCCACTGTGCAGGCATCCCACGCAGCAGCTTAACTGCTGTGCCAAACTCCTGCCCTGATCTGTTTTCTGTTGCTCTGAGTTCCTTTTCTGTGGTGTTTCTGGTAAATGGGTCCAACTCTGTGTGATGGTTTATAGCCAGCTTCTTTGATATAGCACAGCACTTTTCCCTCCCGTGCGTGTATTCCAGTGCATTACTAGTTCCTCCTTCCCTCTCTTCCTATTTGAGAGACACCAACAGAGTTCCCCTCTGCTGATTGACTCCTCAAATGCCCAGAATGAGCAGAGCTGGGCCGAGGCTAGAACCAGGGGCCAGGAACGCCAGCCAGGTCTCCCATAGCCATGGCAGGAACACAAGGACTTGAGCCATCATTGCTGCCTCTTGGGGTCTGCGTTAGTGGGAAGCTGGGAGCAGGAGCCAGGACTTGGGGCTTGCACCCAAGCATTCCAGTGTGGGACTCAGCCATCTTAACCCCCTAAGCTAAGCACTCACTTCTGTTCCCTTTTGTTGTCCAGGAGTATTCCATTGTATGACTAGACCCATGATTTCTAGGTTCATTCAGTATTTGTGGACTTCCAGATTGTTTCCAGTTTGGGGCTAATTGTAAAAAGTGGTTATGTATATTTATATGCTCATCTATGTGGACATAAACTCCTGGGCGGTTTTGTAGAAGTGGGATTGCCGAGTCATCCGGTAACTATTTATGTCTAAGAAACTGGCAAGAAGCTTTAAGGTACCGTGAGGTTTTCCATTCTCAGGCTGTGTGACTTCCAGTTGTTCTGTATCCTCACTGTTCACTCTTAAAATTGTAGACACTCCAGATTCCAGCACCATGGCTCTGTGGTTAAATCCTTGCCTTGCACACACTGGGATCCCATATGGGCGTCGGTTTATATCCCGGCTGCTCCACTTCTCTTCAAATCGCTGCTTGTGACCTGGGAAAGCAGTGAAGGATGACCAAGTCCTTGGGACTCTGCACTCGCTTGGGAGACTTGGTATATGTTCCTAGTTCCTGGCTTTGGATTGGCTAAGCTCTGGCCATTGCAACCATCTTAGAAGAACTTGGAAGAACTTTCCTTGCTGGCTCTTCTCTTTGTACATCTGCCTTTCTAATTTAAAAATTTATATATATACATATATAATTATTTTTTTTTAAAGCTGTAAACACTCTAGTGAAGAAACAGTGGTGTCCAGCTATGGTCATCTTAGTATGAATTAACTGACAATGTTTAAGCATCTTTTCCTCTTGGTATTGACCATACTTAACGAACTATCTAGGGGTCAATGTAATGGCCTAACTGGCTAATCTTCCACCTTCAAGTGCCAGCATCCCATATGGGTACTAGTTCGTATCCCAGCTGATTCACTTCCACCCAGCTCCCTGCTTATGGCCTGGGAAACAGCAAATGATGACCCAAGTCCTTGGGCCCCAGTATGTGTGTGGGGAGATCCATAAGAACCTCCTGGCTCCTGGGTTCAGGCTTCAGATCAGCTCAGCTCCAGCTGTTGGGGCCATTTGGGGAGTGAATCAGCAGAGGGATGATCTTTCTCTGTGTCTCTTTCTGTAAATCTGCCTTTCCAATAAAGATTGGTTTCCAATAAAGGCAGAAACCGGGAGCTTCTTCTGGGTCTCCCACTCAGGTACAGGGTCCCAAGGCAAAGAGCTATCTGTTCAAGACTTTTATCTGTTTTTTAAATTATTTGTCTTAATATGGAACTATACATTTTCTATATGTAGTCATCCACCACATCATGTGTTTTACAACTATTCAAGCCACAAGCTGTGACTTTTCATTTTCTTCATGATGTCTTTTGAAAAACAGAAGCTGAAGTTTTTGATGAAATCCAGTTTAGCAGGCCTGGCGCAATGGCTCAATTGGCTGATCCTCCTCCTGCAAGCACCAGGATCCCATATGGCTGCCAATTTGTGTCCAGGCTGCTCCATTTCTCATCAGGCTCCCTTCTTGTGGCCTGGGAAAGCAGTGGAGTGTGACCCAAAGTCCTACACCCACATGAGAGACCTTGCAGAAGCTCCTGGCTACTGGCTTCAGAGCAGTGTGGCTGCAGCCAATGCAGCCTTTTGGGGAAAGATGAAGGATCTTTCAGTATTTCCTTCTCAGTAAATATGCCTTTCTAATTAAAAAGAAAATCTTTTTCAAAAATTCCATCTTATCATTTTTAATTTTATGGTTCATGCTGTTTTAACTCTACCTAAGATATCTTTATCTAACTTCTGAAAGATTTTCTCCTGTTTGAGAAGTTTTGTGTTCTCAACCCAGCCATTTGGATCTGTAATCTACTTGGAGTTAATTTTTATATATGGTGTGAAACCAGGATATAGAGTCACTTTTTAAAATTCTCCCGTCCCTATTAAGTTACTGTGGCACCTTTGTGGAGATTCAGTTGACCATGTGTGTGCTCTATTTCTAAATTCTGTTGTGTCCAGTTGATTTGTACCTGTATCCTTACGTCTGCAACACAGTTTTCCTGTTAGAGACACAGCTTTCTGAAGCCGAATGGTGTGAGTTGTTCCAGCTCTAGATTCCTCTTGGTGTTACCCTGGCTAGTTGAGTGTTGACCATTTCCCAGTAAATCTGAGAACCAACCTGTGGGTGTCCTCCAAGGCCGCCTGTGGCTCCTGACTCTTCATGTGGTGAATGATGGGGGTGTTCCACTCGGCTCAGGCCTCGAGGACAGCATTCCTGACCAGCACTGATGGCTTCGTTTCACAGAATCTTGACTTTGGTCTCTTAATGTCTCTTAGTAAGAAAGGTGAACTGTGTTTGCCTCAACTTCCTTTCCCTTTCCGTGCTGCCAGCTGAGTGCTCAGTGTGGTGACAACTAGCAGATGGTCAATGTTTTCTCCTTCTCTAAAACAGTTATAGGAGCTAGCTCCTAGACATGCATAAAACTGTTTCATAAGATCACATCATTTTATTTCATTATTTTGAATGTTATTGCCATGCTCAGGTTTCCTTTGACTTGAGTGAATTTCTCATTTCCTGCTAAATTGTTCATATTTTCAAATCTTCTCACTAGAGCTGGATGTAGTAAAGTTTCTGGTCACATTCCGAACAGTCGGGGGGCGTGGTGGGTCTCAGTAATTTTATGAATAGTTTTTCGTTTTATCATGTTGTAGTCCAGGAAGGTAGACTGTCCAATTTGTTCTTTTTAAGTTTATTGATGCTTGTCTTTTTCTTTTTTTTAAATGGAGGCAAAGTGTAAGATCAACTTTTATGGCCAATTCACGGATACTTAACAGGGCATGTTGTCTTAATATTGTATTACACAGTGTTCATACCATCCATATCCTAACTTAGTTTTTTTACCTATTTTCAGGGAAAGTTCATTCGCATCAACTTCGACGTAACTGGCTATATCGTTGGGGCCAACATTGAAACCTGTATCCATTTCCACAGTCCCGTAACCCAAGGAGAAGAACGGTTTCCTCTTCCCCAGCCACTGAGCAGCTCCCTGTGGCGTCACCTCTGTTGTCCTGACGGACGGCAGAGCCCAAGCCCAGAGATAACCGTGACATTCACTGAACCAAAATGGTGCTGTTTGTTGCTGGTCCCATGCTGTTCCCATGCCTAGGGAGGTGGAGGGCCCCACCAGTGTTCATGTGTATGGAACCAGGACATTTAGATAGCATAGTGGGCAGCTGCTCATGAGCCATTGTAACATGTATTTGTTTTCTGGCCATCTCCTTGTGATGTGAACAACCTGAGCATGAACTCAGCGATGCAAGCCGTACGAAGCCATTTCTGCTGTGGGCTAGACGTGACGGGTGTCCTCCTGGCTACAGCACGTATAGCTAGTGGGGCATGAAAGAAGTGATTCTGGCCCATGGCATACCAATCAGAGAGGGATGCCAATAGCAGTTCTGAGTTGTTAGAATAGTCTCCAGTGATCAAAGTGCACTGATTCCCTCCCTTGGTGAGGAGGTAAAGCAGTGTTTCCTGTCAATGATGAACACTGGTGGGGTTTTTTTTTTTGTAATCAGCCAACAGTCAGAAATTTCACAAATGTGTACTTCTGATGAACACCCTTTGATGTCTCAGAGCCATTAAAAGGGAGACTAACAGAGAATGACTCTCAGGTTTAACTGTCTTCCCAGTCATCTGTTCTGGCATTCTTAGTCTGAATGTGAATGTCACTCATCACGCAGGGGATGTCAGGGATGGTTGTAAGCAGATTCAGTAGCCGTTCCAGGAGTCCTGGGGCCTGTCCAAAGCCACCTCAGCCCCAGGCACCCCGAAGGGTGTGCAGTTGTTGGGGTGCTCGGCTTGCCTGCCTGGTCCTAGGGAACGTGCTCACAGCAAGTTCTGGGTGCTGGCCATAGCCTTGGGGAAGCCAGTGGTGACTGATGGCAACTGTCACCTCACCACAGCTGATGGCAAGGCATTTGGTAGTTGCCTACCCATCCACAGTGAACACAACAGAGCCACCCCAGCATCCAAGGACTTGGAACCAAGTGGATTCTCTAGGGAGCAGAGTGGCCAGGTTTGGGCTCCTGACTCCACCGGCTGATTGTTCTCTAGGCTGGCTTTGTGTGCCATGGTCTCTCTGTGTGTAACCCTGTGGCTAGGGCTCTGGTATGATAGAGCTTCTCTCGTCTGAGACAACTATTGCACTCACTCCTCTCAGTTCTCTGCAGGGTGCTGTGCTCTTTAAATCTGATGCAAGGTAAGGGGGAGGGAAGTCCCCTGGCAGACCAGTGATTCCAGAAGGCTAATGGGAAAGATTTTACGTATATTATCTCACATACAAAATGGTCTCATTTAGAATAGATCATTGCAGGATATTTAATATATGTCAACGAAAGGAAATGTTTTACCAGTGAAATTGGTGCAGACAGTGAAGGATGGCCTCCTTTTAAATGATTTAATCCTTAACCATCTTTGCCCAGACCTTCTAGAAAAGTCTCGTGCTGTTCGTCAGGCAAAAGACGAGCGGACTTTCCATATCTTCTATCAGCTGTTATCCGGAGCAGGAGAGCACCTCAAGTGTACGTTACAAAGGTTTTCGCTGTTTTGTATTTGTTGCTGTTTGTTTCGGTGTGAGTGTGTGTGTGTGTGTGTGTGTGTGTGTGTGTGTGAGAGAGAGAGAGAGAGAGAGAGAGAGAGAGAGAGAGAGAGCAAGCAGTTTTGGGAAACAGTAGTTTGAAATATGCACACCAAATTTCTTGCTGGTTAAAACAAAATTGAACTTCCAGAGAGATAAGTGCTTTCTCCCAAGTGGCAGGCACATGGATGTCATTGTAGTATCTTTTGAAGTTTTCTTTTTCTTTTTTTTGCATTTTAAAGCATTTGTTTATTTTTGTTTGTTTGCAGCTTGTGTCTAGGTTTTTGCTGCTTTTTTCTTTTTTTTTTAATTTATTTATTTTTATTGCAAAGTCAGATATACAGAGAGGAGGAGAGACAGAGAGAATTATCTTCCATCCAGTGATTCACTCCCCAAGCTGCCGCAATGGCCGGAGCTGTGCCAATCCGAAGCAAGGAGCCAGGAGCCTCTTCCAGGTCTCCCACACGGGTACAGGGTCCCAAGGCTTTGGGCCGTCCTCTACTGCTTTCCCAGGCCACAAGCAGGGAGCTGGATGGGAAGTGGATTAGAACCGGCACCCATATCGGATCCTGGTGCGTTCACGGCAGGGACTTAAGCTGCTAGGCCATGGCGCTGGGCCCTGAAGGTTTTTTCTCTCTCTCTCTTTTTATGGTAATTAGATGACCTGGGATACATTCTTATGTAATTGTTTCAGCATTTTTATAAGCTGCAAAATTGAAGAAACAACAACAGCAGAAAAACTTATATAGTCAAATAACTAGAATATGTGTTTTTATTCCTAGATTTACAACAAGGTCTGTATTTACTTTGCTTGCACTAGCAGTAAAAAGAGCCTTTAGTGGATTTTATTTATTTATTTTTCATGAATCATAAATTCTGGAAGCTCAGGGCTGGGCAGGATCAAAGGGAGGTTTCTGGCCCGGTCAGAATTCTGCAGTCAGGAGTCTGGGGCAGCAGAGAGGAGGCACATTCTTCTGAGCCTCAGGATGGTTGGCGTTTCTGTGCATTATTGTGTTTGTCACCCAGACGTCACAGTAGACACATTTACGGTAAGATTTCCCATGTGGACTCTCAGCTTTGGCTGATCATAGGCATCTCTGAAAGTACTAGGCGCAGAACCAATTAGGGGGGGAAAAAAGAGAAAAAGCCCGTAAGGGGAAAAATGAGCCCTGGGCCCGGCAGTTGAAGGTTGTACAGGGTGCAGGGGGCCTGTGCAGGCTTTCAGGCCCCACCGGCTCTGCAGCGTGCTCAGCATGATGGAGGGAGTAAGAACCTCCTGGGAGCTAACTGATGTCTGCTCAAGGGCACTCTCCCCAGAAGGACACATTCTCATCCCTTCATCTGCCCCTTCAGTCCATGCGCTGCGCGGGAGTGTCCCCTGTGACACTCTGTTAGTATACTGCATCTTGCTGTGACACCCGAGAAAGGGCAACCCCTAAGCAGACAACCTTGGAGGAAACACTTCAGGGCCTTTGTAGCGCCCAGGAGCTGCATGGTCCTTCTCCCGCACCTCCCATTATGCATCTGCCTCACACATCAGCTACTGCTACATTAGGAATACAGAAAATGACTTTTTAAAGGCTTGCTTCAGTAGCTGGTTGAAGCATTTCAATCTGAAAACACAGTTTGAGTCTCTGGAGAACTGACATCATTTCCCAGCTATCCTGTTCCAAATAGAATATATATAAGCCATTCTCCTCAAAACCCCCATGGAAGTTTTACATTTGTCCCCTCGTCATTTTCCATATTTGGTGTAGGCGTGTGTGTGTCTGTCTGTCTGTGTACACATGGACGTCCTGAGAGAGAAAGCAGGGACTGGTGAGATGAGTGGCGAGCCCTTTTCCCTGGGATGTTATCCGTTTTGGGGGGCTGCAGGGTGTATCTCGATATGCATGTGGTAATGTGTTCCCTTATGTCTCCTTTTAGCGGACTTGCTCCTGGAAGGGTTTAATAACTACAGATTTCTCTCCAATGGCTACATTCCCATCCCGGGCCAGCAGGACAAAGATAACTTCCAGGAGACCATGGAAGCGATGCACATCATGGGCTTCTCTCACGAAGAGATTCTGTGTAAGTGACCCCCTCTCCTGTCATGAGACTCAGAGAAAGTCGGGGTAAACAGTCGAAAAGGGTCAGGAAGCCAATCAGAACTGCTTGTGGGGTTATGAAGCCCTGAGATGTTGCCCAACTGGGAGATTTTGCAGAGCTCATCTTTACCACCAAGTTAATTGGAGCATATCTCTGCTGTGCTTTGATAAGCACTTGTATTGACTTTGTTTTTTTCTTTTGGTCACTCCAAAGCAATGCTCAAAGTAGTGTCCTCAGTGCTGCAGTTTGGAAATATTTCTTTCAAAAAGGAGAGAAATACTGATCAAGCTTCCATGCCGGAGAATACAGGTAAACTGAGACACACGGGTTTCGTTTCCCATTTCAGTGGCTTGTTGTGTTATGTGTGGGTGCAAAAGTCCCTCTGCATGTTTTCTAAGAGCCTCAGTAGTGTGGCAGCACCACAGGCTTGCCCAGGGCCTCCCGGGCTCTTGGAGTGGGGTTGGGGAAGGTGGGGCACAGGGAGGAAGTGGTGGCTCTGCTGCCTTCTCCTGCTGGGGGTGGGAATTGGGGAGTAGGGAATTGAACCCCAGGAGGTCTCATGGCCACCTACCTGCAAGGGTGCTGTAGGTGCTGAATTTTTGCCTTACCAGAAATACGGACCTAGCATTTATATATGAGTACAATTGTTTTTCTCAAGGATTGAAATCTAGACTGATTCTCTTGTTATTTTATATTGATTTTCATTTTGTCAGACAGAAAGATAGAGGGAGGCAGAAGTGTCTCTCCAAATGCCTGCTGTGGCTGAGGCTAAGCCCGGGCTGCACACAGGAACCTTGAGCACAATTTGGGTCTCCCCTGGGGGGTGGCAGGGACCCAGGCTGCTCCTCTTCCCCCCCACATCCTGCCCTGGGTGCACCTGAGCAGGAGGCTGGATCCGAAAGGGAAGAGTTGAGAATTCCTCAGGCTCTCAGGGTGCGGCTGTCCCAAGCTGCTGCTGCTTGCTTCATCAAAAGTCCATTACTTCTGGTATTCATGTGTTGCAAATATAATAGATTTGTAAGCCTTTGAACTGTCAGTTTGCAATTGAAGGCTTGGAAACAGTTCAGGAACCTCCATCACAGCCTGGTATGCTGTGTTGTCCCAGCCAGAGGCTGGCATACCCCACTATGGCCAGAAATGGCTGGCATAATATCCGGCCAGCTGCCTTTCTGCCCTTGAAGTCGTGGCTCTGTTGTGTAAGTAGTTTGAGGCTTGTTAACAGTTCAGCACTGGATGACTTTGGGACCTCCTCCTGTGGTCATCCCCAGAGCAAGTCGTGGCACCTCAGGTCACACAGTCACAGTAGACTGGCTGGCACACGTGCTCACACTCTCCATAGCTTTGCCATCACTAAGACCTCAGGTTCAGGTGGGTGTAAGAATCAGAGTAGGGCTTGGATTAGTTAACTCGGCTTCAAAATCTTAACATGTTCCATAGGCAAGATGGAGCCTATCTCATCAGGTCTTGGTGGGTCACTGTGGACTAACAGAGACTGTGCTATATCTTTGAAAGGATGCAAGGTACTCTTCAGCAGACTTAAAGCTTGACTGGATTTAAGATCCACTTAGTTTGCTTCTTAGTGGAATAATGGTCCCCGGAGTCTTTTAGGTGTTGGGTGACTCTGTTCTGATTAGCTCGTGGGTGGAACCATGATTATGACGGGGCTTTCCCTGGTCCAGTTGCACAGAAACTCTGCCATCTGCTGGGGATGAACGTGATGGAGTTCACTCGGGCCATCCTTACCCCCCGGATCAAGGTCGGCCGGGACTACGTGCAGAAAGCCCAGACCAAAGAGCAGGTAAGTCTGAAGGCCAGCTTGTGTCAAACCACAGGCATGTGGCTTTCTGATTAGCCTGTCTTGGCTAAACCAGGACAAATATTAGCATTGATTCAGTATTTTTCACTCTCTATTATATTGACTCTTTCAAACCATTTTAAATAGTGATTTATGCTAAAGTACATCTGGAACGTCATAGGCCTTCTCCCTGGGAGACTTGTCAGTAGACAGATGTGGGTGCCCTTCAGGGGCCATGATTGCAGAGGGCCACTGCCTCCTTGTCCCTGTGCTGGGGCTAGAGCAACCAGAATACAGGAATTCCATGACCCGCTCTACGGAAGTTTGCAAAAAACAGCGTCAGTAACAGGTAGCCAGGAAGTGAAAGGTGATTCTGTGCCCCCAGCAGGCTGCCTGGGCAAGTGGGGTGCTCAGAACCCTGGGGCCCTGGGCAGCAGTTGTCTTCCATGGGTATCTTCACCACCCTGTAAATTGATCCTCCTAGTTTTATTGTGCTATTGATACCCACTGTTGATGTATAAAATGGAGACATGGCTAACCCCCAAACACCATGGGACTGCTATATAACCATTAAATTCCACTGACTAATGGCCCTCCGAACTTGCTGAGACTGTCTCCAGAATGAAATGCTGATGTTGTCTGATTCCAGGCAGACTTTGCGGTGGAGGCTTTGGCAAAGGCTACCTACGAGCGACTCTTCCGCTGGCTTGTTCACCGCATCAACAAAGCTCTGGATCGGACCAAACGCCAGGGAGCATCTTTCATTGGGATCCTGGATATTGCTGGATTTGAAATTTTTGAGGTATCCTTCCCTGCCTCCCTCCAACTCTCCCTTATTTGTGTTAGTTCTTTTGACAAATAGTAAGGCTTACTATACACACACACACACACACACACACACACACACGCGCGCGCGCGCGCACCAGGTCCATGCACCATGAATATAATGGAAAGCTAAGCCACTGCCATTGTCATAGAGCCTCTTAACAGTGAAAGTCAGGCAGTCCCCAAACTCACAGACATGAATGATGCTGTGATGTGTCGGGAACCAAGGCCATCCTGGTCATCTGGGATGTGAACCAGCCAGTGGAAGGTAGATCTGTTTCTCTTGCTCTCACTCTCTCTCTGGCTTTCAAATAAATAAATGAATCAAAAAAAAAAAAAATCACCTGGAAAGGAGGGGAAACTATAGACTGGTGCTCGCTGGACAGGGTCTCTGCAGCAGGTTGCTCAGCATACTGAAAGAATGATTTTTCTGCGAAGGAATGAGAGACAGTCCTGGAGACCTGCACGGGAGAGAATTTTCCCCGTGTAAGAAGCTGACCCAAGAGAGGGGCGTTGGAGATGTGGTCTGTACTGTGGGCCCAAAGCAGATGTAGAGACTGTGAGGGAGACTGCCATGATGGTAGACCAAGGCAGGAGGGTGGTGGCTTGGCAGGGGAGTCAGGACATGGTAGTGTGTGTGGGGACGGAGAGGGGGCACCATGGGAAGGTAACATCTGCTCACAGGGTTTGATACCCAATGTGGACCCAACTGAATTTGTCCAAACACTGATTTAACCGCAGCATCAGAAAGGTTTTTCAGGGAAATAGATAAATTTGAGGCTCCTTAAAGCTTGTATTTTTTTTTTTAAGATTGATTTATTTATTTGGAAGAATTACAGAGAAAGAGAAATAGAGACAAAGGTTTTCTAGCCCGCTGGTTCACTCCCCAGATGATTACAGTAGCTCTGTGGATGGCAGGAGCCCAAGCACTCGGGCCATATGTGACCAACCGACTTCCCAGGCACATTCATAGGAAGCTGGGTTGGAAGTGGAGCAGCCAGGGCTTGAACCCATGTTCACATGGGATTGCAGGCCACACAAACCTGCTGCCTCATAGTGACAGCCCCCCGAATTTGTATCTTTAAAATTTATTGGAGCATTCATCATGATGGCTCAGTGGCTAAATCCTTGCCTTGCAAGTGCTGGGATCCCATTAGGTGCCAATTCGTGTATCTGCTGCTGCACTTCCCATCCAGCTCCCTGCTTGTGGCCTGGAAAAGTAGTAGAGGACAGCACAAAGCCTTGGGACCCTGTACCCTTGTGGGAGACCCGGAAGAGGCTCCTGGCTCCTGGCTTCAGATCTATCTGCTCAGCTCTGGCCACTGGAGGAGTGAATCAGCAGGTTGAAGATCTGTCTCTCCTTCTCTCTGTAAATCTGATCAGCCTTTCCAATTAAAAGAAAAGATTAATAACAAGAAAAAAATCTTGTTCACTGATTAAATCATTGCCAAGATGCCAGCTGGGCTGAGCCACAGCCAGGAACTCCATCTGAATCCTACATGGGTGGCAGGGGCCTGAGCATTGGAACTGTCAGTACTGCCTCCTAGGGTGTGCAATATGAGGAGACTGAGATGGACAGTAGAGCTGGGACTCGAACCCAGGCCCTCTGATAGGAAATTCATGGCATCCCAGGAGGTGTTTTAACTTCTGGGCCAAACACCTGCCTCTGGATCAACATCATCATACCTGTAGCTGTGAACTATCTCTCTAAACGTAGTTTATCTTGCCTGGTAGACCATAAAGTAAGGGCCAAATACTAAATACTACCTACAGTCAGCATGTTATATTAGCTGCTTTTGGACATTAAATTGTCTTGTTTTAAAATGAACTCTTAAAATTACAAGTCAAGGGCCCAGTGCGGTAACCTGCCGGCTGAAGTCCTCACCTTGAACGCACCAGGATCTGATATGGGCGCCGGTTCTAATCCCAGTGGCCCCACTTCCCATCCAGCTCCTTGGTTGTGACCTGGGAAAGCAGTCAAGGACAGCCCAAGGCCTTGGGAACCTACTACCATGTGGGAGACCCGGAGGAGGCTCCTGGCTTCAGATTTTGTAGCTCCAGCCATTGCAGCCACTTGGGGAGTGAGTTAGTGGTTGGAAGATCTTCCTCTCTGTCTCTCCTCCTCTCTCTCTAGCTGACTTTCTGGACTGTGGTGTAGCAGGTAGAGCCACTGCCTGTGATGTGGGCTTCCTATCTATAGGTCCCAGTTCCAGCTGCACCAGAAATAGACTGAATTACCTAAAAGTAAATGTAAGAAAAGAAGGAAAAGAAGCGCATGATTTAGATGAAGACAACCTTGTTCCTCTTGCACGAGAAGCAGGAGACTGAGCAGAAAGGAATAGACATACCGTGCTGTTGATGGGAAAGTTTAACCCCGTAAAGGTAGAAGCCTTCCCCAAATTTATCTGTAAATTGAAATTTTTGTTTAACAACCTATCAACAGGAGTTTTTTTCTCAAAAAATATTTTTATTTTTCTCCAGTTATAAAGGAGTTATGACTTTTGAATCCACTTACTAATAGGAATATTAAAGGAAAGAGAACTAAGCAGTCTTCTAGAACAAATTTAGGAAATACTTAAAAAAAAAAAAACCCATAAGGTTCTGGAAAAGAAGTAAGAGTAGTGTTAACATATGTAAAGCATCAAGTTGGTTTTTAGCTTCTGCGTGTGGAAACAGAGAGGGGTGTGTAGCTGCTGAAGATCTAGAGTTGTTGATGTAGTAGTGTCCCCCATTGGTGGCCTCGTGCTGCGCGCCCATTATAAAGAGTGGACAGGCCATGGCTTGTGCGGTGTGCTTGTTACTAGAAGGAAGGTCGGTGCTGAGCCAGGCGCTGCCCCAGCTCTCCCAGCACGACCTGATTATGAGATAGCAACTCGGGATGTGGGAGACGCAAAATAGCGAGTAGCCTTTTCAGGCTGTAAATCTATTCCTCAGAGAGTGCTTGAATCCTCTCTAATTGAAAATCACTTGTTATAATGAGAAGGTTATTTATGGGCACATGCTAGTCCTGGGAACCATGTGGAAGCAGAGAAAAGATTGAGCACGTCTGCTATGTAGGATGCCTATTTAAGAAAATGGACCCAGTTGTAATTCATCTGTCTAACCACTTAGTCATTCGCACAATAGAAAAAGTAGGCGGGGTTCACGGTGCAGGAACAGCAGTGGGGGTGACGCGGAAGATACCCAGGCCTCTGTGAGTGCCACACAGTCATGAGCAGAGGTTGAATGTTGGGTAAGAGAAGGGGAAGCCCAGTGCCCCCCACGCCTGGGTGCTGTCACGTGTCTGCAGTGCTGGGCTCCCAGAAGTAGCACCTCCAGCTGGGTCTCGGGTCCTGCTTTCCCCACTTATCCCCTTTAGCAGGGAGCTGGGACAGAAACCCCTAGACCTCTCCCACTGCACTTACACCCAAGCCTCTACCTCCCCATGTCTCCTTGGTTTTCTTGTTTTTCTCTGTGTCTCCAGGTATGTTGCTAAAACACTCACTAATAAGACCTGAGTTGCTTTCTTTGAAGATTCATCAGTTAGCATACTAAGCTGTTTATTTCCTCATTTCAGCAGTTCAGCAGTGGCATCCCTAATGGTGTGCTTCCCCACTCTCTGCCCAAAAGACTGTGTCTGTGTGTGTGTGTGAGAGAGAGAGAGAGAGAGAGACACCGAGACCTGAGACCCTGTGAGGTTTAGTCATTGTCCTTGAATGTAATCAGCACTGCTGTTGATGATATCTAACCAATCATTTAGTGACGTTCTTGGCTCCCCAGACAGCTAATCATCCCTGTCTCCCCTCCCCTCTTCCCTGCCTTCTTCCATTGGCAGCTGAACTCCTTTGAGCAGCTGTGCATCAACTACACCAATGAGAAGCTGCAGCAGCTCTTCAACCACACCATGTTCATCCTGGAGCAGGAGGAGTACCAGCGCGAGGGCATCGAGTGGAACTTCATCGACTTCGGCCTCGACCTGCAGCCCTGCATCGACCTCATCGAGAGACCGGTGAGGGCACCAGCTGGCTGGCCAGCCGTCAGCTCCTGGCGGCTTCCACAGCCCTTCCCTCCACACCATGGCCTTTTCTAGATGGCGTAATCCAAGGCAGAAATTGTCCAGTCTCAGTAATCTAATCTCAATCTCCAAAACTAAAATTTAAAAAACATACTTGGGCAAATACATATAAATCAGGAATTGGAACAGTCCGCACCAGGACTTGGCATGATTATCCACCGCGGCATCCGGGCTCCTTGTGCCCACGTGTTTGTGGTGTGCTGGGTGTGCTGCCCTTCCAGGGTGGGTGACTGTGTTGTTGCAGTGCTGACGAGGAGGGAGGAGAGCTCGCAGCAGGCTCGAGGTGGGCCTGTGTAGGAGTAGTCAGAGTGCAGCACTTCCAGACAGAAAGTGACTCCCCCCAGTGCTTTCTTGGGGCCTTTAAGGCAAACAGCTGTGTGGCCCATCAGTGACCCTTCTGAATATTCATTTTCCTTGGAAAAGGGCTCAGCATTTCAACCTAAATGCTTAACTCACAGCAAAAATAGCTGAGGGACCACAGAAGGGGTCTGAGGCATACCTTTTCAGTTATTTTCCACATATTAAGCACAAATACTCTTCAGTTAGAATAAAATAAAAAAGCAAAAAGGTATGAACTCCCTGACTGTTCAGTGCTGGTCTGGAAATGTAGATGGGTTTGCAGTGTGGTCCTAGTCCCCAGGGACCCGAGAGCAGAGTGAGTCCCAGCCCAGGGTTCAGGGAAGGCCAAGGCCATGGTCAGCTCAGGTTGATGCTTTAACAGTTAACTGTGTGACAGTGTAGAGGATGCAGCGCTCACAGGTGTCAGTTACCTGTGACTCCCTTTCCTGTCCCTCCCCACTTGGCATCTCCCTCCGTCCTTGTCCCTTCCTAGCCCTGACACTCCTGGGCTGTTTCCCTGGCACTGGAGTCCCCAGCCTGAGGAGTCGTCACTTGAGGACAGGCAGAGAGGGAGGAAGAGGAGGAATTCAAGATTTAATACGGACTCATCGTTTACTTAACTTTAAGATTAGTCCACCTGGTCATACAAGTATAAAATCTGATGTGAAATATAAAAACAAGCTGTTTAAACCCCTGTGTAAGAATGTGTGGTGGGCGGGAATTTACCTACAGCATAAGGAATGATGCGAGATAATAATTCCATGGATGTTTCTTGCAAAATAGAATGGAGATATTTCTTTTTTCAAAATTTGGTTATTTCACATGAAGGTGTTAGAGATCTTCTGTCCACTGGCATTCCCCCCACTTTGACGGCCAATAATGGCTGTCATTATCAGGCTGTCCCTGCGCCTTGCGGAGAAACTTACACTGGGGTCCTGTATCAGACTTTAGGAATAGTTTTATTTAAAGAGATTAGAAATGTGAAAGTCCTGGTTAAAAAGATGGCCATCTCAATTACCTTAACATTAACACAGAACTTCATTTCCCTGAGCTGCCAGAGGATTGGCATGCATTGCCTGGCCCTCCTCTCTGCACCTTTGCTTGTCTAAGTCTCGTGACTAAAACCTTGTTGTAGCTATTGTTAAGGCCCAAAATAGTGGAAGATTCTTTGATATAGAGGGAGCCGTGGGGGCACGGTGTCGGTTTCAAAGGGGTTTTTTCTACCTGCTGACATTCCAACCAACCAACCATCACTTCTGACCATATTATCCCATTACTTCCTTTTTAATCTAACTTGATAGCCAGTTCTTCCCTATGACAGTGCGTACATGAGAGCCAGCCCTGGAGTTCACCTCCTAAGGCTCAGTGCATGGGCTGCCCTAGAGCTGGAGTGAATTCCTTCTTGTACACACGTTGGCCATGTTCTCAGCGTGGCCGTGTCGAAGCTCCCAGAAGCACTGCAAAGCAGACCCTCCCCATCTGCAGCACTCACCTGGCTTTCACCTCACATTGACCCCCAGGAAGGATGGCCCTGTGAGCACCCGGCCTTCCCCATTCTCATGCCATGAGTCCACTGTTTAAAGTCCAAGTTCAGTGTTTGTATGGTATCCCACAGAGCTCTTCAAACATCACTGCTATCCACCTCTGTGGCTTTCCACTGCTCCAACCCAAGACACCTGGCAGTCTCTTCCACCAGTCAACCTACTTTCTGTCTGTCCAGATCCATCTGGGCCTGTTTTCAATTACCTGACAACTGGGTAGCATAAAGTAGGTTTTAAAATATTTGTTAAAACAAATATTTAAAGCAACTGATGAGATATTTTGTCACTTTTTGAAAAAACTATACCAGACTAGTCTTAAATACTTCAGGTGTGAAGAATGATAGCTTTTACTTAGTTTTCACTAAGAACAGAAGCTTAACTTAAGTAAGGTACTAACTGTATTTTCTTTTTTTAAATCTGGGCCCAGCATGGTAGCCTAACAACTTAAGTCCTCACCTTCCTGCGCCGGGATCCCATATTGGTACCAGTTTGTGTCCCAACAGCCCCAATTCCCATCCAGCTCCCTGCTTGTGGCCTGGGAAAGCAGTGGAAGATGGCCAAAAGCCTTGGGACCCTGCACCCACGTGGGAGACCTGGAGGAAGTACCCGGCTCCTGGCTTCTGTTTGGCTCTACTCCGGCCATTGCGGGCACTTGGGGAGTGAGCCATCAGACGGAAGGTCTTCCTCTCTGTCTCTCTTCCTCTCTGTATATCTCATTTTCTAATAAAAATAAATGCATCTTTAAAAAACAAAAAACCTGTGGAATATTCCACTGATATGAGTTTTATAACAATTGCTCTAGCCAGTTACTGAAGACAAACAATTCCATTTCATTTCTCCACTCCCTTGCCAACTATCTCTGATTCTTCATCTGCTGCTTTAATGGAGCCATGTGCTTGGAATTATTTTACCTACAGTTTGCCTTGTTATACACTTAAGAAATAACTCAGTCACTACTCCATTTTCCTGCTGGTTGTTTGCATGGTGGCAGAGATCCCAGTGGTCTGGGTCTTTGTAGATCTTCATAAACCTTCGCCCCTTAGTTTGGGAGGTAAGGATGCCAAGAACAGTAGGGCTTTTGGATGGGACATGCCAGTCTTATCAGTTGTCACTATTTGTGTTGTCAGGCTAACCCTCCAGGGGTGCTGGCCCTTCTGGATGAAGAGTGCTGGTTCCCCAAAGCCACAGATAAAACCTTTGTGGAGAAGCTGGTCCAAGAACAGGGTTCACACTCCAAGTTCCAGAAGCCTCGGCAGCTGAAAGACAAAGCCGACTTCTGCATCATCCACTACGCAGGGAAGGTGAGTAGCATGTGGAGCAGCTTCCAGTTAGCAAGGGCGCTGACGGGCATCATGTACATGGGTCCTTCAGAAACTTAGAGGAGATGGGAATGAAGAAATGGTGCAAAAAAGATGTTGGGAACCCATGCGTGGTTTTTTCATAAACCATGCTTCCAGCACCTCATGAATTTCTTACAAGTGCATTATTGCCTTTGAGATAGGCCTTTAATTGCCCCCTTTTCCCCCTGATTGTTCAGTGAAAGTTTTTGGTTCAGACTTAAACCAGCTTTTGATTTTGTGTGCTCCGTTCCCCCACATCCGGCTGTGTGGACAGGTGGACTACAAGGCAGACGAGTGGCTGATGAAGAACATGGACCCACTGAACGACAACGTGGCCACCCTCCTGCACCAGTCATCAGACCGATTCGTGGCAGAGCTCTGGAAAGACGGTAAGCTTGTGCTGCCTGTGTTGGTGTCTGGAGCCGAGCTTGCCCAGGAGCTCACGGTCAAGATCATGTGATTCCTGTGCCTGTGAAAAACATCAGAAAGTTCATGGGCAAAAAAAAAAAAAGAAGAAACAATCAAAACGTATTTATTATGGTGCAGAAATTTTGAAATCTGCACATAAGTTTTTCAGTGTACATTCTCCATGAACTTTCTGAAGACTCCACAAATATAAACACAAGCATGTATATATATATTTTAAAAACTTTTTTTTTTAACTTAAAAATCTCTAGAGCAGGGCTGCCATTATGTCAAAATGCATTTATTTCGAGGAAACTTGGGTTGAGAAATGAACAAGACATCTGCCATGGTGGTCAGATGCTATGGGGGGACTATGCAGCCGTTCTGGTCCCAGCACCACGAAGAGCCACATGGATGCCTCAGGCCTCCCCAGCCCCAAGTCAGTCAGAATCCGAGGCCTCGGCAGCTGTTCACATGCCATCTTTCAGTGTCGTGGGCAAGCCTGCCAAGTGCCCCCACACCAGCACAGACACACATGTGTGCACTCACGCACAGCCATGGCTGGTTACCGAACTCTGGAATTCCCTACAAGGAGGCCAGTTGCTTTTATGTTCATCAATCTTCATAAATTTTTTTGTTTAGAGGAAGTTCAGATGAAGATTTGGGGTGTTTTTTCTGTGCTAGTGTAGAGGGCTTGGCTTGTCTGAGCAGAATAAAATATCTGTGTTTTCACATATAGGAAGAGGTTCCTTCTCACCGAGCTCAACTCTCGCTGCTCAGTATCACACCGGTTCTGTTCCACTGCTTGGCTTGCCTGCAGACCATGGAGGACCTCAGCCTTGACCCTGAGTCCAGGCCTCTTGGGAATCCCCTCCTTTTCTGTAGCATCTTACCTGTCTTTGCAGAGGTAGAGGGAGAAAGACACAGGAAGCAGAAAGTAAAGAGTTAGAGCAGCTTGGGCGACAGGAAGGAGCAGGTGAGCAAGGGAAAGCAGGTGACAGAGAGGACAGTGTCCTCCAGGACGGGTGTATGCCTCAGCTCCCAAGGAGCCTGGCGCTGCAGAGCAGGTACCTGCATGCCTGCCTGCGTGCCATGTCCAGCAAGAGCCTGGGCCCGGGACTGTGACGGGAACCTTTGCAGCGAGCCAGGTGGAAGCTGTTTGCCTTTGCCCTTTAGAGACAAGTTTTTCTTGGCTGCCAAGTGTCACTCGCAGCAGTACAGTCTGTTGAGTGGTGCTGCCTGTGTACCAGGTGGAAGAGGCAGGGCTTCTGTTTGAGTTTATTGCCTTCACATTACTGCGAGATATCACATCAGGACCAGGCCATGAGACCCTGGAGTTAGACTGGCAAGAAAGGCAGGTTGGTGCCCACAATGGTAAGACTGATGCTGGGGAGCTGGCAGTGCGGGTGGACATTGCTCCAGACATGGCAGAGTGCTGTCAGTCACAGGCGTTTGCCCTCCCCTGGCACCATGCTGGGCACCACATAGGTCATGGGGTTGCTGTCCTCCTCAGTCCCTCCTGCCACGCCTCCCAGCTCTGTGATAGGAGAGGCCCTAAGGAGCTCCTTAGGGGTGTGCAGAGGATGGGACCTCCTGTCTCCCAGGCGCCAAAGCAAAATGTCACGGAGGAGGAGGCAGTTCTTCCTGTCCTCACTAGTCGTAACTTGTAGATGAGGCAAGGTTGTTAGTCCTGAGCGCCCACCAGGTGCGTTCGAGTCCTGATGCCACGTCGGACATCAGCAAATAGGAATCTTAGTAGGTGCCGGCTCCTCCAGGGCTGAGGGTCTAGGACACCTTCATAGACGACAAGAGGGCATGGGGAAAAAAGAGTGATCCCAAGACAGAAGGGGACAGAGTGACAGAAGGGCTGAAAGTGAAGAGTTGTGTTCCCCTGCTAAGAGGGCAGGCACAAAGCATGGACGGGCAGTGAGATGGCGGGTTAGGTCAAGGCCACGCTGGTGCAGTTGGGCTTTGGACTCGAGGTACAAAGCACAAGAGCACACTCCATCCCTAGAGAAGCAGAATGGGCAAGTGCGCCTGGCCAGTCGTGCCAGGGCTGAGAACGTAGATGTGGGGAGAGCACTGAGCACATGCCGAGGGACAAGGAAGCCTGAGACCTGCTTTGCTCAGTTTGGACAGAGGCAGATAGCTAGGGAAGTGGAGTCCTGGGTTTGCATCCTCACTGTAACATGACAAATCCCTTTTTGAATCTTTTCATAATATCCATTCCCCAAAACCCTGTCCCTCACCATGTGCTTCCCAGAAACACCTGTGAACAGATGGGAAGTGGCTACTGTGGCTGGCGAAGATGAGGGCTAAAGGTCACTACTAGTTGCAGATCACAGAGGGGGTATTAAGAGACACGTCAGAGCCCCTTACCTGCACCAGGTTTCCCGGTTAGCTGTGATGGGAAAGTTGCTTATTTGCCGATAAAGCACTTAGGCCCGTTTGCGTAATCTGAGCCCTGGCCCCACAGCCCATGCACAAACCTCGTCTGTGTAAGGATTCACAGCTTTGGTGTGCTTTGGTCCCTCGTGTTGGACTAGGCTAAGGGCACTCTTACCCAGCCCTCATTTGATGCGACTTGGCTCACCCCTTCCCTGCTAGAATCTTCTGCTTGTGTGACTGTTGGCAGCTAATCTGACCCAGTGGCACTCAGCAGTCACTCCCCATGGTGGGGTTGGTGCAGGCAGGCAGTCAGTCCTGTGTTTGTCTTATGGTAATGACCATGTTGTACACACAGAAGCTGTCAAGAGGGCTCTAGGATGACAATTCCCTCCGTTCACGCTGGATGTGGAGGACTCTTGGCATGAGGGGATCTTTTCCTTAGGAAAAGAAAGTCCTGCAAAAACATGTTATCATATTTCACTCAAATACCAAAGGAGAAACCCCCGAGTTGGCCAGGAATGGATAGCTGGATAGCTGGATAGCAGGAGACAATATTTGCCTAGGAAGGTGCCAGCACCTTGAGTCCAGGATGCTTAGCGTTGGTACCAGTTTGCCATTAGGGTCTTCCTGAGTTCCTCCAGGCCAAGCCAGGGGACTCCGACATAGCGGTGGCAGCCCTGCCCTAGAGGTTCCCATTGCCCTCCTTCCCACTAAAAGATGTCGTTTTGGGATCTCCACCAGCTGGCCACTTCCTAAGGCCTATGTACAGAAACAAACTGCAGAATGCATTTGCCATGTCTCCTGGGGTGTTTTCCCGAGTGACGGTATGATCACCAAGCATCATCCTTCTTACAGCTGGTAGTTATTTTAACCTTGGCTACAGCAGAATTTGAATTTTGTTTTCCTTAATGGCACTTACCTGTCTTGGTAATATGTGTTTGAAGTAAATGGTCTCCAGAATCTGTGTCCGAGGTAAAATTGCACAGCAGTGTGCATTTGGGACCATAAGAGCCGCCAGTGCTTCTTTACCCGAGTACTGTAATATCCTAATCACAAGACATTGCCAAGCCACCCAACTCCACTAGCGCCTTGTTGCCCTTCCACAGCACCCTGCGTTTATGTGAAGTGCCCCACTCAACACGGATGTGACGCCTTGCTCACGCCTGGGGTTGGGACTGATTTAATCAAGAACTCGTGTCTATAAACAGGAATGCTTGCATGGCGCCTGCCCCGGTAGGCCAGTTGCAAAGTTTACTTGTGATGTCAAATGTCTCACACTAACTGAAGTGTTTGTGTATTTGCTCTTCTGTCCTCCTGTTTTCCGCTGTTTCTCTGCTGTAGAGATTCAGAATATTCAGAGAGCTTCTTTCTATGACAGTGTTTCTGGTCTTCATGAGCCACCAGGTGAATGGATAAAGCCTGTGGAGTCTTCCCAAACACGGGTTTTGAGCCCACCTGGAAAAACTCGTGGTGCAGCGGGGTGCGGGGAGGGCAGGGCCATGGGGCGGGGTGTGGCGGGGGCTGGTTTCTGTTCTGTTTTGCTCACAGGCCTGCATGAACCTCTCATTTCATGCTCTGTTTTATTACACTTCAAGGCCACTGTTTGCATCAACAACCTAGTCGCTGCTGCCTCCACATTGCTTCTTAGTTTACGCCTAGCCCTGACAGCACTGCATGGTGAAAGGTGGGCCACTACCTTTTCCAGCGGTGCCATGGTGATGCCCGGTCCTCCCAGAGAGCCGTCAGGAGTCACCTGCTGTGTGCCGCGTCCTGTGTCTCAGAGTCACCTTTAAATCCTTAGTGTCAGGGAATTCTAGGGAGTCAAGTGTGTCTTAAGCCCCAGCAATTTTTGACCAAGTTATTTTCTGTGAATCTCGGGTGTGTGGTCCTTGGTTGGAGTCGGTGTGTCTCTCTGATTACTCAGGCTTGTCTTCGGGACCATCGGCAGTGGACTCACCCATGAGGTTTGGTCCACAGGTCAATGTGAGGGCAGGGAGTGGTGTCCGATTTACGCTCTGAGCGAGAAGTTTAGCTTCGTGATCTGAATCCTTAGCCCCATGCTCAGGTAGTTGTGGCTCAAAGGCCTGCAAAAGCCCCCATGTAAGATGGAAAACCCTCAGTATTCCAGCTGTTGTGTGAAACTGGCAAGCGGCAAGGCTCAACTGAACAAGTCAAGTTTGTCTTCACAAAATTTCCTCTCTGGTTTTTAAGGCATGAGAATGCTGAGAATCTGAATCCAGAGTTAAGGATCCCTGCCAGCCCCAGCCCATATCCTGTGAAAGAGAAAGTAGGAGCAAGGTGCAAGGGGCAACGAGGTGATTGGGCCAGAGACATCATGAGCTGGGGTGAAAATTACACGGCAGTTCTGAGGAGGAACCTCAGAGCTATCTGAAGGCTATCTGGGTATGGCCCTGGGGAGCTGGATGCTGAACGCCACAGGCCCCAGCGCTTCATCTTGGAGACTCTGCCCAAAAGCAGAGCGCTCCCTTGAGTCTGGCTCCCTACAGGGCTTTTGGACTCATTTCCTGAGAGTGCCTCAGCACCTGATGGTGGACTGAGCGGATGGTGTTGGGGGTGGTGTGAGTGTGTGTGTGTGTGTGTATACATACCTGCACACATGTGAAGATGTTATTTAGAGAACGGAGAGGTGCCCACACCTGGTTTTCAGACACAAAGATTTCCTGAACGTCCCTCCATTCCCTCACCTGAGCCACAGCTCACTCTCCCGTGGGACCACAGGCTTAGGAGTATGACCTGGCAGAGCCACTGGCACATGGCTGAGTTGGGAGTGAGCCAAGAGTGGCTCCTTCGCCTCCCATGTGCTTACCTCAATGCTATAGATGTTCCTGGTTCTGTGTCCCAGTGGGGAGCGATGTGGTTGAGTGATTCAGTGCCCAGGTCCTAGCTGCTGCTCCTCCTAGGAGGCTAATCCATCAACACAGACGGACGTCTCCAAAAGGGGTACAGGATTTCAGGATGAAGATGTGGAACATTCATTTTCTCTGATCTCTCAGAGGAAGGTGTAAGAAAACATTTATGGGGATCCAGATTGTGACTGCCTGTGACATGCCAGCAGGCCCTGCAGAGCTGGCAGGCACCCCGTGCTTCCCTGGATCCAGCCACAGAGTTGGAAGCGAAGAGTGGGAGGGCTTTGGAGGATAAAAGCTCAGAGACTGGGGCCAAGAGCCATTTCTGAAGCCACCCACAGGCCCAAGTGCAGAAGAGAAAGGAGCAGGAGGCAGGGTCCAGGAGCCAGACAGGCATCTGCGCCCACGCCAGCACTCCTCTTCCCAACACAAAGGCCTTCAGATAGCTCGGGAAACGTGGATTACGGGAAAACCGCGGAGTCCAGTGATTTTTGTGCCAAAATTAAAAAAAAAAAAAAAAAAAACTTTTGCTTCTCAGTTTCCATGAATGTTTTGAGACAGCTTCATTTTGCTTTGGAAGCCTAGGCTCCTGAGAGAAGCCACCAGTCACAGCAACAAGCAGAATGAGGCAGCCAAGAACTGATGCTATGTCTGAGGGACCAGGGCTGTGAGCATCCTCCAATGCCCACTGAACTCTTTGCCTTTTGCTGTGACACAGGGAAAACACTTCTAAGCTAGCCGCACTGGAAACATAGATGCGAGGGTGTCCTGAGTTCAGAGACAGGGAGCCAGATGTCTTTAGGGCATCCAGCTTCATGTAGAATCCACTTCTGAGACAGGGTAGGTCCAACTGCCCTAGCCTCCACCTGCAGCACCACTGGAGGATTGGTGCTTCAGGTCAGATGCAGGGCATATGCTGGGCTGAATCATCACTGCTTGGAAGTGAGGGTTTCTGCCATTGTCACGGTCCCCCTGGCCCCTTGGTGCTTGTCTCTGGTGTTTGGGCAGTAGTTGTCACTTCGTGGAGAAGCAACATTTGGGTCCCACAGCCGAGCTCCTCGGGACTAGTGGGGAAGGGATGCTCAGTGCCCAGGGTTCCTTTGTACCAAGGCAGAGTGAACCTGTACCTGGCGCTTGGAATGTGCGAGTACCTGTGTCCCCGAGGCTGTGCCTGCAGCTGCTGTCCCTGCAGGCTTGTGGCCCCTGCCGCAACAAGGAGGACAGAGGCCTGAGCTTGTCCAACTGTGTTTTGGCTTCATGTAAATCCACTAGGTTCCTGGTCGGCCAAGGCCTGCTTATGGGCAGTCAGGCTGCCCTGTTCCCTGTCAGAGTTAAGGCACAGGGAGAAGCAAAGGCAATGGAGCTTCCTGGAGGCGGAGAGGAGCAGAGCATGTGCAGGCTTCCCTTAGCCCTGGTGCTTGCTGCAGGCTTCCTCTCCACCTCTGGTCTTCCCACAATTTCCCCAGATACTCTAAAGCAGGAGCGGATTGGTCCTGCCAATCCAGCATCGTGTAAGCATCGGTGTGGAGGGGATGTGATTGGGGCTCTGACATGAGGATGCATTCTGTGTTTCCTTCTGCTTCTACTCTGAGTGTTGGGGTCCTGCTCTGTGCCTCACCAGTGCTGCGCACCAGAAGGCAGCTGTAGACGCTGTAGATCAGCCCAGCTGGCTGTTCCCCTTTCTGGTTCTATCACTATCACCGTGAGTGACTTTCTGGAGTTCTGCAAGTTAAATTTAGTGATGCTGTTGCTTCTCAGCGTATTTTAGCCAAGATCAGGTGTGACTCTCATGGCGCTGGTCTTCTGGCCCTTTAGTGATTTCATGTTGGGGTGGAATACATGGAAATCTCAGACCTGCCTCCCAGATTGTTCCTATGGGAAGCTCAGCTAAGGATCCTGGCTACTGTCCCCAGGGCTTTGTGTACTTTTCTGTGTTGCCCCTCATGCAAATAAGAGATGACACATTGTGTCTTTGTTCTGAACCTGTGAATATGGAGCTCATCTAATGTTTATTTAAATAAATGCTTATAGATTAAGAAATAATGTAAAACGCATTCAATTCCTTGCACACTGCTGGGAAACTAAACAGTAAGAGTGGACACCCACCAGCACCTGGCCAGGCTGCCCTGGCTGCAGGAAGGTGAGCAGGACGGGGCTTCACCCACCCCGCCCCACCCCGCCCCTGCCCTGTATTCCACGCTGTGGCCATTGCCACACAGCACCCTTTGTAAGTGAGGGTTATTCTAGCTAGGCCTTTATGCTTGAGAGAAGTCATATGTGATTTCCAAATCATAAATCATCAAATGAATTTCAGTGTTTTTGTTCATTGATGGACACTAGTCCTGAATCTAAGTTCTTGATTTTTAAAAAAGGTGAAAAACTTTACGTTTTATTTAAGATTTATTTACCTGGAAGGCAGGATTAACAGAGAGGGCGGCTCAGAGGCAGAGACAGATTCTTCACCCACTGTTCTGTTGACTTTCCAAGTCGCTGCAAGCAGCCAGGGCTGGAGCCCAAGCTGAAGCCAGGAACCAGGAGCTGTTCCAGGTCTCCATGCGGGTACAGTTACCTGAGCACTTAGGCCTTCCTCCATTGCTTTCCCAGGCTCGTTAACAGGATCAGAATTAAAGCCATCAGGACTGAATTGGCACCCATATGGGATACCACACTGCAGATAGCAGCTTTACTTTCAATACCACAACACCGGCCCCAGCATTGTGATTTTTGGAAAACCTATGACCGTTACTGAGCACATTCAGACATTAGATTGGTTATGGTTGTATACTTTTGGTGACTGTGTTTCTAGGACCATCTGGACCCACAGTGTCCAACACCGTTGGGCTGAGGTGCCGACTGGATGTCTCCTGTGTGCCAGCTGAGATTGGCTCTGTTGGTAAACTGTTCATTCATTTATTGAGCAGCCGCCATGTGTCAGGGCCCTGGCACAGGGCAGGGAACACGGTAGAATTGTTGGGGGTACAGCTGAGAGTGCAAAGTGTCACAGCCCTGGGGGAATGGGGGTTTCCTTAGCTCCATTTCACAGAGAACACCGAAGCTGTTATTCGAGAGCAGTATGTTTCATCTCGCCCTGCAGCCACATTCACCCTGAGCCTCAATCCCAGTACTGCTGAATTGTCTGGGCCCCATCTGAGGGGATGTGGAGGGCATTAGAGGACATTGATGCTTCGTTTGGTCTTTTAGCTATGACTGCTAAAGACTGGGAGAACAGTGACGGGACGGGAAGGAAGCAATCAGGGCAGCTGCTGGCTCAAGGTCAGATATGGATGGAGCAGACATTGGAGATTTGACGAGATCCATGGGGTCGATGTCACAGCGGGAAAGGGGGGCAAAGAGTCCTCTGACTGCCCCCATTCTGCATGTTGGAGGCCAGCCCCTGCTTCTCTGTGCTCTTAGGTGACCCATGTGGTACCCTTACGGTAACACTGCCGCTAGGACCACAGTGCCCCCAATCGCCTTCCCAGTCCCCACCTCTCTCACTGGCAGCAGGCTGGGCTCCACAGGTTGTCCCCACGTCTCGCCTACACCCAGGTGTCCTCTCTTTGGAGCATCTCTTACTCATTATCTTCCTCCCCCTGCCCAGCCACCCCCATCATTCAAACTGGAGTCCTAGGAGCTACCCTGAAAGCCTCCCTCTGCCTTTCTCTTCCTACCAAGCTCAGTTGTTCTACCACCAAGATGTCTTCTGAGCCGCCTTTGTCCCCAGCCAGCTCCAGTTGCCTGCCCTGTGACACTGGGCCCCTGGATCGTCCTGCCCTGCACCTGACTCTGGGACTCCTGCCTTCCAGGGACAGGAAGGAGCCTACCATTACTTCTACTCCACATCTTCCTGGCCCAGTCTCTGACACACTGTGTGCCAGCTGCAACAATCCACCACTACCACCTCGGTCTTCACTTTCAGCTACTTGGTGGCATTTTTGTAGATCACTAATCACTCCCCTGCCTTTAATGCATATTTCATGTTTATTCCATTCTTTCATTATTGTGCAGATTCCAGGCTTGTTGGGAGCAGAGATTCAAGGATAGGCATTTGACGAGAGTTTGGGAGACTTGGAGGGAAGTGGAGTGGTCTCTTAAAAGCACTGTGGCTTAGAAAAGCAGCGCACCAGCACTGATGCCTGTGTGTTGTCTTACTGCAGACGGATGGAGCTGTTTGAGTCCCCAGTCAGGAGAGGCAGAAGGGAGCTGGCCGAAACACAGGGAGGACAGACGGGCGAAGGGGTTCCCTCAGAGAATAGAGTGGAATCTTTTCCCCCCTCAAAGAGGTATTTTATCTACTTGAAATGCAAAGGTATAGAAAGTATGAGGGAGATCAGTCTTTCATTCATTGGTTCACTCCCATAACTGCCAGGGCTGAGCCAGGCCAAAGCCAGGAGCTTCCTCCTGGTCCCCCACATGGGTACTGGAGCCCACACACTTGCACCATCTTCCACTGCTTTCTCAGGTGCATTAGCAGGGAGCTGGGGAAGTGGAGCACTCAGGACCATTTCCCATATGGGATGCTGGCATCAGAGATATAGGCTTTATCTACCGTGTCCAAGTACCAGCTCTGAGTGGAATCAAGAATGCCATCAGGGTGGGGAGCAGACCAGGACTGAGAAGCACACTGGTCACTAGCTGAGTGATCCAGGCAGGGGTGAGAGACATTGGGATCAATGCCGGTTGGCTGCATGTTGGGAAGTGAACAGAAAGCACGTAGAAAGACAAGGGTGTGAACCACTCAGAAAGGAAGCCAAGCACAGGGCCGAGGGAAGGTTGTGGAGGAGATCAGGCTCGGCAGGTGAGGAAGACAAGACTACAGACTCAGGAAGATGGAGGGTGGGTTCTGGCACGGGAGCACAAGGAACCGTCACAAGCAAGCCCTGGGCCTTGCTGGGAACAGAGTAGAGCAGTGTGTGTGCACCTGGGCCTGCAGGTTTGTCCACCCTCTCTCAGCTCCCACCCAGTCCTTGCAGACCTGGGGTGGTTACCCCTACAATCTGACCTGAACGTGAGGTGATCACGGTGCTAGGTCCCCACATGTGTCAGTCATAGAAAACAAGTCAAAGGGCCTTCGGTCAGTCCAGCTGACGTTCTGACGGCCAGGGCAGTATTTCAGCCACGCATTTCGTTCACTGGCTGCTTTGTTTTCCACAAGAAGACTGCAGCAACAGGTGCCCTGTGGAGAATCACGCACCAGAAGTTGTAGGTGTGCGTGGGTATGAGGTGGAAAGGGGCGGAGCGGTGACCAGTGTGCATGGAGGAGTCCTCCTGCTCCGTGTTCTAGCTGTTTCCTGGGTGCTCTTCATGCTTTGAGGCAAGAGCCACGGCTCACACAGGGCCCCACGCCTGCTCCTGCTATGCTGTAGTCCCTCTGCATCAGTGCCTGCAGCCAGAGTGATTTTCATGACCCCCAATCTCATGGCTAATGCGAGATGACGCGGTCCCTGTCCCCTGGGCGTGCTTATCAGGAGCATCTGTGCCATTGGATGTTGCCACCAGTGTCCCGTGAGCCTTTTCCTGAGACTTGTCTCGCAGGGTCAGTGTGGGTACCATTGATGCCAGCCCCGCCCTCCGTTTTTCTGAAGAACCGCGGTGCAGCAGGCAGGAGGCATGGTCCCAGACAGCGAGCTCCTGGCACTGGCGCAGCAGAAGGCAGCTGCTGGGGGCGTGGCTGGCAGTGGCCAGAGCACTGTGGTCCCCTGCCATATAAGTGTGTGGCTGTTGGCTCCACGGCTTGCGCGGTGTTGCCCTGTGCTGACCGCCTTACTATATGGCAGCTCTTCCCATCCGTCGCACTAAGCTTGTGCTGCTGCACCGTTCCTGTGTGGTCCCTGCCCCACGAGGGCGGCCAGCCCACCTCATCACCCCGTCACCCCCTCTCCCTCCACAGTGGACCGCATCGTGGGTCTGGATCAAGTCACTGGGATGACGGAGACGGCCTTTGGCTCCGCATACAAGACCAAGAAGGGCATGTTCCGCACCGTGGGGCAGCTCTACAAGGAGTCCCTCACCAAGCTAATGGCCACTCTCCGGAACACCAACCCCAACTTTGTACGCTGCATCATCCCCAATCACGAGAAGCGGGTACGTGCCAAGACAGGCCCATGTGGGCGTCCCAGGCTGCTTCCAGGCACGACGTAGGGATTGAACTCAGAGCTTGCCCTTTGCTTGTGTAGGCCGGGAAGCTGGACCCCCACCTGGTGCTTGACCAGCTCCGCTGCAACGGCGTCCTGGAGGGGATCCGCATCTGTCGCCAGGGCTTCCCCAACCGCATTGTCTTCCAGGAGTTCCGGCAAAGGTACCCACTCGTCCCCTCCTCCCTGTGCCGCCCCAGTGTGAATGCAGTGTGAGGTTCAGGTCAGATGAGGCCACGTCTGTCCTTGTCGCCCTCACCCCTGGCAACCCACACAGGGGTTGGAGCTGCTGTAGGTGTGGTACACACATCCCGCGTGGTGTGTGGTGAGGACCTAGAGCCAGCCGGGGGTGGAGAAGGCTGTTAGCCTTGAATCTCCTCCGTCCAGCTGGCTGACCTGGGACTCACTGCTGGTTTCTAAAGGCAGTTATTTTTAATAGATGAGTGATCTTCAGATGCTCCTTCTTGGAAGGACAGAGCATATGGGAGAAGTAGCAAGTCAGGGAGGTGATGGGGGAGTGGTACCGACAGCCCTGGGGAAATCTGTGTTCACACCTCCTCGGCAGTGTGTGTGCACGTGGGTGCTGTCAGTCCTTTGAAACGCAGAAGGGAAAAGGATGGATCAGGAAGGGCCTGACAGAAGAGGAAGGGGGGAAAGTTTAATCAGTCCACAACAGAAGTGTGAACATTCGCTGAGAAATTGTATCAGAACTTTGTTCTGTAATTTTGATTAGCAATTGATTGTGCTGGCTTCTTAGATTGTCAAGTGCAGCAGCACCTGTTGGTCTGAAATTAGTAAGGCTGTCGGACCAGGAAACAGTAGTCTTGGGCCACCCGTTTTCATAGTAGTAAAACTGCCTGACCCGGTTGGGACGTACAGGCAGTGAGGCATGCAAACCCTGAGCTACAGTAAGATGTGTGCTCTCTTGCGTGTCCTCCCCACCACCCGCTTTTCCCAATCTAACAATTCCTGCTCCCTGAGGAACGGCCCCCACTTACAGGACCAGAATGCTCCCGGGGCCAGTCTCCTGTGTCTTAGGATGTGACTATTCTGTGGGGACAAAAGGGTTCCCAGTGCCCTGTTTTTGGTTTCTTCGCTGCGGCCTCTTCAAACACCGCCTGTGACCTGGAGCCTGAACCTTACTTTGACTCTGCTTCTCGTAAGAAGCAGAAACTGGGTCTGTGGAGAACCCTCCGACGGTGGCCTACCTGTGCACCACGCTGACCTGAACACACACAGCCTATCGTTTGATCGTGTCTGAGAACAAAACTTACAGTGAGCAGATGAGCAGGGTCACGGGTTTCTACAGAAACTCTGCTTCTCTTCCAGATATGAGATCCTCACTCCAAATGCTATTCCCAAGGGCTTCATGGATGGCAAGCAGGCCTGTGAGCGGATGGTAAGCTTGTCTGGGCTTTTTCTTTCTCTGGGTTCTAGAATATCAACGCCGTCCTCCCCCCAGCAGGAAACTAAAGAGACATTCTTCTCTCTTAGATCCGGGCTTTGGAACTGGACCCAAACTTATATCGAATTGGACAGAGCAAGATATTTTTCAGAGCTGGTGTGCTGGCTCACTTAGAGGAAGAAAGGGATTTAAAAATCACCGACATCATCATCTTCTTCCAGGCTGTGTGCAGAGGTTACCTCGCCCGGAAGTAAGTGGGTGGGGCTGCAAGTCGCTGTCCTTAGGGAAACTATATTCTCATGGGAGGGACAGCAAACAAGCAGGCAAACATTCTAAAGTGCAATGACACGTTGCAACACGGCAACACACAAGACCTGACCCCGAGGGGTTTGGAATCCCCAGAGAAGGCACATGGTGGAGCTGCAAGAAGGGCAGGAGAGGCCCGGCAGCAGACACACAGCAGCCTTGGGAACCACAGCAGAGCAACTCCACAGGGTCGTTTCGACCTCACTGGCTGCCCCATGCCCAGTGGAGGGTGGGATCAGCGGGAGTCTGTAGCAGGTTGGCACAGAGGAGGACAGTGATGGTGCCCAGCAAATCGCACAGGAGAGTGGTCGGCTGAGGGTGGGGCTGGTGTGGATTGCAAGGATTATTCTTGGAGTTTTCCATACTTCTTCCCACCAGAGTTAGGAATTGGGAAGGAGAGATCTGAAGTGGAGGGAGGGGACAATGGGCTGGCCTTGCAGACACTCCCAGTGAACGCTAGAAACCCCTGCCCTGGCAGCTATTCCCTCACAATGGAGGTTGGAGAACTGCTGTCTGCTTGCCCAGACTCTGGAGGCCCCAGGGTTTCCACGTGCGTGAGGTGGAATGGCAAGGTCAGGCTGGAAAACTGAAGCCGAGTGGCTGTTGTCCTCAGCGGTGGGCAGAAGGAGCCACAGGCCTTGGGTTTGTGTTCCTGGGTGCTAAAGCATGCTTGGATAGTAAAGGGGGCCCCTGGTGGCAAGGCGGGTCTCGCTGTGATCGCCCAGCCTGGCCTAGGGAGAGAGGATGGCAGATGCCTCTCAGCTTCCCAGAGTCCAGGGAAAGTTTACAATAGGCAGAAACTGACGACAGCTGTCAGGTTCAAGGAATGAAGTATGTAAACAACTTGTGCAAACTTGTTGCTGATATCTAGACTTCCTTGCAAGGTTTCCGCATGATCTCATTTTTCAGAACATAGAGCTAATGGGACCATCACCTAAACGTGTAGGCCAGCACTCCTGTTTCATGTGCAGCCCTTGTCCCTAAATGGTTGAGGCTCCTGTATGGTGGGATGGGACATAAAGCTGAGAGACCTCAATGAAGGGAAGTAACAAGGTCATAAAGTTCTCAGCCATGGCCCTCACCACATGGTACTGAGAAGAGAGAAGTTAGGCATCTTCTAGGGGTGGCGGGCTTGGGCCCCAGGGCTTGCTTATGTCAGCAGAAGCACAGGAGCTGTTCCTGAAAGAGAGTAGCAGGTTGCAGCCCCAGGCCCAAGGAATGGGCCATGTGGGGTCTGCAGTCCAAGGAGTTCCTAAAGTGGGCACCTGTGGGTAGTCAGTGTCACTGCCACCCTCCCAGTGCAACTCCCAGTGGCAGTGTGCAGGGAGGGAGCAGTCAGTTTTCAGGTGGGGGTGGGACACTCCCTCTGAGATGCAGGAGTAGCTGAGAGCAAAGACAGGAGGGTGGGTGTTTGTATATGCACGTGAGTGAGTGAGTGGCAGGAGAGCGTGGGCGCACTGGGGAAGAAGCGAGGGACGGCAACAGGTTTTGGTACAGGCCAAGAGAGTGGACAGTTGCATCTCCTAGTTCATTTTACCCTGGGACATGTTCCTGGGTCCCGAGCTAGCCAGAAAGGACGTTGGCCTTGGCCATAGCCGTTGCCCTTCACACAGCTCCCCTCTCAGTTCTCTTGCTGTCCCACAGGGCCTTTGCCAAAAAGCAGCAGCAGCTGAGTGCCCTGAAGGTGCTGCAGCGGAACTGCGCCGCGTACCTGAAGCTGCGCCACTGGCAGTGGTGGCGTGTCTTCACCAAGGTGGGCCACAGCCACTCCTCACCATGGTCCCTTCCACACCTGACAGGGAGCATCCGGGGTGGGGGGAGTTGGGAGGACGGGCTGAGGGATGCTCTTGTTTTGTTCCGGCAGGTGAAGCCTCTGCTCCAGGTCACTCGCCAGGAGGAGGAGCTTCAGGCCAAAGACGAGGAGCTCCTGAAGGTGAAGGAGAAGCAGACGAAGGTGGAGGGCGAGCTGGAGGAGATGGAGCGCAAGCACCAGCAGGTGAGTGCTGGCCCGCCGCTGTTCCTGCCAGCCGCCCCCGGGCCTCAGCACACAGCCCTCATCTTTGAGCGCCTTGGCTGAATCCCTCCTGGGACACAGAGACAGGTGCTTGCCCTCCAGCAGGTATCTGACACCTGCTTCTGATGGGGCTCCCGTGCTGTCACCTCATCACCTCTGCCTCTCTGCAACGGGTAGGCAGAGGAGATGATGGCCAGGTGCAAGGCCACCACCTTCCTCTTCTCCAGCCACAGTGGCCTTGAGCCCATGAGCCTGTAGCCTTGCGGACAAAGCAGAGGCTCGGCAGATGGTCTGTGGATCATGATGGTTCAAGGAACCGGAGGCCTCAAAGCTAAGAGTCTCACTGGGTATCACGCACACCCTGGTTGTCACCATGATGCCTGTAATATCTGAATGTTTTCCCTCTTCTGCACATGCGTCCTGTTGTAATTTAACCGAATAACTGTAGTTCTCAAAATAGCATGAATTTAGGATGTGTTATTGAGGAGAACTTGAGAGGATAGAAACAGCCACAAAGTGTTCCCACCCAGCTTGCTGTGCTTCGGCTGAGAGTAACCTTGAAAGTCCACCCCATGGCAGCGCCTGGCTATGGGGGTGCTGTGTGTGGCCTGTGGTGAACGTGGAGTTCTGGCGAACATGCCCCACGTGTGCACGCGGCCGTCACAGCCACTGTGTCGTGATCGCAGCTCCTGGAGGAGAAGAACATCCTGGCGGAGCAGCTGCAGGCGGAGACTGAGCTGTTCGCCGAGGCTGAGGAGATGCGGGCACGGCTGGCTGCCAAGAAGCAGGAGCTGGAGGAGATCCTGCACGACCTGGAGTCCAGAGTGGAGGAGGAAGAAGAGAGAAACCAGATCCTCCAGAACGAGAAGAAGAAAATGCAAGCGCACATCCAGGTAGGCAGCTCTTGCTTCGCTGTGGGGTCTCCGGGGAGTCCATGGCGTGACTGGAAGCTGCACGCATGGAGTAAGTCATGCTCCCTGAAAAGTGAGCGGTCGCAGGGACTCGCCCTGGGGAGGCATGAATGTGGCCTTTTGCCATGGCACCTGCGGGATGCTGAGCTTCCTGGGCAAGCCGACTAGCACTCAAGCTGGGTCCCCTGGGAGTTCGACTGTTAGGTGTCAGCATCTGCCAAGTGCGCGGGTTCATTCGCACTGCTAGGTGCTCGGTTGCTCACTTGCTGGAACAGCAGCTGCACTCACAGGAAGCACAACTCACTGAGGGAGTCTTCAAAATCTCTATGGGACATGCATATCACAAGGAAGCTGTGCAAGACTTTCAGGGGGAAAAAAACCTACAGTAAGATGAAATGATCTTGTAATGGCATCTTCCACAGCTTTTTGAAGCACTCTCATAGTTGTGGTTGAACTCTCAGGCCAGTGGCACACCCCTGTTCCACCCCCTCCCCTGTCTGCTCTCACCCCTAGACCAGCTCAGCCCAGGCCCCTCCATGCTCATGGTCCAGCAACAAGCCTTTCTTTCTCTTGGCTCTCCTTTGCTGCGTCCTTACCTGCTGCTGAACTTTCTAGAGCAGACAGTTCACTGTTTGTCCAAGCCATACAACACGTGTGACTTCCTTGGCAAGCAACCCTAGGATGAATCCTCCACATGTGTAGCCTTTCTTCCGATCTTGAGCATGCATGGATCTCAGGGAGCCCACATCGGGCATAACATCACCGAAGCTGCCAAACCTCCAACTCCTGCATCTAGTGGTTCCAGCCCTATCACCTGCTGGGAAGATCCACTTTCCACGTTCACACGTTCCCAGGCACTGCTCACATCTGGTGCAGTCTCCTGGAGGCAGAGGGGACACGGTCCGGGCCCTGGGGGGTGGATGCTGACCAGGTGCTGTTCTACCCAGGACCTGGAGGAGCAGCTGGATGAAGAGGAAGGGGCCCGGCAGAAGCTGCAGCTGGAGAAGGTGACAGCCGAGGCCAAAATCAAGAAGATGGAAGAGGAGATTCTGCTGCTTGAGGACCAGAATTCCAAATTCATCAAAGTAAGAGGCCGTCTGCACGAAAGCGTGGTGTGGGAGTACAGGTGGGGAGTGAGGAGGTGCTTCACCGGAAAGGGTCTGCCCTTCAGGCTCATTGTTGGGTTTTTTCTCCTAACCCTCTGAGGAACAGGAGCCTTAGAAGCTTCTGGATCTTGAGCCCGTGCATGCCGCCTGCGTCCTTGTGTGTGGGTGTCAGCCAGGGCCCTGGGAGCGGTTCCCTCCACGAGCCACCTTCGGGGCCAGCAGTCAGAGGGGGCTCTCGGGTGGGCCGTAGCCTGCAGTGCAGGTCCCAGGCCTCCTCTGAAGCGGTCACTTGGCCCCTGTTCAGGAGAAGAAGCTCATGGAGGACCGCATCGCCGAGTGCTCCTCTCAGCTGGCTGAGGAGGAGGAGAAGGCCAAGAACCTGGCCAAGATCCGCAACAAGCAGGAGGTGATGATCTCAGACCTGGAAGGTCAGTGTCGGCGGCTGGGACGTGCACGCTCAGGCCCGGCCACCCGGCCATGAGGGCCCTCCGTCAGGTCCAACCGTGACCACCTGCTCTCTTCGCCCCATTGGGACACAGGTCAACATGCCATGGGATGTGAGCCATGGAGTGCTCTAGGGTGGATGTGTCTGGACGCCACCCCCTGAGGGCCTCAGTAACATGTCTGAATGTCACATCACACAGCTGCTGGCCACTGCTGTCAGACCTGGACAAGAGTGTGTCTCTGACAGCAGTGACACCAACAAGCTCTAGACATCAGGATAGCCACAGCAGAAATAGAGGGTGGGAGCTGGGGTGTCAAGTGTGAGCCATTTTTGCTGTGTGAAAGCCACAACCACAGAGCCCTTTGGGCCTGTGGTCACGCACCCCTGGGCAGTGTTAGCTCAGGGATCCCTGTGATGCTGAAGGAGTGCGAGGAGCAAGGTAGAACCCTATCCCCCACCCCCGGCCAAGGGTTCCCACTGGGCCAGGCCTAGCTCTAACAGCTGCCCAGCTGCTTTCCAACCACGGGGAGGAGCCGAGAGGATTCCAGTGCTGTTCCCTGAGAGCACCTGCTGGGTGAGGTGCTGCCCCCTGCACTGCTCTCCTCAGCCTAGCCTGGTCCCCACCATCTGACATGTGGGTCTCGTTGCCAGAGCAGCTGCTAACATTCCTGGGGTCTGGGGCATGTCACTCGGGGTGCTAATGAGCCGTGACTCTCCCACTGTCTAGAGCGTCTGAAGAAGGAGGAGAAAACGCGGCAGGAGCTGGAAAAGGCCAAGCGGAAGCTGGACGGTGAGACCACGGACCTGCAGGACCAGATCGCCGAGCTGCAGGCGCAGATTGACGAGCTCAAGGTGCAGCTGGCCAAGAAGGAGGAGGAGCTGCAGGGCGCGCTGGCCAGGTCCGTGGCAGCCTGGGACTCCTCAGGGGAGGGCAGCACGGTGGGAGAGAACAGAGGCGCGCGGGGTCGGCCTCACTCGCCCCAGGACGCACTGAGACCTCTCGGGCATCTGCCTGGGCCCTGGAGGAGGTGGTACAGATGACACGCATGTACTCACACACGCTTCACATACAGATCTGGTGCGGTGTTTCTCCCTGGGGAATCCCGTCGGTCCGTGTGGCCATGGTGTCTGGAATTTCATTTATTACTTGTAAAGCAGCAGGGTTTTTTTTGTTTTGTTTTGTTTTTAAGAAAGTCAGATGTACAGAGAGGATGAAAGAGAGGAAGATGGGCCTGGTGGCGTGGCCTAGTAAAGTTCTCACTTTGAACGCACTGGGATCCCATATGAGCGCCGGTTCTAATCCCGCCAGCTCCACTTACCATCCAGCTCCCTGCCTGTGGTCTGGGAAAGCAGGATGGCCCAAAGCCTTGGGACCCTGTACCTGCAGTGGAGACCTGGAAGAGGTTCCTGGTTCCCGGCTTCAGATCAGCGCAGCCTCGGCCGTTAGGCTCACTTGGGGAGTGAATCACTGGACGGAAGATCTTCCTCTCTGTCTCTCCTCCTCTCTGTATATCTGACTTTGTAGTGAAAATAAATAAATCTTTAGAGAGGAAGATATTTCGTCCAATGAATCACTCCCCAAGCAGCCACATTGGTCAGAACTGACCCAATTCGAAGCCAGGAACCTCTTCTGGGTCTCCCACACGGGTGCAGGGTCCCAAAGCTTTGGGCCGTCCTCGGCTGCTTTTCCAGGCCATGAGCGAGCAGGGAGCTGGATGGGAAGTGAAACAGACAGCATTAGAACTGGCAGCCACATGGGATCCCGGAGCATGCAACACAAGGACCCCAGCCACTAGGCTACCGTGTTGGGCCCTGGAGTTTCATTTATAATTCCTTGTAAGCAAGGAAACCCCATAAAAAATATGTCCCGGACAAGTGTCCCCAGCATGCCAGCCACTGGGTCACTCGGACAGTGAGTTCTCCATCAGCCTCCCCCGTACCCACCTCCTGCTTGCTAGCAGTGTCAGCCCTGCATGGGAGCAGAAGCAGGTGCGGGGTGCTGAGTGGAGGCGTGAAGAGGGCACGGCTCCTGTGCGTGCTGACTGGCTGTGGCCTGGGCACTGTCCCTGCGGGGACCCCAGTGCCTTCAGCAGCCCTGAGTCTCCTGCCTCTTTTAGGATAGTTGGAGCCACTGCCAGCTTTGGGGCCTCAGGCCCTCCTCCCGGCCCAGCAGCTCAGCCTGGGGCAGAGGAGGTGTCGCTGGTGTGCCATGGCCCGGGCACTGTCTCAAGGCTGATGTTTCCACAGAGGCGATGACGAGACGCTGCACAAGAACAATGCACTCAAGGTGGTGCGGGAGCTGCAGGCGCAGATCGCCGAGCTGCAGGAAGACTTGGAGTCCGAAAAGGCGTCGCGGAACAAGGCGGAGAAGCAGAAGCGGGACCTGAGCGAGGAGCTGGAGGCACTGAAAACAGAGCTGGAGGACACGCTGGACACCACCGCGGCGCAGCAGGAACTGCGGTGAGTGTAGGCGGCTGCCCCGGCCCGCGCCCAGCTCCTCAGGGGCCCGCCCCACTGACCCTGTCCTGGGCAGCCTGGCAGGGAGAACAGGTGAAACACGGATGGAGACGGGCCTGCCTGTGGCGCAGGTGCCTGGGCAGCCTCAAAGGCAACAACCCAGGGCAGGGTGGGGAGAGGGGGAGGATCCATGCATGGAGCTGAGAGGGCAGCTGCTGTGACACAAGTGATGGGCAGCAGTGAGTGCAGCGGCCACGGCGGGTCACAGGACAGTGTCCAGGCGGGGGCTGGCAGGTGGCTCTGTGAACACATGTAGTTCTCACCTCAGGCACTGGCTCCCAGACCCTCTGCCGACTCCTGCAGACTGAAAGTAGAGGGAGGCAGCAGCCCTCTTGGGTACATGGGTAACACACCCCACCAGTTCCTCTGGGGTGAGGGACAGGAATAGCAAGGCCATCTCTGGCGAGGCGGCTGAGGCCTGACGTAAAGCCAGACAGGCAGGAGGACCCCTGGTGTGCAGACCTCAGGTGGTCTGAATGGGAGTAACCCAGCTCTGCAGAAGGCCAAGGTGTGCTGGGGAAGCGGGTCCTGTCCCCTGCGGGCTGAGCCTGTCATGGCACAGGTGCACCCATGACAGAACCCTGGAGAGATTGGCCGGAGGCCCGTCCCGCAGCACATAGGCCGGCTGGCTTTGTCCCCAGCTCATGTTCACCATCTGCCAGAGCTCGTCAGAGCCGCCTAGCTGGGCACTTCCTACTCTTGGCAGTGGAGCTTGGCTTCTCACAGTCCCGTGGCCTGCAAATCGGGAGCAGTGAATCCAGGCTTTGTCGAAAACTCCACTCTCAGCTGGGACTTCAGCCACAATATTTTGAAAGGCTCTCACTTTTTTTCCTATTTGGCTCTTATCAGAAAAAAGTATAAATGTGTATATTTAATGAAGCACTGCAGGTGTTCAGCTATAGCTTCTTGATTCTGTTTTGTGAACCATTTATTTCTTTTCATTTTACTTGATTGACAAAGACAGACAGAAGTCTTCCATCTACAGGTTCACTTCCCAAATGTCTCCCAGCTGCCAGCACTGGGCCAAGAAGCCACGAGCCTGGAGCTCCATCTGGGCCACCTGTGCGACTGGCAGAACGGCTATTTGGGCGCCACCTGCTGCTGCTCGGTCTGAGCCTGAGCAAGCAGCTGGAGTCCAGGGCATGGCCAGACAGTCCAGTGTGGGCTGTTCCCACTGTCCTGAGTAGCTTGTTACCCCTTGCACCAGGTGCCCACCCCTGGGTGGAGCAGAATGCAGGTTGCCTGCAGCTGAGCCACTTGCCCATCCTGGCTGAGGACTGTCACAGAAGTCAGGCCATGCCTAACCAGCCACTGGCTCTGGAGTTGAGCTCACACCGTTAGCCCTCAACAAATCAGATCCTCCCCTTCCCCTGGTGAAGTCTGGATGAGAGACTGAAGGGGTGGGGTTACTTAGCCTAGAGAGAAGGGAGCAGTTCCGTGACTGCTGGGGTCGAGCAGGGCTTCAGTACAAGCTGTATTCCCAGAGGAGGACAGGCCGAAGGCAGGAGACACTGCTGGAGCCTGAGGAGTGAAAGTGCTGCCACTCTGGGAGCTGAGCCGGGCTCAGCGGGAGAGCCCCTGGGGACGGGACACAGCCCAGACCTCGGGGCTCGGGCCTCTGGTGAGCCAAGCTGGGCCGGGGTGCTGGGGGACCTTTGTGACTCCCCCCACACAGCCAGCCCTGTCCTGACGCAGCCTCTCAGTTCCAGGCTCCGCGTTCAGGGCATGTTTGCCCCAGGTGCCCCAGGGTGGCTCTGAGGTGCTCACAGCTGCAGGTCACCTTGTTGGCAAGGAGGGAGGCTGCCGGGCAGGTTTGAGTCTGGGGCAGGCTGTGTGCTCCCACATGGTGACCTAAAGGAACACCCCAAGCAAATGAACTTGCTTCATTTAGCGAAGTAGTCTGAGTTCGACTTCTCCTCTATGTGTTAGAGCCAGTGCTAAAGCTCTCAGAGTCACGGCAAGGTGTCTGACACCGATTTGATCCTTGTTAAATGTAGCTAGGGAAAACCTCGTTTCATCTCAGAACATTCGAAGCTGTGCCCACACCCCCACCTCCCGTGGCGTGTGTCATCAAGCGCCAGGGACCGCAGGAGACAGGGATGCCACCCTTGACCCCTGCAGGGACAGCAGCCTCTTGCCCACGCATGCTGAGCCTGGGAGGGCGGGAGGGGGGGCTGGGATGCTGCTTGCAGGAGAGCTGCTATGAAACCAGACTGCCCAGGGCACGACATTCCCACCACGCTTGCCTGTCGGGCAGATGGGAAGTGGCATTGGTTCTGGAAGGACCCCTCATGGCGCAGTCATGGACAGGCCAGCTCCCTGTAGTGGTGTGTCAGATGCTCCCCGGAGGAACCATCATGCTGTGTGAAAACAGCCGGTTCCCAAGGAAAAGACACGGGCGTTCCCAGCGCCGGGCAGCCGGTGCTCATCTTGCCGCCCTCCACCCCGTTGTCTAGCACTAAGCGTGAACAGGAAGTGGCGGAACTGAAGAAGGCGCTCGAGGAAGAGACGAAGAACCATGAAGCTCAGATCCAGGACATGCGGCAGCGACACGCCACTGCCCTGGAGGAGCTCTCGGAGCAGCTGGAGCAGGCCAAGAGGGTGAGGACCCGCGCCCTCCTGCCCCGTCCCGCCCCATCCCGCCCCACTAAGCGACACACGTTACCTGTGACTGTGCTGATCTTCATGTACACGGATGAGGGGCCCGAGGCCAGGGCTGCCCAGCGGTAACCACCCCGCCACCCTCACCGGGAGTACTTCTTTGTGTTAGAGAAAGGTTGAAGAGAGTGATTTTCACTAGTGCTGGAAACAGTGTTACACAGAGGACAGTGTGCTGTGTGCTGTGGAGGGAGTGACTGCCTGCGCTCCAGAGACAGCGGGGTGGTGCAGGGAGCGGCTGCCCTGGGAACCGGGTGCCTGGAGGGCCTCACGCAGCCGGCGGCGTGTGCCTGCATGCGTCCAGTCACCAGACAACGGCTGCAGGTTCCCCATCCACACTGCCGGGTTCCAGTCTACACTGCCGGCTCCCCGTCTGCACTGAGGGCTCCCTGTGGGCCCGGTGGTAGCCCCACAGGACAGCATTGTCATAGGATGACTTGTGAGCGAGTTTCCCACCCCTCTCGTAGTTCAAAGCGAACCTGGAGAAGAACAAGCAGGGCCTGGAGACTGATAACAAGGAGCTGGCCTGCGAGGTGAAGGTGCTGCAGCAGGTCAAGGCCGAGTCCGAGCACAAGAGGAAGAAGCTGGACGCACAGGTGCAGGAGCTGCATGCCAAGGTCTCTGAGGGAGACCGGCTGAGGGTGGAGCTGGCCGAGAAGGCGAACAAGCTCCAGGTAAGCTGGGCCACACAGACCTGGGTGGGCCCCCTGCGCTCGGCCCTCGGGGCCACAAAACACCTGTACAGTAAAATGGTGTTTGTTGTAAGGACTGAAAAACAAGTGCTCCAGTGCGAGTGTCAGGAACTCTGGCTGCCACGCCACGTGCAGGAACACAGTAGTACAGTCTTCTGGAGGATGGTGTGACCATTTGCTATCCCCGCCTCCCTTTAGACCCATGGAGGCACGTGGAACTGCTTAGGGGGCCCTATGGATGTATGCCCAGGTGGCGCTGGGAGTGCCCGCTTCAGAGCTGTGTGCTGTGGGCATCAGCACCCACATCCACTGAGGCACTGCCCATGCTGCCACCTGTGAGCGGCCCAGGAGTATGTGGACGTGACATATTCCTGGCTTCAGCTCTCGGTCCTCTCGGCCAAGAGACACCGCTGCTTGGGCTCTGTTTAAGTGGTGTGATTTTGAATTCTCTCTCTTTCTTCTTTTTTTTTCTTTTTTGGACTTACTAAATTTTTCGTTTTATTGGAAAGACAAGGAGGTAGGAGAGCTTCCACCTATGGCTCACTCCCCAGATGTCCTCAACAGGCAGAGTGGGACTGGGGGAGCCGGGAACCAGGAACTGCGTGGGGGTCTCCCACACGGGGTGGGAACCCAGCTCTGCGCCCTTACCTCTGCTCTGCAGGGGAGTCCTTCCCACATGGGCAGGCATCTGGCATGAGAAGCGGAGCCAGGACGCGAACCCTTTTCATTGCTTACTGGGGAACTGAATCTGACCCTCTCCTTCTCACAGAATGAGTTGGATAACGTCTCAACCCTGTTGGAGGAAGCAGAGAAGAAAGGGATTAAATTTGCCAAGGATGCAGCTAGTCTTGAATCCCAGCTGCAGGACACACAGGTATGCCAAGGGGTACAGAGATGTGGGCACAGCAGTGGCGAGGTTACATCACGTGGCTGTAAGCTACAAGCAGGTACAGGGCCCCAGCCCCGACATCACCTGGGCGCCTGTCCTAATGCTGAGGCTTCCCCCTCCGAGCTGGGGCCCCGTGGGCATCCTGGTGTGCAAACTGCAGTCACACTCAGTAAAGTGACCTTGTTGCAGTTTTGGTTGTGCGTTTGTGTGGGTATAGGGGACAAAAATCTCACAGAAAGTGCAGGAATCGACACTGGGGACCAGTTCAGTAGGTGACAGCATGTCAGGGCCAGTGACCCTCGGGACGAGCTGGGGGCCATCACAGAAGGCTTGTCCTTGGAAGGAACTGCAAGTCAGGTTTGCACTCAGGCATAAGGAGAGCGTGAGTGTCGGGTGATGAGGGGCCCGGCGCTGGAGGTGCCTGAGCTGCCGCAGAGCCGGGAGGAGGCAACAGAGGACCCAGGGCGGCAGTCCTCAAGCCCAAGCTGGATGTGTGGGGTTGGTGTCAAGAGCTTTGACTCAAGGAGCTATGCATCCCAGCCATGCCAGCGCTGGGTGCCCCATGTGCAGGGCTTGAGGCCTGCCTGTGGTGGGATGGATGTGGCTGTGGTGGGTGAATGTGGAGTGGCGCTGACCTTGGCCATCGTCCTGCAGGAGCTCCTGCAGGAGGAGACGCGACAGAAGCTGAACCTGAGCAGCCGCATCCGGCAGCTGGAGGAGGAGAAGAACAGTCTGCAGGAGCAGCAGGAGGAGGAGGAGGAAGCCCGGAAGAACCTGGAGAAGCAGGTGTTGGCCCTGCAGTCCCAGGTGCGTGTCCCCATCAGGAGCTGCAGTGGCCGAGCTGTCCGTGTGTAGCAGCAAGCGGCCCCGCTGTGCCACGCTGGCCCCACTCCACCCGGGATGCTTGACCAGGTCACACTAAGTTGAACCCATCATTGCTTTGACCCAGCCACATGCTGACAGGTGGTGGGGGTGGAGGTGCTGCGCCCTGGACACAGGGACGCATGATCGTGTCAGCTGTGGAAGGCAGCAGCGCCATCGTTACTGTACAGATGATTAGCAAAGAGAATCCATGGCAGCATTCAGTCACTAGCTTGGAAACCCTGTAGTGTTGATTGAAAACCAAAACTGTTGTCTTTACTCGGGCAAATGAAAAAGCCAGTGGAGGTGCTGAAGGGTGAACTCACTGTCTTTTGCTTACACAAAACCCAGCTGGCCGATAGCAAGAAGAAAGTAGATGATGACCTGGGGACCATCGAGGCACTGGAGGAAGCCAAGAAGAAGCTTCTGAAGGACGCAGAGGCCCTGGGCCAGCGCCTGGAGGAGAAGGCCCTGGCCTATGACAAGCTGGAAAAGACCAAGAATCGCCTGCAGCAGGAACTCGACGACCTCACCGTGGACCTGGACCACCAGCGCCAGATTGTGTCCAACCTGGAGAAGAAGCAGAAGAAATTCGACCAGGTGGGTCAGCGCCCCACCCCCTACCCACCCTCCTCTTGTGTGGGTTCACAGCACAGGGAGGCATTGTGGCACTGTAGGCCAAGCTGCCACTTGGTGCACCTGTGGCCCACATCAGAGTACCTGTTTGCATCTCGGCTGCTCTTTGCTTGTGATCCAGCTTCCTGCTAAGTCAGTCATGAGAGGCAGCAGAGGATGGCTCAAGTACTTGGGTCCCTGCCACCCTCATGGGAGACCGGAGTGGAGCTCAGACTACAGCCTGGCCCAGCCCTGGCTGGGGAGTGAACCAGCACATGGAAGTCTGTCTCTTTACCTTTTAAATGGTTAAGTGACACACAAAAATAAGTAGACTGAGTATCCCTTTTCCAAAACGCTTGGGGCCAAAAGAATTTCATTAGGTGATTTCAGATTTCAGAATGTTTGCATACACAATGTATACAAATTACAAGACAGGCCTAAGTGTAAACACGGGATTCCCGTGGATGCTGCGGCGGGCGCCGTCTCGCTGGACTCCTCTCAGGAGGGCAGGTGGGACGGCTTCTGCTTGTGGCATGATCCATGATGCTGGGCGGCAGGCAGCCGTCTCAGCACAGCGTTAGGTCCGAGGCAGGGAAAGTGCGGGCCTGGCCGCTCAGCTGCCCCGTGCCTTTCCACACAGCTGCTAGCAGAAGAGAAGAACATCTCGGCTCGCTATGCAGAGGAGCGAGACCGGGCCGAAGCAGAGGCCCGAGAGAAGGAGACCAAAGCCCTGTCGCTGTCACGGGCGCTGGAGGAAGCCCTGGAGGCCAAGGAAGAATTTGAGCGGCAGAACAAGCAGCTCCGGGCGGATATGGAGGACCTGATGAGCTCCAAAGACGACGTGGGCAAGAACGTAAGTTGCCCATGGCCCTTTGCAAAAGGAGTCCCAGAAAGACCCAGAAGTGCAAGGCCCACGGGAGGGTCGTGTGGCGGCTGCTGGGCCGGTGTGCGCGAAGCTGAGGCTGGGGTGTGAGTGCAGGGGTGAGGCTGGGGCCTGTGTGTGTGCCAGGGCTGCATGGGGCCCAGCACTCTGAGGGCAGCCCTGTTGTGGCACCCACTGCTGTAGTGCAGCCTGGCAGAGGGAACCAATCCAGGACTGGTGTTCTGTGTCCCCGGTAGTCTCAGTCCCCTGTCAACCCAGAGTTCTCCTCAAGACCACGGTAGTGTCTGTCTCTGACCTGAAGGGGCCCGAGAGGAGCAGGACGGGGCAGTGGGGCGGAGCTGCAGCCTTTCTGTGAACCTGGCGTTGGCTTTGACAATCAGGCGGCTTTGGGCTCATTTGTAGCTAGGAGCCTATGTGGTTTTCTTGCTCTGTGTCCACTGTTTGCATTTTCCACAAGCACCACTGTGACCTGCAGTTAGCCTGGCTCCCTGTCTTCATTCAGAGATGCAGCTCTGGGCCTGACTCTTCTCTGGGCTTCCGTTCTGACCATGGAAACCACCCGAACTTCAAGCCTGGGCTTCCACGTCCCATGGATGCAGCCCCCTGCCCTGAGGCGTGAGCCCTCTGCCTGCTCTGGCAAGCGTGTCCTCTGTACGGCTGAGGTCTTGACCTCCTGGGCCACAAGCCATCTGGCCACTCTCTGGGGCAAAACTGTCCAGACCCCTCCTGGGTGCTGTGCTTGGGGTGCCGAGGACTGGCCTGGGGACAAGAATAAGCCATCCGGAATGGATGTGACACATGGCCTGGTGCAGTGTAGAGCAGGCTGCGGGCTGACTCCACATGAGCTGAAGTGTTTCTGTGGAACCATCCACCCTAGGGGAGCTTCATGGGCACAGACCCCAGAGGGGCCGTGTCACAGCTTCTAGGCCATCCTGAAAGGTGACACGGGCATCACGTGAGAACCGAGGCGAAGGTACTCAGCACAGGGCCCAGTTATCCACTGATGGTGGGAGGAAGGCCGGCCTCCAGTGCCGTGCCCGCTCGGTGGAGCGAGCTCTGAGCAGTACAAAGCTGCCCCATCGAGGCTGTGACACCCACGGCAGCCAGGTGTCAGGTGTGACCCGCTCGGGCATCCTCAGCTTCGGGGTCCACACTGAATGACAGAGAACACTGCAGAGTCCAAGACTCAGCCCTGGAGCTTGAACTGCAAATTCCGGAGAGCAGGAGGGGGTGTGAGCACATGTTCTGTGCCAGGAGCCACTGAAGGACCCCGAGAGGGGACCCCGCTATCCATCACGCGTGGCTCTGCCGAGGTCAGCTCTTCCTGATGTTTCCTTTGGCTTAGGTGCACGAACTTGAAAAGTCCAAGCGGGCCCTGGAGCAGCAAGTGGAAGAAATGAGGACGCAGCTGGAGGAGCTGGAGGATGAGCTGCAGGCCACGGAGGACGCCAAGCTGCGGCTGGAGGTCAACATGCAGGCCATGAAGGCCCAGCTGGAGCGGGACCTGCAGGCGCGGGACGAGCAGAACGAGGAGAAGAAGCGGCTGCTCATCAAGCAGGTGGGTCCCGGAAGCCCCCGGACCAGGGCCGCGCGGCCAGTGTTGGTGCTCGTATGCGCTGCCCGTGCTCAGGCCCTGCTCTCCCGGGGCTGCTGCCTGCGCTTTGCCCCCCGACCCCTGCCAGCCTTCGGGGACCCCAAGGGACACGCACTGCAGGTAGACGCGGCTTCAATGTGTCATGCAGGTTTGTGTAGCTCACGTTATTCGTGGCCCTGTTCCATGACCCTTCACAGCAGAACAAGCGGGTGTCGACACTTTTATTTTAAAAGGCTGCTCGGCATTTTATGTGCTTTCCTGGACAGTAAAGTGGCAGTCCTTTAGCGCTCATGGTGACCGGTCTTGGATCTGGCTGTTCATGATGAGTTTCGTTGTTCTGTTTGTTCTGCTAGCCATCTATTTCCGGGTGAGGACCCACCCCACACTCAGTGGCTGAGACAGTACTTGTGAGATCAGGATTTCACTGAGCAGGGCATTCCGAGGGGCTCAGCGGGTGGCTCTGGTTAGGGCTGGCACAGCCCCCAGGACTGGGCCGTCACATGCTGCACACCAGGTACGTTGGCAGAGGTGGAGCAGCAAGGACTAGAACTGTGTTGGCACCACAGGCAGAGACTCAGCTGCAGTGTGGGGCGCCGCATCCACAGCCTAACTGCCTGTGCAGCCCCCCTGGCCCCGTTCTGCCCCTTAGATGCCCCCCCAGTCCAGCCCAGACACAAGAGAACATGCAGCCGTGCTTTCAGGCAGGAGGGGGTGGCGGCTGCCCAAGACCCTGCCGAGCTGTTTGAAAGGCAGCACGTCAGGAAGGCCCTGTGTGACCAGGCTCAGGAGCTGGCCTCTGCTCTCCTGCAGCACTGCCCCTGCTGCTCACCTCCCGCTGCCACCCCCTTGGAGGCCTCCTGGCTCTTTACCGTCTCCCCGGAGCACTTCCCTTCCAGGAAGGGGTGGCTTTCTCTGCAGCCCCACGCCAGCTGCCATTCTGCGGAAAGTGCTGGTCTCTGAGCCTGCCGCCACGGGACCACTCCACTGGAAGACGGTCACAGTGGGTCCATAGGCTGGTGGGCCTGGTCCTCCCCTTCCATTCTTCACGCGTGGCTTCCTCCCTGGGCTCTGCCGGAAGGATGGGCACGTGTGATGGCTGGCAGGATCGTTTAGCCTGGCCCTGCCCCGGCTGTACACAGAGGCAGGCTGATCTTTAAGTTGATTGTTACACATGCGCCATCGGTCCCTGGCCCTGAGAAACCCTGAGCTTGGAGCTGGGCCCACCTTCTGTCGGTGGGGATGGTGTGTGCTGGCTGGCAGTGTCAGAGTTGGCCGCGCCTGGGGCTGGGTTAGTAACTCTCCGAGACACAGCGCACCTGAGTGAGCAGAGCCCTTCCAGTCGCTGCTGTTAACCACCTGCAAACCCTGTGTCCATCAGGTACGGGAGCTGGAGGCTGAGCTGGAGGACGAGCGGAAACAGCGGGCACTGGCTGTTGCCGCCAAGAAGAAAATGGAGATAGACCTGAAGGATCTGGAAGCTCAGATCGAGGCCGCGAACAAAGCCCGGGATGAAGTGATTAAGCAGCTTCGCAAGCTGCAGGTACGTGCAGCTCAGACCCCATGCCGAACCGTGCACCCAGGGAGACAGGCACTGCATCAGCCCCGCCTCTCGCTGTGTGCCACACTGCAGGCAGAGGGCAGCTAGAAGGGTGACACGTCCCTGCTGGCACACAGTCACCTGTGTGATAATTCAGAGTAGGCAGTGTGCCTTGGCCCTCACAGGCACCTGTGGTGGACGCAGTCAGCCACAGCTTCTTGGAGGACAGAAGCCTTAGCAAATGTCCCGTGCTTTGATCTGGCTGATTCCACGCCTTACCAATTTAGTCTGACAAAACACAGAAAGAAGAAATTCTATACAAAGACCCTAGCTGCAGTGTTGTTTATAATAGTAGAAATGCCGCCCGTGTGAATGCAGCCGCCTGCTGACTGGCCGTGGGGGTGGCAGCAGGACGGCCCGGCTAGCGTCTGAGCACACGTGTGTGTGGGCACATGGCTGTTGGGTGTGCAGGGCTTTTCAGGCAGGCACACCAAGAGCGCGTGAGGGACAGCAGGTTTCTGAGTGACCTGACCAGTGACGAGAGTTACAAGCTGCTGGTAAAGGGCACGTTGCGTCCCTGTGCCTGCTCCGCAGTCTTCCTGTTTGAAGTGTTCAGGTTTCTGCGCTAACCTCGGACCCTGGACCCGCTCGCTCACCCCCTGTCCCGGATCTGCTGCATCTCCCCGACTGGCTGGTCATCTGCTTTGTCCCGTGGGTCCCACACCTGGGACACGTGCAGCGTGTGGCCTTTTCTGACTTGCTGGCCACTGTACATGTCTCCGGGGTTCTGTGACAGCGTGAGTGCTGTATTCCTTTGAATGCAGCTGTTTAGCAGTCCCCTTTTAGCCGTGACACTGCTGTGTGTTGGTGTGTGTGCGTGTGTGCTTCCGTGTGCTCAGGCCTGTCACTGAGAGCGCCCGGCTGCACAGCGGGTCCCAGTGCGGGCAGGTCCAGGCTCCGCCCCTCCCCGCACCGCGGCCTGCGGGCAGCCCGTGAGGACACTGAGCATCCTCTGTCCTGTGGACCGTTTTCATTATTGAAACATTTGCACATTTTGGATGTGTTTTATAAGACAGTTTATTGCCAGATTATTTCCTCCCATCCTCCACAATATTTTATTTTTAGATTTTTTTTGTTATAGATAGAAACTCCATCTTGAGTCAACAGTGTACACCTGTTTTGCACTTACAGCTCTTACTCTCAAGCTCTTGATGGATTGGGGCTGTGGATGTGCAGCTGTCCGAGCCCCGCTGCTCTGTGTGCACTGCGCTGTGCGGGCAGCGCTGGGCGGTCGGGGGCCCTGGACTGCTGGCGTGTTCACCTCTGCGCGCCGCGGGCTCCTTGCAGCTGCCAAGGGTCGGGAAGCTGGAGTGTGACTTACCCAGCACGTCTCTGCTGCTTTCAGTTCTTGGAAATTCTATATGGATTTACAGATTAACTTGTCAGTTTCTTAGACACAAGCACACACACACACACAAAGCAAACCTGGAGGTTTAGTTTTGTTTTGTTAGGTATTTTTGAGAAGTAGTTACAGAAATCTTCCAACTCCTTCACTCCCCGAACAGCCCCAGCGGCTGGGCGAGCCAGAGCAGAGGCGCAGCCGCCCCGTCGGCACAGGCAGGGCCTGCTCCTCGGCTGCTGCTTTCCCAGGCCCGTGGGCAGGGAGCTGGATCTGAAGAGGAGCAGGCGGGACTTGAACAGGCCCCCTAAGGGATGCCAGCGTCACAGACAACGGCTTTGTCCTTTACCTGCGACACCACGGTGCCGGCCCTGCCGCTTGGGTTCTGACAGTGTTGATTCTGATCATTTGGAAAATGTGATGTCTTAACAGCCGTGGGTATCTTTCCATTTATTTAGATTTTCAATAATGTCTTAGAGCTTTTGATGGTTTCAGATGTTTCACTGCTTTTATTGAGTTTATATTTTGTTTTTCTGATGCCAGGAAAGACAGATCTTCCTTCCAATGATTCACTCCCCAGGTGGCCACAACGGCCAGAGCTGAGCCAGTCTGAAGCCAGAGGTCTCAAGCCTCTTCCGGGTCTCCCACGTGGGTGCAGGGTCCCACGGCTTTGGGCCGTCCTCGACTGCTTTCCCAGGCCACAGGCAGGGAGCTGGATGGGAAATGAAACAGCCAGGATGCAAAGCTGTACCTAAATGGTATCCCAGTGTGTGGAAGGCGAGGACTTTAACCACTAGGCTACTGTACTGGGCCCACAATTAACTTTTGTATAACTTGTATCCTGCAACCTTATTGAACTCATATTCGCTTTAGTGGGTTTTTTGGAGTTGATTATCTGATTTGTTTTTTATAAACAAGATCATTTCATGTACAAATGAAGATAGTTCTATTTCTTCCTTTCCAGTCTAGATGTCTTTGTCTTGTCTACTTACCCTGGCAGGAAATAACATGACGTTGCCAGTAACGTGTGGCAACACTCGGCCTGCTGCTGTGTTGCTGATCTTTTCTGGAAAGCGCCGTCTTGAGTCGTTACTTATGATAGTTGCTATGAGGTTCCCATTAATCCTCAGTCAGCTGAGAAAGCTTCAGCGAGATGTTTTTGTAACAAAGGGGTGCTGGGTTCTGTCGGATGCCTGCTGCACCACTGAGGTCAGCCTGGGGTTGTAGTAACTGAGTAACTATGCTAATTACTCAGATAAATCCCACTTAGGATGTATAATCCTTCTTAAGTATCACCAGATTCAGTTTTTTGGGCACCCGTTTTCCTAAGGCACAGGCATGTAGTGTCTTGGCCACTTCTCTCTCATATTTACAACAAATGTGTGTGACTCTTGTAATCTGAGAAAAATCTCATGTGTTTAAAAACTAAGGATGAGAACAACCCTGACACCTGCCTCCCCCCGCAGGCCCAGATGAAGGATTATCAGCGGGAACTGGAAGAAGCCCGTGCGTCCCGAGATGAGATTTTTGCTCAGTCCAAGGAGAGTGAGAAGAAACTGAAGAGTCTAGAAGCAGAAATCCTGCAGTTACAGGAGGTTTGTTTACCTGTTCACCCATTTGTTCAACAATTGAGCCTTTCAGCGTCTCCCGGAGCGGCTGGGGTCTCGGGGGACTTGGGCCTCCCCGCTGTGGACAGGGCGCGGCCCCGCTCATGCTGCAGGCCAGCAGGCAGCAGCCGCACTGCACCCGGCTCGGACCCCACCTGGCTGAAGGCGGCAGAGCCGATTCACTCTCTAAGGATTCACGTATCAGGAAGACAGTGACAGAGAGAAGACGGAACTTCCAACCCACGGTTCCTTCCCCAAGTGGCCACAACACTTGGGGAACAACACTTGGGCCACAACACTTGTGGCTGGGCCAGGCCAAGGAGCCTAGAACCCCATCCTGGTCTCCTTCAAAGGCGACAGGGCCCCATAGTTGGGCCATCTTCCCCTGCCTTCCCCCGCGTTAGCATGAGACGCCGGCGTCCTGGTGGTGGCAGCTTTAACACTGCACTGCGACACCAGCTCTGACCCTGAGCCCCGAGAAGGGCTGCTGGTCTCAGGGTGAAGATTTAGCATCATTTGCTGACGTAGCTTTTACATACAAGCCCTGATCGTGTGATAGAAGAATCATTGTCAGTGGCTTGGAGGGACCACCGAGGCGCTGCCCGTGGGAGGGGTTACCACCGCGTGGGGCGTCCTTGTACACATGAAGGATGATCGCGCAGCCAAGCCCGGGAGGTAGTGTCAGACTTGGTGGTATCAGCTAACAGGAAGTCCCTCCCACTGCAAGCACGCTGGGTGCTGCGTCGCCACTGGCACAGTGAGGCTTGCGGGACACACAGCAGGCCGGAGGTAGACCCCCATCCCCAGACCCCGGCCCGCCAGGCCCGCTGTCTGCTCCTGCCTTTGTCCCTCAGGGCCCTTTCCTCCTCTTTAGTTGGACACTTCCAGGTTTTCTTCCCAATACTTCTGTGAGACTCCAGGTTCCCTCTACCTTTTGCTTTCGCTTTATTCCATGCATTTCCCTATAGAGTGATTTCACTATCATTTCTTTTTTATCCATGGGACATCAGTAATTCCAAGGAGTGTTTTTAGTTTCCCCCAAAATATGGTTTTTGCCTTTTAGCTTTATTTCCCGCTTTATCGCGTTGTCCGAGACTTTGGTGAGCTCTGGGCCTTGGGCGTGGTCAGCTTTGACAGCATCCTAACGTGCTCACTGCGGTGCCGCCTCGCCAGGAGTGGCATGTCAGAGCTGGCCGGTCCCGGGGCGGTGGGGCCTCCCGGAGGGGTCCTGGCTGGCCCGCTCTGCATCAGACCTTCCGGGAAAGGATCACATTGCCCTGCCTGCCTCTTGTTCAGGCAAGCGAGTGCTTCCAGAGCCCTCATCCCACATGAGAGCTGGGTGTCCTCCCCATTCCAGCTCCCTGCTCACGTGCACACCAGGTGGTGGCAGGTGTTACTCCAGGACCTGCCGCATGGCAGCAGAGCAGGATTGACCCCTGGCCCAGCCACCAGGGTCACTTGGGAACCAGCAGAGGGCAGCAGACGCCCCCTCGCAAGCATTTTTGCAAAAGCCATCCCCGATCTTGTGACCTACAGGCCCAAAGTCCTTTCCATTCTCCTGCTGATCCCCTACCCTAAAACACACCCAGCCTGGGGCCAGGAGCCCAGGGGTGTCACTAGGGTCCAAGGCCTGATGGTGGGCTGTCCCAAGCAGCAGTTCCGAGTCGGCCCGGAGCTGCTGCCTGTGCTACCCTGGCATGCCGCGGCATGCAGGGCGTCCTGTCGCGCTCCTGCCCTGGCGAGGGTAGCGGAACCTGCCTTTCTGCTGCTTGCCAGCCTTGTTAGCCTTCTCTGGTCTTTATTGCCTAGTGTCTTTGACCTCTAAACTGTGTGTGTGGAAAATACTTGTGGACCGGGAGTTGTAGCTCATGGTGCATTGGGACCAGTTTGTACTCAGCTCACAGTGAAATGGCTGCTTTCCACTCTGGACATCACTGTGCAGAACGCTGACCCCCGCACTACTGGCTGGCTTGCCCCAGGCAGGCTGCCCTCATCTCTCCCGTCTGCTGCTGCAGCGCTGGTACTGTCACCCTGCACACAAAACACCTGTAACAGCCAGAAATAAATCGTGGTCTCTACTTCCTTAGGAACTTGCCTCATCTGAGCGCGCGCGCCGCCACGCTGAGCAGGAGAGAGATGAACTGGCTGATGAGATCGCCAACAGCGCTTCTGGCAAGTGAGTTTCCTGGTGGAGAAGGGAGGGCTCTCAGCTGAGGCACACTTATTGCGGGGACGGGGGCCACCTAGCAGTTAAAGATTTGGAAAGCTGAGTGCAAGGCGCTAGCCCTGACCACCACCACGGCCGGGTGCATGGGTGTGGGGTGGAAGGGACTTCCTGGGGAGGCTGGCACTGAGCGGCCCCTCTTCCTTGCACCCACCAGGTCGGCACTGCTGGACGAGAAGCGGCGCCTCGAGGCGCGGATTGCACAGCTGGAGGAGGAGTTGGAGGAGGAGCAGAGCAACATGGAGCTGCTCAACGACCGCTTCCGCAAGACCACGCTGCAGGTGACCGCACGGCTGTCCCCCTCCTGGGGAGGGCCATGCCGCCCCAGGACACGAGTGACCATGCCCCTCCCCTCTAGGTGGACACGCTAAACGCCGAGCTGGCGGCCGAGCGTAGTGCCGCACAGAAGAGTGACAATGCACGCCAGCAGCTGGAGCGGCAAAACAAGGAGCTGAAGGCCAAGCTGCAGGAGCTGGAGGGCGCTGTCAAGTCCAAGTTCAAGGCCACCATCTCAGCCCTGGAGGCCAAGATTGGGCAGCTGGAGGAGCAGCTAGAACAAGAAGCCAAGTAAGAGGTCCTTGACACCATAAACTGAAACCAAAAGGCGAATCTGTTATGAGCAGGCTCGGGGCTCTGGCTGAGTCACACGGGGAGGGCCTGTAGGTGCTCAGTGGTCCAGAGAGGTGGCCTCTGAGCTCTGCCCAGCAGCTCCTCCGGTCCCCACCCAGGACCTGCTTCCCAGGTGAGTGGCATCTGGAGTGTCTCACTCTGGCCGCACCAAAGCATTCCGCGCTGTCTGGTCCAATTCAGGGCTGGCCTTTGGAGATGGGGCCTGTGCTGAGGGCAAAGAATCGGTCACTTCTGAAGGAAAAATGAAAGCACTGTCCCCTGGGGTGGGACACATCTGAGCTGGAGAGACACTGCTGGTAGGACACAGGCGTCCCCCAAGGGTGTCCGGGACTCTTGTCACCTACATGGGACCCTTGGATCGAGTTCCTTTCCTGGCCCAACCCAGCTGCTGCTGCAGGCACCTAGGAAATAAACCAGCAGATGGAGATTCTCTCAAATTTTTTATAATACCGTTAAAAGTATGCATTTCCCCCTTGAAAATATCAAGAATTTCAAAGACTGCGGTCACTTTTGCAGGGAACGAGCAGCTGCCAACAAGCTGGTGCGCCGCACCGAGAAGAAGCTGAAGGAGATCTTCATGCAGGTGGAAGATGAGCGGCGACACGCGGACCAGTACAAGGAGCAGGTAGCTCGCCACGCGGGGGCGCTGCAGCCCGGGAACAGGAGCGAGTGAAGGGAAGTGCCCTCTGGAGCGCCTCACTCTGCTGTTTCCATGGCATACGGGCTCTCAGGGGCTGTAAGGTGTTCAAACAGTGGGCATTCACAGGGCACACCATAGAGATGGGGGTGGGCAAAAGCCAGCAGGTGGGAAAAGCTTTCCAGTATGAAGCCTCAACCATCTTCCCCCACCAGTGCCCAGACTGCAGGGATGCCGTGTGCTTGTGGGCTGTCAGTCATGAAACAGTGACAGGGTGGAGGCGTGGGCCTGGGCAGGTTACACCGCGGGACCCTCGGGGCGCACCAGGACCCGGCGCTCCCCACCAGCATGGGGCTGCGCCTCCTCCCGCTGTCGGGAGCGTCACTGCTGAGATAAGCAGGGGCGATGCACTTGAGTGCATGGCTGCCTCAGGCCTAGCAGTACCAAGGGCACTTCCCACTTGGCATGGGCCTGCCCGTGCCAGGCTCAGGAAGGCCTCAGGTGCTCACAGCACATCCTCCCAGAGTGCCATGTGCTGGAGTGCCATGTAATCCTACCGCCCGAGTCGGGGGTGTCCGCATGATGTGCTCTGCAGTCAGTCATGGGAAGGTCGAAAACTCAGGACGAGTGGATTCTGCCTTTGCTCAGAATGGCAGGCCAAGAAATCCCAGGGCAGGGCCTAGCACGGTAGCTTAACAGCTAAAGTCCTCACCTTGAACACGCTGGGATCCCATATGGGCGCAGGATCTAATCCTGGCATCCCCAGTTCCCATCCAGCTCCCTGCCTGTGGCCTGGGAAAGCAGTCGAGGACGGCCCAAAGCCTTGGTGCAGGGTGGAGATCTGGAAGAGGCTCAGGGCTCCTGATTCGGATTGGCTCAGCTCCGGCTGTTGCAGCCACTTGGGGAGTGAGTCATCGGATGGAAGATCTTCCTCTGTCTCCTCCATATATCTGACTTTGCAATAAAAAAACCTTGGAGCTGCCTGGTGAGTTCCCCGTCACCCAGGCATGTGTATGTGCTCACAGCCTACCAGGCAAGGGCCATACTGCTGCCCAGGGGCACAGGGCTGGCACTAGACTCACTGTGGTCTTGTCTTGGCTCCTGTAACTCCCCCAAGATGGAGAAGGCCAATGCCAGGATGAAGCAGCTCAAGCGGCAGCTGGAGGAAGCAGAGGAAGAAGCTACACGTGCCAACGCCTCCCGGCGTAAACTCCAGCGGGAACTGGACGATGCCACCGAGGCCAACGAGGGTCTAAGCCGCGAGGTCAGCACACTGAAGAACCGGCTGAGGTGAGTGCCAGGGCCCCCAAGCTGGCAGGCAGCTGCCCAAACTTCCCCAGCCTTAATGATAGCCCACAGGAAAAGGAACAAACTCGCTCTCTTTACCATTCACTGGCAGAAATGCTCAGGGCTGGAAAGTTGGGGCTGTGGGGTCCGAGCCCAGGTGTCCATCCTGTGTTAGAGGGCTTCCATCTGCTGCTACCCCAGTGGCCAGAGCTAGGCAGGCTGAGTCAGGGGATCAAGTACTTACGCCTTCCCAGGCACATCAGCAAGAAGCTGGGTCAGAAACGGAGCAGCTCGGACTCCAACTGGCACTCATTTGGGGTATGCCAACAGCATACCAGGCATTTGCTTCCCACAATGCAGGCCTCCAATAGCCTTGAGTGTGGAGTTTCCAGCCTTGGTGGAGCCAGTGCAGTGGCTCAACAAGCTGATCATCCATCTGCAAGCGCCAGCATCCCACATGGGCGCCGGTTTGTATCCCGGCTGCTCCACTTCCCATCCAGCTCCCTGCCTGTGGCCTGGGAAAGCAGTTAAGGACAGACTTGGGCCCCTGCACTCGCATGGGAGACCCAGAAGAGGAGTGAACCAGGATATGGAAGATCTCTTCCTTCTTTCTGAAAATCTGCATTTCAAATACAATTTTTTTTAAAAGGCAGCAGGATGTTGAGAGCAGCATGCAGCGTGGGGAGAAGCACTGTGCAGCTCCTGATGCCAGCTACCTGCCAAGGCACATCCTGGAAGCTGCCTGCCGCTCACTCACACCTCTTTTGTGATCCAGTGATCCTGGCTCCCAGCTTTGGCCCCAGCTGTTAGACACCTAGGGAGCCAGCCAGATCCAAATGCTTAACGGTAAAATCAAATAGACTGGGCAGAGGCTGCTGGCAGAAAGGCCCCCTGGACTGCAACTGCCTCTCCACACTGACTGTGCTCTGAGGGCGCAACAGCAGCCTGGCCATTGGGCACGCGTGGTCCACATCCTGCTGCCGTACAGCCAGCGAGCCAAGGGTAGTTTGTACATGAGGAGGGGTTGTAAGACAACACAGACGCAAGAGCAAAAAGCCTGTGTGGTCTGAGAGCCGCACTCACACCTTTGCTGGCTGAGCCCAGGGAAGCAGCGTGTTGCCTGGCATGACCCAGGTCGGGACAGTTCCTTCCCCAGTTCGGGACAGTTCCCACCCTACAGCCAAGTGTTCCGAGGAAGGGGTGAGACCGATGGCTCAGTTGCTAGGGGTCAAGCAGCCCGAGTGCCACCCGCCCCTGCAGGTTTACCCACACGCGTCTGCTCTCTGCTCTCTCCAGGCGTGGGGGCCCCATTAGCTTCTCTTCAAGCCGATCTGGCCGACGCCAGCTGCACATCGAGGGAGCTTCCCTGGAGCTGTCAGATGACGACACAGAAAGTAAGACCAGCGATGTCAACGAGACACAGCCACCACAGTCGGAGTGAAGTCGCAGGCAGCAGAGGGGGCAGTGTAGTGGGACAGAGGGACTTACCCCGGTGCCAGCCCGCCCGGGGGCCTCTTCCAACACGGTTAGGCACTTGGCAAGCGACGGGATTCCTTGCGCAAGATCAACTGTGTCTTAAGACTCTGCAGCCTACGCGTACTGTACCCTGCTTCAGGTTAGGTACACCTGCTCCCTTTTTATATATATATATACATAACACCAAACATGCGTATTAAACAGATTGTCTCCTCATCGCATCTATTTTCCACATAGTCATCAAGAGACATTTTATAACACATGTTAAGAAGAGAACCCTTTTTAAAACACAAATTCTGGACCCTTGGAGGCCAGTAGCCGGGTTGGGGCAGCCCTGTGGTCGCTCTGCATGCTCTGTCACAGACAGACGACTTAGTTCTGTGTCCGTGTGGCCCGACTCCTCGGCCACAGCAGTCACTTTGTGAACATTGTGGAACCCAAACTGCACTTGTGTCTTTCATTTCCTTCCGATAATGATACGCTATTTCAATGAGCAAACTGTGAAAGGGGTTTTGGGACAATTAGAGGGGTGGGTTGGATTGGGGGGAGCGGCATCCATTTGGGGCTACCATGCCCATCTCCCAAGAGATCGCTCTGCCCCTCAAGTTGATAGTGTCCCCACAACTACTCTTGTGAACTGTCCCTGGCCAGGGCTGCTGTGGGCATTACAAGGGTAGAGGCCACGAGGTGGCCAGGGCCCCAGGTGGCAGCCAGCCCAGGGACCCCAGAAATGGGGCCCGGGGTCCCAGCAGGAGCTGGGAGATCCCCGCCCCACTCCCATCGCCAGCCAGGCCCTCCCGCCGACCCTGCACATTCAGCCACTGCTTTGAGCCCAAAACGGGAATCTTGGTTTTGTGTCCAAGGCCTGTCCCGGGTGTGTCAGGGAGGCCCAGAGGCCACCGCCTGAATGTTGACATGCCAGGGGGGAGTCCTTTTCCCCTCCCTTGGGACAGCGTTCCAGTGACCACGTAGCGTTCTGTTTCTGGTTGATCGCTGAGCAAGCTGACATTACAGAAAGTGCCTTAGACACTACAGTACTAAGACAATGTTAAATATATTATTTGCCTCTAACGATTTCATGTATTAAGTTTTGACTGTGCTTCATATCATGTACCTCTCTAGTCAAAGTGGTATTATAAACATTCAGTGACAATGAATCAGTGTTAATGAGAAATCCTTGACCCTCTGCAATGTGCTTGAAGACAAACCTTTTGGGTTAAAAGCTTTAACATCTGTTAGGCAGAACTCGTCGTGTGGGTTTGGAATCTTAAGTTTCCCCTTTATGAACTGTCCTGGCTGTTGACCACCAGACACCTGACTGCAAATATCTTTTCTTGTATTCCCATATTTCTAGACAATGATTTTTGTAAGACAATAAATTTATTCATTATAGATACTTACGCCTGCTCTGTTTACTTGGAGAGAAAAGCACCCGCTGCAAATGGACAGACCTCAATAAACAATGATCATCACGTCAACATGCAGTTTTGTCTTCTCACCTTCTGTTCTCCACGTCCGTCTGAGCTGACTGGAGGGAGCAGCCCGCAGCCCCGGGCCGGCTGCTGCCAAGGGAGCGTTCCTGCTCGCAACTCAGTGACTCACCGCCACGTCAGAGCGTGAGAAGTGGCAGGACACGCTGCCCAGGAGGACTCGGGCGGTACCCGCCAGGAGAGCACAGAACCCCATGTGGAATTCTGGCTTCCAATTCTAGAACCTTCTTAATTTAGGCTGGTTCTGGTAGTAAGAAATATAACTTCAAAAAGTTGGTAGAAAAGTAGGGATCAGTGCTGGGGCCCTGGGAATTAAGTCACCACTTGCACAGCCTGCAACCGCTCTTGGTACCACTCGGCCTGGCTGCCAGGCTGCCCGGGGAGGCAGTGGGCGGTGGCCAGCACAGAGACTGTAGCGGAGTTACTGGCTCTTGGTTATCACCAGCATCTGCAGGGTGAGCCAGAGGATGGAAGATCTCTTGTCTCCCTCACTTTTTCAACTAAATCTTTCATTTAAAAAAAAAAAAAAAACTTATTTTGGAACTAAAACAAGTTGAAATCCATGTACAGATTTTTTGCAACATTTTCTATGAACATTTTGCAAATCCCTCATGCAGATTTCAAAAACCAATGTATACTGCTGTCCCCAGCAACAGGGAAGGCCAGGGATGGAAGTGGCAATGGGCTCTAGTGTCTGCCTCATGTCCCAGCACCCCCAGGGAGTCCTGAGTGCCTGCGACCGCACAACTTGAGCACGCCCTCAGCTGAGCCTCACCTCGGCAACGGCTGCTCAGCCTGGGGGACGCACACAGCCCACGCCGGACTGCTGTCAGCAGTCTTCCTGGTGCTCTGAGCACCCAGCCAAGGCTGTACAAACAGTGAAGAAGGTTCCTTCTAGTTGGCCACTGGAGTCCATCCAGACTGTTCCTCCTGGGAAGCCAAGAAGCTGGGGAGGAACACCCAGAGGGCAAAGTCCAAGGTGTTCCCCAAGAGTTTATGTGGCTCACCACACCCCTACAGCACGACACTGGGGAGGCAGAAGCACCTTCACCTCCCTAAGTTCCGAGCACCGAAGCATGGGGGGCCACCTTGTCACTGTTCTCTAGCTCAGTCACTTATTTTGAACCAGGACCCAAGCTTACCTGGAGGTGCCAGAACACCAGCTCCCAGACCTGGCAGCCCACACCCTCTTGCCAGGCCTCTCCCCATCAATCAAGGTCCAAGCAGCTCTCCACACTATCAGCAGTCAGACTCTGGTAAACAAAAATGCTCCCCGGAAGTGCCACCAGGACTCAGGGGCAGCAGGACAAGGTCGGACCCCACCTCCTGACCCTGCACAGCAGCCCCCACCAGCACCATCAGCTGGCTGTTTACCTACCACGAGCCTGGTCATGCTACTCCATTGGGTTTGCTCATAACATTCACAAATTTCCATATTTCTTAACACAGGCAGCACCTTTCCGATAACAGGCTTCAAATCACAGGAAGAAAAGTGATTTACAAACAGGATTCCTCACATTTTTAGGAAAGAAACAAGTAACAAGCTTGTGGTTTCAATTTGCTTTAACCTTTGGGGAAAATGTGTAAACACCAGAGACAATGCAGCCAAGGAGTATCTTGGCCCCCGCCAAGCCAACAGGGAGCCAGCGCTTCGGACCGCCCGTCTCTGGAGGGAAGATCTGGTGACAGGGGCCTCCCCATCCCAATGCGTGGGCTCCCAGGAGGCAGCAGAGCGGGCACACCCCAGCTCACACAAGATGTGGGGTGCAGGCTGGATTAATCCCCCACTGCCACGGCAGCACCAGCCACTGCTCGCCTTTCTGCAATTTCAAACAAGCTTATCCAGACACAGACTGAGCAAGGGAGAAAGGCCCTGAGGCCTCGTGGAAAGGCTCAGCAGCCCAACTGGACTCACTTCCGGTCCGCTTCCCTGTCCCTTCCGTTGCCTGAGGCAGCAGCACACCTTGCTCACGGGCCTCTGGGTGCGTTCTCCATCCCAGCTCTGGCTCTTGGCAGAGCTGCAGAGGGAGGGGCTGCGATGGTAGACATCTGGCTGCAGGCAAGTAGCGTGCTGGCTCCTGCTCCCACCCGGGGAGATGTCTAGGGAGCAAGGGGTGAGAAGTGAGATGAAACTGCTGCCCACAGACACTGTGTCAACCCCTGGAGCAGCAGCCCCTCTTGCAGGGAAGACCACCCCATGAGGGGACCCAGCATGGAGGACAACGCTGGAAGGCGGGCAGCCCTAGGGAAAGGAGCCCCTCGGGAGCCATCTTCAGCTAGACAGGACACCATCGAGGAGCCAGAGGATGCCCTGAAAAGCCGACATCAAGGCCTGCTGCATCATGAGGTTCCCTTGTGGAGTCTGAACGTAAAGACCAAACTGGATCTCCACAAGCCCAGCCCGCACAGGGTGGCCTGCTCCCGCTCCCCTGGACCCAAGGGTGGTGTCCCACCAAGTCACAGAGGGTAGACTGGATGAGCCCCAAGGCACCCAAGGCAAAGACACTGAAACCCCAAGGGCCAGGGATTGAACACAGGGTGCCAACCTCCTCCTCGTTTCAACTGGCTAGTTCATGTTCCTGTTTGGGGTTGCTGCAGAAGACACCTGTTAGATGCCAATACCTCTCTTCCAAATGGGGGGACAAGCAACCAGGAGCCCCAGCACCTCTTGAAGACAAAAGCCCCTCTTGGAGTGAGCCACAAGCTCCCAGAGTGGCAGGCGGGCGGGTCTCCTACCCGAGAGACACTATTCCAACGATGCTGCTGTGTGAGCAAGCGCACGGTTCACAGCTCCTCCTGCCATGGGCAACCACCAGTGGGAACCAGCCACATTCAGATGCCACCTACGCACACCTCAACGTGTCACCTGGGATCTTACTACCCAACACCTGACACCCTCTCTGCTCACGGGCATATACAGGCCCTCCGGCCACTGAATCCTCGACAGCATCCATCCCACAGGCATGTGGCTCCAGAGCTGCCCGGTGGCCCCCGCCAGCCCCTGCCACTCCGAGGTTGCTCCTATAAGCAGCACAAGAGCTCATGTGGTCCCAACGACGACCCCCAGAGGCCAGCTGCATCCTCTGGGTGCCATGCCAGGATCGCAGTCTGGCCGACGCCCCCTTCAGCACACAAGCACTCGAGTTCTTCTCACAGACGGCAGGAACCAAGAAGACAACCACAATCCTCTTTTTCTGTGAAATTTATTGTTTCCACATTAAAAGATTTTTGGGGAGGGAAGTGTTGTTTTTTAACCTCATGATGATCCTATACAGCTGCCCAGAGCAGGACACCATCGGAAGTCAGTAACATGCCATGTGAGTTCTGAATAAATAAAAGCTACAAAGCCCAAGTTATATACAAATATCTTAGGCAATAATGTTTACAAACCTATGTACAATAAAACAAATGTAAACAGTAAATGCAGCATGAGTAATCAAAGGATGCACAGGACAGCCACGGGTAGTCAGCCAGCCCCCATCTTCCTGACACACCTGCCACGGCCCCCAGGAAGGGGACGGACCACGCTCTAGATGTCACCGCACTGCCAAAGGACCAAAAAGCTGGCATGGGGAGGTGGCTGCCCCCACCCCACCCCCATCTGAGGCACGCAGAGGAGGAGGCCTGGTGGCCCAGCCTCCCACACACTCTGGGCCCTGGCCCTCTGCTGCTCCAGGAGGCTGGCTGGATAATGGCGGCTGCTACTTAAAACCGGAAGATTCAGGAAACGTTTCCTCACTCACTGACCTTCCTGACTCCAGGCAGGAACAGGCCCCGCCACAGGGGACTGGGACTGGGGGACACATGATCGTGAGCTCTGCCGACGCCCAGGGGCACTCAGGAGGAGGGCACGGGTCAACCTGATTCAGGGAAGAACTTCGAGAAGATTGGCAATGTCCTAAGCACAACTAAATCCTATCAGTACAGCAGGGCGGGGCTATGAGGCAGGTGTGACGAATGGGTACGTCTGCATCCAGTGACCAAGTAATACAAGTACGTATCACCTCGTGACCCACAAAAGTGCAATCATGTGAAACCAACGGCACTACGGCAAGAAGAGAAGACAGCCAGTATTGAGATCGCGCAGAGTCCTGGGTCTGGGCGGGGCCCAGCAGCCACCGCTGCACGCAGCCTGCCCTCGGCCAGCCGTGTAGGGAGCAGGAGGCGGCGCACAGGGCAGGGCCCAGGCACCGAGGAGCAAGGCGGGGGGAGGGATTCTGGGTTGCTGGAGGAGGGCAGGTGCCCCCAGGGGCCGGGCACTCACACACTGAGCGGCAGCATCCCGGGTGCCGATGAGGGGCGCGAGGAGCCCAGGGCAGGAGGAGGAGGAGCTGGGTCAAAGCCGTTTACTGCCCTGCAGGGGTGAGCAGAGCAGAGGAGAGAGAAGGGCAGAGTCATTTACAGTCACTCCACACACCCCAAAAACTCAACCTGCTTCCTACAGCTATTCCTTTTTGGGGCCTGGGGGGAGAACCCTGATGGCTCCTGAGGGCTAAGCTATCTAGCAAGCCCCTCTCAGCCAGCTGGTACACAAATTCCCTGCCCAGCACAGGGCCCACTATAGCCAGGGGGCTGGCCGCTTTCTGGGTAGAGAAGGGGAAAGGCAGCAGGCAGAACACGGTCTGGGCCGCGGAGTACAGACACCACAAGCTGGGATGCTAAACCTAGGCCGTGTGTCTTACCAAGTGCATAACTGAGAAGACTCCAAAAAGTCCCTGTCAAAACTGTGCATCCATTTCCAAAGTTTCCTGCTCCAAAATAAGCTCTTGTAATTCTATTTCCCCACAAACCTTTTAAACTAGCCTCATATATATAATATACTCACACTCAACCCTCATGAATACACGATATGTGGATAATATACTTTAAATAACATACACATTTTATATAGAGACATGTATACATATATGCACATAAATCATATTGCTACAGATCAGAGAAGGAAAACTGAACAAGTTACTTTTTTCCCTCTGGGTTGTAGGTAAATTTTGTTTGTGACTTTACTGTTTATTATTTTCTAAAGAGCTGACACTGTACACCGAGGATTTTAACAAGAGGGAGAAAAACAACTTCAGCAAGCAAAGCCAGACGAGTAGGTTTCCTCTGCAGAGCCCCGCGCAGGCGGCCCAGGCCAGCGAAGCACCTGCAGCACGGCCCGCCCCCAGGTCCCGGCCCCAGCCACCAAGCAGGGCAGCGGCGGGCAGCAAGGAGTGCAGGCCTGGAGCTCGCTCGGGTGGAGGCCACCTCAACCTTGTGTCCTGAAAACCTCCCAAGGAAACGTATGCCAACACCACCACAGAGGCCCAGCCACCAGCACACGCCTTCTTCAGCAGAGGGTCCCAACAACTGGATACAGACTCGTGCAGGAAAAAAAAAAAAAAAAGACAGGGGCTGGCATTGTGGTGCAGCAAGTTAAGCCACAGCTTCCAACACTAGCATCCCACCTGGGTACCATTTTGTGTCCCAGCTGCTCCACTTCCAATCTAGCTCCCTACCAATGACATAAGAAAAAAAAAAAAAAAAAAAACAGAAGACCTAAGCACTGGCTCCTGCCAGTCTGTGGAAGACCTGGAAGAATGTCCTGGCTCCAGCCCTGGCCACTGTAGCCAGCTCGCTTCCCCACCCCCCCCCCAAACTCTTTCAAAGAAATAAAAATAAATATTTTGTTAAAAAGAAAGAAAAAGACTCACATTTCCTGCAGTCATTTTGTACCCTGAAGTGTAAGGAAAGTACAGAGAAGCAGGTGCAGAAAGAGACTTGATACCCCAAGCAGGAGTTCACATCGAAAAAACTAAACTCGGGGACCCCGACTCAATGGCTCAATTGGCAAATCCTTGCCCTTCAAGCACCAGGACCCCATATGGGCATGGGTTCATGGCCCGGCTACTCCACTTGCCACCCAGCTCCCTGGCTTGTGGTTTGGGAAAGCCCAAAGCCATTGTGGCCACCTGGAGAGTGAACCCATGTTTGGAAAATCTTTGTCTCTTCTCTGCAAATCTGCCAAGAAAAATAAATAAATCTTAAACAAAAACAAACAAACAAACAAAAAAAGATATGGGCCAACCGGGCGTGGCCAAGTGGCTAAAGTCCTCGCCTTGAATGTGCCGGGATCCCATATGAGCACCGGTTCTAATCCCAGCAGCTCCACTTCGCATCCAGCTCCCTGGCTTGTGGCCTGGGAAAGCAGCTGAGGACGGCACAAAGCCTAGGGACCCTGCACCCATGTAGGATACCCGGAAGAAGTTCCTGGTTCCCGGCTTCAGGATCGGGCGTTGCGCTCACTTGGGGAGTGAATCATCGGACAGAAGATCTTCCTCTCTGTCTCTCCTCCTCTCTGTAGATCTGACTTTCCAATAAAAAATAAATACATCTTTAAAAAAAAAAGATGACTAAGCTAAATTCGGAAGACCTGTTTAGGGTTTAAACTACAGCCACGCCCACCCAGAGCAGAGGGAAGCCGCTCTGGCAAACCCAACTGCTCCGCAGCAGCTGTGGTCCCACTCCCATGCACACAGCCGGCATGCTCCCTTCTCTCTTTGGACTAAGGGAGGGACTGTCTGAGGCTCATCCTTTTTGAAAGCTTCCAAGCTACGTGTCCAGGCCTCTTCTGGGGAGAAGCACAGCTCCTGTTTACCACCGTAGCCCTTACCCAACAAGCCCCAGCTATCACCATCTGGCTGGGCACAGGCGCAGAGTGCCCAGGGGACCGTCGACCTAGACCACCTCATCAACAGCCTGGTGACAGCACTCAGGGTGACCCACAGCCTGCAGCCCACAGGTCATGGAGGATGCTGAGCTACACAGCACAGTCTCCCCACCTCATGGGGGCCTGGCAGCAGCCAAGAACCTGACCAGCAGGCCACAGGGGCCTGCAAAGCAGCAGCCACAGGGATGGGTGCCTGGGCAACCCTCATGCTGGGATCCAAGCCTTTGAGGACGTGGACCTTTAAGGAACATCAAGTTCATCTCCGAGGGAAGATCCAGGCAGTGCCCTGAGCTCTCCAGGGAGCTGGTCCAGGGAAGGGGGGCCCACAACCTGCCTGCAGATGCCTAAGTCACGCTCCCTTCCCAAATGGCAGCTTCAGCAAGCAGTGCCCAGGGCCCCCAAAGCAGGACCGACTAATGGGGCAAAGAACCAGTATACAGACAAGGAACTTCTCTGTGCGGGAGGAAGTGAACTCAACCTGTGCAGGTGAGAGGGGGATGGCCTGCCAGCCTCACCCTGCACCACTCTCTTCTGAGTCTAGAAGCAGGAAATCAAAGGCCCCTCCAAGGAGACACACACCAGCCACTCAAGTAGGTCTGGGGAGGCCCGTGGCTAGGGACTCCAAGCTGGGTGAAGGTGAAAGCTGTGCAGAGTACCACCTCTGGACACCTAATCTGTGGTTGCAGGGAGTAGCTACCACGCCGAAAGAAACACCCAGGCACAGTGACAGGCACATCAGGGAGATACGGGGGGGACAGAGCCAAGCGTTCGCTATGCCAAACAGGCTCCGAAGCGCTGCAACGTCACAATCTGCCCCCAGAGGTAAATTACAGAACTTGAAACCCCTGCCAAGACAAGGTACATTAAGGTCGGCAGCTGTCAAGCAGCAGCGGAAGAATCCAAGAAATGGGATGGGCCAGGGCACCTTCAGAAACTCGTCCGGGAGAGTCTGAGCTAACATAGCAGCGACAAAGGGCGGAAGCTAAACCTGACAGGACACAAGGCCAGGACAGCTGAGAGGACACCACAGGAAACAGGGAGTGGCTCCCAGGATCGAGTCACCCCATCTCCCCACGTAGGTCAGGAGGAGCTCACAGCAGCTCAGCAGCCCCAGGCCTCGGCCCTGGCTGATATAAGCTAACCACACGTGTCTCCATTTGACACGCCAAGTGAATTTGGGAACACAAAAACACTCAGAGACAAGGGGGCACCACTTAGAGACCTCCGTGGCAGGTGACAGGGAGAGTCATGGCCTCCACATGGGACCTGTGGACCCCCACCCCTGGACTCAAGACACCACTGCAGCAGACTAAGCTGAGAGCCACAGCCACCCCGAGGCCACCCCCCCTTGCTGCCTTCCTCACGCATGATGTGCGCAGTCAGCTCAAACGGGACCCTGAGAACTACTTCATGGGCTCTAAGTTGGTTAAAGCTCAGTCAGCCCCATGCAGTTAGCAAAAACCAATTTGTTAACATCTGTTCCAACCCACACCGTGATTCAGAAAAGAAGAGCACAGCAAACAAATTCAGTTACCCATGAATAACGTGGGAAATATGACTTTTTCTTGCCTAATAAAAAAAGGAAAAAAATATTAACTGTAAATACAAATACTATTTTCAAACCATGCCCTAAAATTAGCCCAAGTCCACCTACAACACACAACCCCAAAGAAATTTTGTTTGACAAAATAGGGAAGCAGCACTAAACTAAATAAAAATCATGGAGAAGAATAGAATTGGAGAGAATTCAAGTGACTAACTGCACATGGGAAGGACCCCCATCTGGGTGTCATGAAGGCCACCAGTGCTGGGAGGAATAGTGGTTCACCTTGCTGCAGGGGTGGGGGATATGTGGGGAGGCACCACAGGCCCTGGCAGAAGTGATCCCAGACTAGACGGGGAGGTCCTCGGGCTGACAGAGCAACACCCCTCCTTAAAGGATCCTGTTCTCGGGGGGCAGGGTCTCACTGCGCCTGCAGGGCCTGAGGGGGGGTGAACCCCTGCGCACCCCCACACCACAAAGCCACAAGGCTGAGCTCCTTCCCCAGGCAGTCCTGCAGGAGGTTTCTCCAGCAGCGCCAGTCAGGGACAGTGCTGCACCCAGACTCAGCGGGGAGAGGCAGGCCAGGCCAAGGACACTTCCAACGGACTAGGTTTTGTTGTCTTCCCAATCTGCCACATCCAGTCGGGTCTGGGATGGGCCCTATCCTCCTTCAGTGGCTGGCACACACCAGCTCGGGCTCTATCCAGTCAGCAGAAAGGAAGGCCAGAGGGAAAGGTTGGAAAGCCAAAAGGAAACAAAAATCAAGGCCAAGCAGCAAGGAAGCACAACCCCAAGAGGCCTCTGCGAGCGACGAGGTGACTCGGGCAACAGGGGGTTAATACTTCAGCATGCACAGAAAGCCGGCTCAGCACATAAGCCAAGCCCCTGCGCAAAGGCTTGTTATAACACATGTTATTTTTAAATAGAAAGGGCATGATATAAAATTTGTACAGATTAAAATGAAAATGAAGCATAGTCTGACTGTTCTGGGTGCCCCATTCCTTGTGCAGTTCAGGAAATACATAAGGTTGGGGACACTCCTCAGGAGGCGGGGAACCAACAGACTGAACAGGGCCCAGGCCTGCGTGGGGGACACTCCTCGGGGTGCGGGGGCCCGACAGGCTGCACAGGATCCAGGCCCGCGATCAGCTGCCCCCTAGCCCTGCATACCCCTACCTAGTAATTCCCCTCTGGGCAACGCCTGCCCCGTTGTCCCACAACAGGAGCCACCGGGACGGCCACCTGGAGCAGTGAGCCTGAACGACAGGGCTAGCCCCCTTCAGCAGGGCTGTCCGGAGGCCTTTCCGACACACAGGCGGCTGTCCCAGCAGCCCTGGGACAAGCCTCACCTGCTCACCCACCTGAAGGTGCCCGAGGCCCAACAAGAACCAAGATCCCCGAGAGAGACTAATAACTACCCTGTCGGAGGCAATCACAAGTTGCTGGGGGAAAAAAACACATGATTTTCCACATTTATGAAGACTACACAAACTTTCCCCATGTCATTTGGAGGAAATGAGTACTGTAATGTACAAATTATCTACACACTCCCTTATCATTAGGGCACAAATGCCGGGGCACACCTGGCTGAAACATCTACACCAGAGGAAAGCCAACTATAGACTTACCCCGCCTGAGGAACCCCAAATCTTAGGGCTCAGCTCTAGTCTCCCAGCATTTTAGAATGTGCCTTTCCCAAAGTGACTGGGGAATGCACACACTGCAGCAGAGAACACTCCTTGGGGACAGAGGCCAGCCAGAGCGTGCCACTGTGAAGACAAAAGCTAGTCCCTCTGTAAATTATGTGTCACATCACTCTCCAGGACAAAGAAAACACAAGCTACTCTTAAAAAAAAAAAAAAATGAAAATTTCCAGAGTTGAACCTACACTGTTTTCACAGAAAAACAAGAAAGAATTTCTGGAGCAAGCAATTTGGAGTAGCAAGTGAAGCTGCTCCTGTGACACCAGCATTCTATATGGGCACCACTTCATACCCCAGCTGCTCCACTTCTAACCCTCTTAATGGCTGCGGAAAAACAATGAAAGACGGCCAAGTGTCTGGACCCCCACCACCTCTACGGGAGATATGGAAGAAGCTCCTTGCTCCTGCCTTGCCCAGCACTGGCCGCTAAGCCATCTGGTGAATGAATCAATGGCTGGAAGAATATCGCCCCGCCCCGCCCCCCCAGCCTTCATCTTCACTTGCCTCTCCCTCACTCTGTCTTTCAAATGAATAAATAAATATTAAAAGAAAGAAAGAAACAGAACTAATTGCCTCTGCAATGCAAGGCAGGCAGCGGCAAAGGGCCGGGTACCTTGGCTGTGTCCCAGTAGTCACCATGGCCACACGCTAACTAGCCCCTACACTAAGGCTTGTCTGAAGGCAGCAGGATCATGCTGCCCTGGGGAACAAGAACACTGGGGTGGAACCACGGGCACTGACACGGAGCAACACTGAGTGGCAGCCTCCGTCACAGCGGGCAGGCTGCAGCGTGACAGTCAAGTGGGACCCTGTCAGGGTGCTGGCAACAGACTGACGGCAGATGCAGGAGGTAGGATTTTACATGCCTACGAGTAACTGCATGGGATGCAAAAATAAAATGAAGGGAGTTATTTTTTACTGTGTATATTTCTATGCCAATGGAATTTTTTTGCATTAAGAATGTGCTACTGTTTTAATCTTAAGAAATTTTTAATTCCAGTTCCCACAACCAAAATCTTCACTTTATGCAAAAGTTTTATCTCCTAAACTCTATTCAATCCACAGTCTAAACACTTCAGCGTTTCATGCTTTTCCGAGATCTTTAAAGGGAGACTTGCTGCCGAGTTGGTCGCACGTGGGAGACTCCACCCTTACAGACCGAGCGTGCTGCCAGCCCAGGAGCTCCCTGGGCACTGCGACCACCCCCAGGCCTAGGGCTGGTCCCGCCCCCCCGGAGTCTGCTTCCCAGGATGGAAACTGCAGGCTTGGGCTCCCCCAGCAAGACGAGACAGGGACCAGAAGACAGACTTCCTGCGTCCCTAAGACTGGAAGAGCAACAGGCTCTCGAGCTCAGAGCCCCTTTCCAAGGGTCCAGGTGAGCTCACCAAGTAATCTCACGTTACCAGGTAACACATCCGGGACTTACCCTTTGTCGAAGAAAGACGTATGCCCTGATCGAGAGAACTTTGTGCCGTTGCTGTTCATCACCCCACAGTTAACATTCCCTGAAATATAGGATTTCCGTGATGCTTGGTCCTTTGCAAAATTCCTGCAAGCTGCTAATTTGGATTCTAAAGCCTGTGGGAAGGAGGAGAATGACATCACTGTCAAAACGATAACTGCACATACAAATCTGCCCTGCAAACCTCTTCTTGTGGGCCTGGCTCTGGGAGACCGGGAAGAGCTCCGGGCTCCGGATTAGTTCAGCTCTGGCCATTGCGGCCACCTGGAGAGTGAACCAGCAGATGAAAGATCTTTCTCTGTTTTTCCTTCTCTCAGTAAACCTAACTTTCCAATAATAAAAAAAATGCTTTTTTTTTTTAAAAAAACCTTTTCTGTTCCAAGTCCCAGCCCTCTCTGCCTTAACCAGTTATAGTTCAAAAGGAAGGAAGGAGATGCCGACTCCCACTCTAATGAGCTCAGGATATTCATTCCTCTCAGTACCACTGCAGGACAGACAGCCTCACCTACAACTGAAAAGGGGAGGTACAGGCTGGTACAGATCCCAGGTCAGTAGGCCCCATCCCACTATTTCACATCTTAGACAGTTTGTTGAATAAGCACTATAAAGAAGCCAAAAATGTGACTTGAGAACTTTCTTAATGCAGCCAATCATAGGCTCCTCATTTTAATTTTTTCTACTGCAGTGAAACAAATAAGAGTACTTAACACACCTCCACAAAATGACACTATTTCTAAGAACATACTGCAAGCTGTATAACTGATACCCTTCATCTACGATTAAATAATTCACCTGCAAATGATACCAGCCCTTTACCACTGACCTCTGAACTAGGTACCCTTAACATGCACCTGGCCAGTGAGCCAGGCTCTGCCAAGAGACGAATGGAGAGAACCAATTTCTCACCTATTCACACACTCATACACAGATATTATCCTTTCCCCACAAACACTCCAACCCTGAATAAGATTTAATCTATAGCAAAAAGGGAAAAAAAAAGAATGCATAATATGCTACAGGTACAACAGGGAATCCACTCAAAGCTGCTCCCCTGTGCATTCAATGGGTACTGCTTAAAAAGAAAAAAAAAAAAGGCCCAGCATGGCAGCCTAGTGGCTAAGCTCCTCGCCTTGCACATGCTGGGATCCCATATAGGTGCCAGTTCATATCCCGGCTGCTCCACTTCCCATCCAGCTCCCTGCTTGTGGCCTGGGAAAGCAGTAGGGAACAGCCCAAAGCCTTGGGACCCTGCACCTGCACACAGGATTCAGAAGAGGCTCCTGGCTCCGGATCAGCTTAGCTCTGGCCATTGTGGCCACCTGGAGAGTGAACCAGCAGATGGAAGATCTTTTTCTCTCTCTCCTTCTCTGTAAATCTGACTTTCCAATAAAAATAGTCTTAAGAAAAAAAACAGATGGACATTTTCTCATCAGGAAAGCACAATAAGCTTGTGAAAACAGACAGAAAGGAGGGAGGGGGTGACGTCTGCGTAAGCATCATACACGTTAAACACGCAGACACGGGTGTCAGTATCACTACTTCTCTGTACCCAAGACACATGCTCAAGTCTTCAAACATTAGCTAAGGGTCCAACACACAGCAGGCAAAAAGAAGAAGCTCCTGGGTCCTGGCTTCGGATCTGCATAGCATCGGCCGTTGCGCTCACTTGGGGAGTGATTCAACAGATGGAAGATCTTCCTCTCTATCTCTCCTCCTCTCTGTATATCTGACTTTCCAATAAATAAATAAATCTTAAAAAAAGAAAAAGACAAGTTAAAGTATTTCAGGAGTATTGCTGTAACACAAGGTCAGAAGCCAAGAAGGCACTGAAGCGGAGACAGTCCAAGAACAAATGGGAAAGACCAAAAACAGAAAGCAAGATAAGCAGGATGTGAACATCCCACACAAGGCCCAACAAGGGCATGACCAAAGGGTGTCAGCCAGCAGCCAGCGGACTGCAGAGAGCAGGCCTTTCAGACAGGGACACAGGCATCCTGCTGCTGCACCAGCCACAGGGCATGGTCCCTCAGCAGGCCGCAGCACACCTGCAAGTATCTGGGTCCCCTAGGCCTGTCCCTCAAGACTTTCACTTCCCCATTCATCACAGCCATACCATACAAAAACAGCCTTTATTCTTCCCACACTTTCAAACTAACAGTGTTACCTGGCAGGGTAAACATCTAGTGAGTAAATAATTGACCACTTACCCCTACTTTCCGTAAGAGATCCCCCACAATGTTTAGTGCTGATATCCTAGCCGAAGGAGTTAGTGGACTGGTACCAAAACCATTTGGTATAGCTAGAGAAAAACAAAAGGTCGAGTTGAGTTTCACTATTGCTGCTATAAAGCAGTATACCCACCAAGCAATACCAACACAGTACTTCAAGCTTCGGCTCCAATACAGAGTGGAGAACACAGACAGGGTTTACCGCCCTCCAACTGGTGACTATCAAGAGGCTATCCAATCTTTCACTACTACAAAAACAACACAAGGGCATACATCCTTAAATATTCAAACTACTTAAACACCCAGACAAGCACTTCTATTTTTAGGAATGCCAAAAGTAGAGCTACTAGGTCAGCAGACGTGCCCCACGGTTCTCACCTTAATAGAGACTGCCAAAATGTTCCTCAAAGAAAGGGTACCGCTATCTGCCAATATCAGCAATACGTAACTCTAGATCAACTTTCTTTTTTTGGTGGAAGAGCATGTGCATGGTGGTAGCGTAACTCTCATCTCTGTACGGTCACTGCAATGCCCTTGGAACTAACTCACCTGTCTACTCCACTCGCTTCCTCCGGCCTGTCCTTCCTGAATCAATGGGCAAGGACTTCATACATACATACTCTCCACTCTTCTTGTATGCCTGTTCGCCATTTCTAGTGTGACACCTCTATTCCTCCATGCCAACATCATCAAAATGTTCCCCATACATCAAGTGTTTTTAAACATTTAGCTTGTTTAAGTCACCAAGAATTTATAATTATCTGCATACATTAGCTCAGCTTCTTTCCACCCAAATGGACAGCCTATTGTCCTGGTATCATTTTAGTGAAGACTCACCAGAAACAGCACGAGAACCCCGAATTCCCTTGAACACATGGATCACGTCAATGCCATTGAATGATGAGTCCATGCCACCAGAATCACACAATTTTCATTACTACAGTGCTAAGAAACCCTGTGACATCTCAAAAACAAAGACCCTTCTTATAATTACCCTAGTCCAAACTATTCCTGGTTATTCTTGTATGTTTGCTGTTCCAGAATAACTTTATTTTTTTTTAAAGATTTATTTTTATTACAAAGTCAGATATACAGAGAGGAGGAGAAACAGAGAGGGATATCTTCTGTCCAAAGATTCACTCCCCAAATGAGCACAACGGCCGATGCTATGCCGATCCGAAGCTGGGAACCAGGAACCTCTTCCAGGTCTCCCAGGCTGGTGCAGGGTCCCAAGGCTTTTGGCCATCCTCGACTGCTTTCCCAGGCCACAAGCAGGGAGCTGGATGCGAAGTGGAGCTGCTGGGATTAGAACCGGCGTCCAAATGGGATCCTGGCATTCAAGGTGAGGACTTTAGCCACTAGGCCACGCTGCCAGGCCCTCCAGAATAACTTTAACATCAATTTTTTAACTTTAAAAGTCCTGATGGGATTTCTTAGAAGCTGGAAGTAGACTGATTTGGAGAGAAGGGCTATTACAAAATGTTAAGTCTCCCCATTAGGAATCACTGTCGTCACCTAACTTATTGACATTGCTTTTTCTTACGTTCCTCAGTGAAGGTCTTCATCAGTGTACATTTATCTTTTAAAACAACATGGTATAATGGCTAACAGCTCTTGAGCTGAACAGCTGCATCCAAATTCAGTTCTCCCATCTAATAATCATGTGCCTTCAGCAAGTTACTGAGTTGTAAACAGAGGCAAATAGCACTAACTTCATGAAATGAGATTAACTCACTGTGAGGTTGAACTCTAAGCACTGTAACGTGGGGAGGGTGGAGCACACAGCCATCACTCAGGAAGCACTGGCACAGTTGTTCTATCCTGTTCTCAGTGTCCATCAGCAGCTGGGTGCTTGCCGTAGGGGCACCGTGACTCCCAGCATCCCACACCAGGCACAGCCAACAGCAGGTGCTCAGCAGGACAGAAATCAACTGCTGCATTTTTCTCAGCAGGTATTTCCATATTTCATCTTTCCACAGTCTCCTCAAATTCTGCACTTTGGGTGTACTTAAATCTGTGCTTTTAAGATAAACTGCTCTGAATGTTTTGGATTTTGATTTATAAAACTGGGGCTTTGGGCCCGGTGGCATGGCCTAACTAAAGTGCTCACCTTGAACGTGCCAGGATCCCATATGGGCATCGGTTCTAACCCTGGCAGCTCCACTTCGCATCCAGCTCCCTGCTTGTGGCCTGGGAAAGCAGTCGAGGACGGTACAAAGCCTCGGGACCCTGCACCCATGTGGGATACCCAGTAGACGTTCCTAGTTCCTGGCTTCAGATCGGCATAGCATCGGCCGTTGCACTCACTTGGGGAGTGAATCATCGACGGAAGATCTTTCTGTCTTTCCTCCTCTCTGTATATCTGACTTTCCAGTAAAAATAAATCTTTATAAACAACAAAACCAACTGGGGCTTTACAAATCGAATATATTAAAGACCACTCCATAGAAATCAGCTCTTTACTCTTCCCACTGATCTTACTTTGTGGCTAGCGAAACCTTTGCCATCAGCTCCAGTCTACAAATGTTCTCTAATAGGAGAAATAGCACTGCCTTGGCATTAATGTAACGAAGTCTAGGGCCTGAGGATTCCCTAAGGACTCCCAGTGTGCATTGCCTCTGAGCACCCATATGTACTATTTACATATTAGTAATTCCAATATCTCTCTTCACACAGGCAGCTATTCAAAAGCTAGGGAGATGGGGAGAGCGAACAACAACTTTACCCTGCCTGTTGCAGCCCTGTACTCTCATACAGTCACACCCTCACATGCTTCATCTAATTTAACCTCTTAACAAGGCAAAGACGAGCTGAATTATCCAGTCAGGAAAATATTGAGCACTTGGAATATGGCTAGTCTGAGAAACTGAATTGTACATTTTATTTTATTTAATCTAAACTGAAATAGTCCTCTGAGACCAGTGGCCACCGCATGCAGCAACACATACAGACAAGCCTGCTTTTCTAACTGCCCAAACAGCAAACCTCACACCACTCTGAAAGACAAAACACAGTATTTAAAAACGAGTGCTATAGGACAAATCCCTTCAGTTTGGGACAGAAAAAGGCACGGGACAGTGGGAGCAGCTGAAACTTGACCTGTATGCTGAGTAAACAAGTCTGAAAATGGAGAACTTCAGGATTCTAACATAAGGTTTTACCTAGCGGCTCCTGGTTTTTCTAGATACTGTTTTCTGCTTATCTGGATTCAAAAAACAAAATTAACAGCAAAACACACAATGGCTGATGGCAAAAAGAATATTCTCAATGTACTACTCATCAGTTATCTGAATGCCACACTGGAAAATGGCAGCTCGGGAAGCATGTACCAGGGGCACACCCACCCAGCCCCAAGCCAATCGTGCTAACTCCGACCCCTGCTGAAACCTCAGCAAGCCCCACCTTGCCCACCGGCCCCTCAGCTCATCTGATGTGGCCTCAGAAAGCAGAGACAACAAACCTTTCGGCGATGGAAAGCTGTTTTCTGTCCCTTTGCCAACAGGGGTAGCTGGCAAGGAAAGGGATGCCTGGACAGCAGAATCCATCTTCTCACAGTCCAGGGTAGGAGAACTGGGAGCCGACTTCCGGGTCACTTCCTGTTGCCTTTCTCGAACTGCTAGTTCTTGCCTCAAATCTAAAGTGTTGCCAAGACAGTAATGCACATTAGAAGGAGCAGAAACCTTAAACGCAATTCTCTAAAATGTCAGAAAGGCATGGTTCCTAAACAACATTTCTCAAAAATGCATTTAAGAACTTTCATTTCTAGAAGAATAAACATGAAAACTGGATCAGAAGTGGAGCAGGCCAGGACTTGAACCAGCCCCATATGGGATGCCAGTCTGTAAGAAGGGGGATTAGCACGCTGAGCCACCATACTACCCCCTCAAACACTGACTTAAATACCAAAATACGCCAAATACCTGTTCCCCAACAAGAAAACTCATCAAACCTTTCATTTTGAAATGACACTGTAAAGTCAACAGGGTACATTTTCATAATTTTACATGAATTAGGATTTAACTACCACTATGAAATAGCTGTTTAAAAACAAAACAAGGTGGGCTCAGACCAGTAGCCTAGCAGCTAAAGTCCTTGCCTTGCACATGCCAGGGTACAGGTTCTAATCTCAGAAGCTCCACTTCCCATCCAGCTCCTGCTTGTAGCCTGGGAAAGCAGTCCAGAACGGCCCAAAGATTTGGGACCCTGCACCCGTGTGAGAGACCCAGAAGAAGCTCCTGGCTTCACATCAGCTCAGCTCTAGCCATTGCGGCTGCTTGTGGAATGAATCATCAGATGGAAGATCTTCCTCTCTGTCTCTCCTCCAGCGCAGTAGCCTAGTGGCTAAAGTGCTAGCCATGAATGTGCCTGGATCCCATACAGGCGCAAGTTGTCTCCCAGCTGCTCTACTTCCCTTCCAGCTCCTTGCCTGTGGTCTGGGAAAGCAGCGGAGGATGGCCCAAAGTCTTGCACCCTGCACCCATGTGGGAGACCCAGAAGCAGCTTCTGGCTCCTGGCTTCAAATCTACTCAGCTCCAGTCATTATGGCCCCTTGGGGAATGAACCAGAGGACAGAATATCTTTCTGTCTCTCCTTCTCTGTATATCTGCCTTTCCAATAAAAATAAATAAATCTTTTTTTTAAATTAGATCAGTGTAGTATCATTTTCTCACTTTCAGATATTTTCTCAGCTAAAATTTTTTCCAGTCATGCAGCTCACCTCTGAATACGCACTTATGTTAGAAAGGGACATGGACTCTTCCAAGTCCATGGACCACGTGAATTCAAGTACGCCCCAAGGATATGTTCATAGCTGAATAATTAACCATGGCAAGAAATGTATCCAAACATTCATCCACAGATGAGTGACAAAGAAATGGATGCAAACACTAGAATTTTCTCATATAAGTGATAAATAATACATAAACAATAAAGCAGGGAATCCTGTCACATGCTGTAACATGAACAAGCCATGAGGACATCATGCTAAGTGAAACAAACCAACACAGAAGGATAAACACTGCTTGATTCTACTCATAAGGATCTCAGGCCAGCAGAGTGGCACAGTATGTTCAACCATTGCTTGCAGCGCCAGCAGTCCTGGCTGCTCCTCTTTCAGTCCAACTCCTTGGAGGATGGCAGAAAATGGCATAGGTCCTCAGGCCCTATACCCACGTGGGAGACCCACATGAAATTTCTGGCTTTAGCTAGGCTTACCCTCCAGCGGATATAGCCATTTGGGCAATGAACCAGCAGATGGAAGCTCTCTCTCTCTTTCTCCCTAACATTGCTTTCAAATAATTAAGAAGTATCTACAGTAGTCTAATTCATAGAAACAGGAAGAACTGTGGTTAACAACCCCTGGGAGGAGGCAGAAGTAGGAAGTTCTTCTTCAGAGACAGTTTCAGGTTTGTAAGGTACAAAAGATCTAGACCCGTTACACAATGTAACACAGTACATTAACCACAGTACTAAAATAAAAGAGAGTTTCATACATCATGTAAATTACAAGAAGCTCTTCAGATAAATACACCACTTCCTCAGGAGAAAAGAAAAAGGTGGCCCCAGGTCCCACCCACTGCCATCATTGCGTGGTGGAGGGGATTGGGAAGGGGGCAACCTTGGGGTCTGGGGGTTAAAACTGCTCCTGGTGGGTGCCAGGCCGGGGCCATCTCCATGCTCGGAGCCCTGATTCCAGCCACCGCATACACGTGGTGAGCTGTACCCAGGCTCCGCCTCCTGGCCACCCAGTGGAGAACTCTGGGGTTTTGGTTCTTTGAATCGCTGCTTAGGTAGTCTCATGTTGAGCCCGTTGAGCCCGTCGTGCTTCTGGGAAATCAATCAACCCTAAAGACTCCTAATGACAGAGTAACTTATCCTTTGAAGTCAAGTGAAGGTAATGAGACCTGGAAGGTTTGAGGAGAGGGATCAGATGATCTTTATGGACAAGTCTGATATACCAACCTATGAATCCTGTGTAAAGCTTGCTATCACTGAACAAAACTGACCACCGAACAGCAGTCTATGCAAAAGCTCAAGCTCAGCATTTGTCGAGCAGATCATATCCTATTACCTGACATGATGATGGATCAGGAGACTGGTCTCACTAGCACAAGAGAGAACCATATCCAGGGGTAGATTCTGTGGGGGATGTGTGGGCCAAACCCTGTGGAAATACTAGTCCCACTGGTTAGCTCAAGAGTTGGAGTGGTGTTGGACTAAGCTAGGTGTGACCAAGGAGCCTGCCACAAGTAAAGGAAGCGATAACAGTCTGGACTGCTCAAGGCAGCAGCACCTAAATGTGCATCGTGAATAGGATGTGGAGTGGGCACGGCTGCAATGTTCACCAGCTCATACAAGGCCAAATGGAAGGCCAGACCATGCCTGACACTGGCCTAAAACCCAAAGGCATGTATGAGAACTGAGTCTGGAATGGGTCAAGTGGAGAAGCTTGGGAAACTCCCCTGGTGGGTCATAACTCCCACTGGTGAACACATGGTCCAGACCTGGGAGTTGGACAAGCTAGGCAAAGGAGCTCCAATGGCTGGCTAATGTGTGAGTTGGTAATTAAAGGGGGAAGATCGGGCAGGACTGAGCAAACCTTACCCCACAAGCAAAATCAGAAATCAGGATGGAGCACAGGTCATGCCAAGCTAGGCGCCTGCACCTACTGGTCTGTGTGAACCAGGAACACTAAGCCACTGCATCTAAGGCAGGGGCCAAGACAGGAGAGAGGCTGTGCCAGACTGAGTCAGAGCAACCACTGGCATGCATGCGATCTATGGCTGGGAACAGGCCCAGTTGGGGAGCTAAGGGGACACCCTACCTGGGTTGAGGTTCCCACCAAGGAGCACAAGGGCTGGAATGGGGGCTGTGTTCTGATCAGGATACAGTTGTAGTCTCACTTAGCCCAAGTGTGGACTAGGACAGGACACACCAAGCCAGGCTAGCACACCATCTGGTGCTCTAGAGGACCAGGGTAGATGTGGGACGGACTAGGCTAGGTCTCAGCCCCTACTGAGCCATGTGAGCTGTATGTGGGTATGGACAGGCCACGGCTGGGCTGAAGGCCAGTCAGGAAAAGCCACTGTTCCTGCTAGGACAGGAGGTGAACTGAGTAGGGCTGGCTCATGGACTCCCTGTATGTGTGAAATCTGGCATTGGGAGAGGTTCTGATCGAGAAGCCTGGGCAACTCCTCTGGCAGGACACAGACTCTGCAGGTAAGTGCAAGAAGCATTATAGGAAACAGCCCAGAACAGGCCATGGAAAGTTTCCCACTGGCATACATTTGGCATGGGTAGGGAGCAAACCAGGCTGAACCAGCTCACATCACCCACTAGCGAATCCGAGCATCAGAACAGAGTGTGGGTCGAACCAGGTTCAGTTGCCACAAAACACCAGTGCACAATCCAGAATGCCAAGGTGAGGTGACCTGTACCAGATGTGATCGCAGCACCCAACCTGCACATGAGAGCCAGGAAGGGAGGGGGCAGAGCTTGCAGGCGGAATATGGAGGGGTTCCCCTACTGGACAGCTACTCCCACTGGAGAGCGTGAGCTGGGATGGGGGCAGACCAGACTAAGCAGGGCTATAATACCTGTGCGCCTCATGTGGACTAGATCAGGGAAAAGCCAAACTGGGCTGATTGTTCCTACTAGTGCAAACAAAAATTGGAGTGGGTGAGGGTTGTCTGGGCTTAGTCGCAGCATCAGCTGGCAGAAGCTGGCTCTGGGGGCTACTCTGTCAACTTAAACCGCAGAACCACCTTAAGAGTGCATAATCCAGGAGTTGGAGTGGCCTAGAAGGGAAATAGTGGGCTCCTCCCTCTTGGGTTACCGCTCCCACTGGAGGGCATGAAAACTAGGACAGGGGCTGGAGTGGCTAGACAGAAGAGCGCCCAACAGCATGTGTGTGGGCTGGATAATGGAGCTGGTTAGATGGAACTAGGCTTCAATGACCACTCACATGTATGAGAGCCGAATGGGATATGGGACAGACAGGACTAGTCTGCTGCACATACTGGCAAAACAGGATAGGGGGTGGGCCTGGTAGGGGTTATTATGGGTCACTCCAACTAGGCTGCAGTTCCCACTGGTTTTTGTGAGGGCCGAGTGTGTGCTGGGCAGAATCAGGCTGGACTGTAACACCCATTGGTTCCAGTGGAAGACAGGGCTGGAAACAGAACTGACCTAGCAATTTCAACCACCAGCTGATTGGGGCGATGGACTGTGCCAGGCCCTGTACTTTCTAGTATACACAAGAATCTAGTCTGGGAACACCTAAGACAAAGTTTCTTTGAGGATCTCATCAACTGAACTGCCAGACTCAGAACCCTAACCATGAAAACACAAATGAGGACAGAACATGTCAATCAACCAACTCAGCTATATGTTGGCAGTAAAAAACTGGGCAAACGAAGACTCTATGATGGACTATGTCAATCAGTGGATTCTTCAACGACCTCATCGTGCTTGGAATAGTGAGACTGGCAGCAATTCAGAACTGTTGTACTATCAAAACCACTTGAGCAAGACCCTCAGAGCATACCCCACATCAGGGACTTGAAGTGGGTGGGAGACTGGGTGGGGCTTCTCCCTTAATATCCCCCTTTACCCCAAATACATGAAGGAAACAATGTGGAAATAATAGTCTTACCCACTTCCCTGTAGCCCTTGAACCTTTTTACCCCAATTAACTATGTAATGATTGTCAAAAACATAATTTAAAAATGGGGGGGAAAAAAAGGCATGAGAAAAAACAAACAGGGTCTGGCACTGTGGCCCATCAGGTTAAGCAACCACCTGCAATGTTGGAATTCATAGTGTCAGGGTCTCACTGTTCCACTTCTGATCCAGCTGCTTGCTACTGTGCCCGGCAGAGGATGGCTCAAGTGGCTGGGTCCTCCCTCCCATGTGGGAGGTCAGGCTGGAGTTCAGAACCCCAGCTTCTGTCCGGCCCAGTAGTGTCAGCCACCACAGCCATTTCAGGAGTGAGTCAACAGAGGGAAGACCTCTGTGTGCCTCTCCTTGCATCTCTGCCTTTCAAGTAAGCCAATTTTTTTTAATTTTTTTTTTTTTTATTAGAAAGTCAGATATAGAGAGAGGAGGAGAAAGAGCAAGCTTCTGTCCGCTGATTCACTCCCCAAGTGACCACAATGGCCAGAGCTGAGCCAATCTAAAGCCAGGAGTCTGGAGCTTCTTCTAGGTCTCCCATGCGGGTACAGGGTCCCAAGACTCAGGGTTGTCCTCCACTGCCCTCCCAGGACACAATCAGGGTGCTGGACGGGAAGTGGGGCCACTGAGACCAGAACCAGTGCCCATATGGGATCTGGAGGATGCAAGGACCCCAGCTGCTAGGCTACCACACTGGGTCCTCAAGTAAATAAATCTTTAAAAAGAAAAAAGAAGGAAGTGGATCCTGAAGCTTACCCCAACTAGGGTCAGATAATGGACAAATATTCTTTAAATTTTAATGTTACCTCTTGCTTCATCCTTTAACCGCTGTACAGAAACCAACAAAGATTCCTTTTCGTCAAGTTCACTTTCTAAAAATGCGTTTCGTTCTATGGCCTGATTTAGCCTCTGTTCAAAGTCTTCCAATGAAACTATCGTTGCCCTGGGAAAAAAAAAAATCAGAGTCCATGAAGTGAGTGAGTACAAGCAAAAAAAGTTAATACAAAAGGAAACTGCTGGTTGATTTCATGACGTTCCTCAGCTAGCCAACTTTACAAGTTCAAAGAGAATAGGCTCGCCTTCTTCCCAACCTCCTGTGCCACTTAGTGTCTCTACTTCCACTGGGGCCATCGGTACAGTCTCTAGAATTCTTACCTAAACCCCTAAACTTCCTTCAAGAAGGGTTACCTGTTACACTACATTTCCATTGGATTTTAAACATGATACCATCTCATTTACACAGTCTGACAAAGAAAATGTTTTAATATTAAAAAAAACTATATGGAGAATCAAGATGGTGGAATCGGGTAAGGACAAGTTTAAATGGATGGAAGAAAACTATGTAAGAATGTGTTTCTAACATCAAGCCCCAGGGCCCACACCCACTTACGTCCTGACTTCTATCCATCCTGTATTTCTCAATCCTTCAGCCTGTTCCTGTGTCCCTCCCATTATGTGCCACCTGGCACAGAAAACAATTCCCTAATTGCGAGTTAGGACTCTTACAGCCATGTCAAATTTTATCAACTCCTGTCAACTGCCACAATGTTTCTCCAATCATTTCTCTTCAGCCTTCACCCCCACCCTTCTGCCCTACTTCTTTGCTCATCACCTGGATTACTCCTAAAAGTCTTCACATCTCCAATACTCCCAATACCTCAGCACTCCTTTCCTCATAACAAAATGGTAATGAGCTTCCCCTCCCACAGAGTGCCTTTCAAAGGCAGACCAACAGCTCTTAACAGCCCAAGCCTGACTGTCTTCTGCTCTCACAACACTCGGCCACCGTCTGTACACCTCAAGCAATGTGACTCACTGACCCCTTCTGCTCTACTGCCTCTCCACCTGGTTAATGTCTACGACTCCTGGCGACTCCTGGCGGTCACAGCTCCAGAGTCTGTAAAGGCTTTCCCAGCTCCCCGAGAGGCACCAGCACCTTTCTCACTGCTAGCAGCCGCCAGCCCACTCCAGCATTTGTCATGAACACCCACACCCACCGCCCCCAAGAGCAGTGACTGGCTTAGCACTGTGTCCTCCACCCTAGCATCTATCAGTCACTTAAGAGTCACACAATAAATATTACAGACAGAAATACTTGGTGGCAAGCATAACGTAATAGGAATTAGGCCTGCAAATATGGTTAAGAAACAACTCGTTACAGATGAATGGAAGCTAGGCAACAGTAAATAATATGCCACTAAAGGCAGGTTAGGAAATTCTAATGACATTATTTCCAGAAAATTCAACAGTGACTATTTTAACAGAAGAGACTGAAGAGACACAACACATCAGAGTAGAAGACACCTTTCAGGACCCAAGTGTAAAGTGTGAGGCCCTACACAAAGGGTGCTGGGTGCCAACAGAGGCAGAGGCATGCAGGACACTCACCTTCAAGACTAACAGCTGCACACAACAGGAGGAAGAAACAGAGAAGACTGAAAGCACAAAGCTTGGAAGGGCATTACATTTAGGATGATAGCATCCTGTTTCTTTTCAATACAATGAGTGGCACAAACTGAAAGGAAATATTCTAGAACTAACACCTGAGAGACAGGCTGCGGCTACTCATGGATGGCCAGCTCCAGTTATTCCACACAACATCACGTCCCTCCTTTACCTCTTGGCTCGCTCCAGGTCATCATTGGCCTGCTCCAGTTCTCTCACATACTTGTGCAGCTGCTCCTTAATGGCCCGAGTCTGGCTTAAATCATCTTCTAACACCGAGACCTGCTTGTAGCTCTGTGCGTACTGATGCTCCAGTTTCTCCTGAAGGCATGCGGGGAGAGGAAAGTGTCAACATTAACACGCAGTGTTTCTCCTTTCTTCTGGGAGAAACGGGGCCGCGGCAAGCCCTGATGGCACAGGACGGCACTCACACACCCTGCCCCAACCCTCACGCATCAGGCGGGTTCCTCCCACCTCACAACACAGACAGTATTTAATAAAAAGAAATAACAACTGATTCAAAATCCCCAACTGTAATAGAACAACTTTGGGGTCCTCAGGCTGAACACAAGCCTGGGTCCGCCAACAGGCAGACTGCCATGCATGAGTTCAGTTCCCACCCCGTCCCAAAGCCACAGCTCTCCAACACAGCAACCACACTCCTCTCACTTGGCTAAGGCAGGCGGAGGAGAACAAAGGGACTAGTCCTTTCTAGTCTTTATTCTCCAAACATTCCTTTCTAGAAGACAAATTTTTAATCCAAATTAAACTCCCAAACTGGAGGAATTATCAGCAATAATAAAATAAATGCATATTTCAGATGCCCTTGAGGACTACAGAACAAGGCAAATCATGTATCAAATCAGGTGGCTCCTGAAACCTTTAGGAATATAATACAACTGCTAGGGACATCACTGCTGGAAAGGTGCCAAGATGAGGTTTCCAAGTGAACCTAAACTCTGAACCACCTGTCTCTTGCTTCTGTGAAAGAATTTCATTCAAACGTATACTAAAAGATTTTGAAAATATTTCTTGTTGCGTGGTGCTCTCACGTATCCTTCCCAGAAACCACACCTCTGATAAACATCCAGCATGCTACACCCCCTCCAGGACGGCCGCAGTTACCTTTAACGCCTCCACCTCATATTTCAATCTTTGGTTATCAGCTTGCAAGTCTCGATTTCTTTGTTCAGCCTGCACTAATTGTGCCTCCAACTCTGCTTCTAATTCTCTGCTTCCTTCCTGGAATTCAACTAGCTCATCCCGAGCTTCCTGAAAGCTAATCAGGAACAAAGGGGGAGACATGAGTTACAGCAGAAACCCCTACAGTAAGGATAATCCCAAAGATTTATAATTCATTCTTTTACATGCATGTTAATGCTCTCATTAAATGCATTAACAAGAAAAACAATCAGTTTACATCTTGAACTCTACACACTGTGTCCAGTGCAGTAAGCTACAGGTCCCCAAGGACGAGGGTCAACGCCATCAACGTCTTCCTCTTCACAGACAGGAGCGGATAAATGCATCTTTTTTCACTACAGCAATTTACAGTTGGCATTTCCTCCAACTGTCTTCAACTGAGATTACAGATGTTCTCACTCCACAATGGAGCTGCTGTCACCATTTCAGATCCAGACAGCTAGTATACCCATGCCTACATCTTTCACCCATTCGGAAGTACATGTGATATTATCACAAATAGCTGGGCAATGTTTCCCAGTGTAACTGGTCGTCTTTACAATTTTTTTTTAAGATTTACTTTTATTTTCATTGGAAAATTAGATATACAGAAAGGAGGAAGAGACAGAGAGGAAGATCTTCCATCCACTGATTCACTCCCCAAGTGCCCACATCAGCCAGAGCTGAGCTGTTGCCAGGGTCTAGGAGCCCTCTTTTCCAGGTCTCCCACACAGGTGCAGGGTCCTAGAGTTTTGGGTTATCCCCAACTGCTTTCCCAGGTTACAGCTGGGAGCTGGATGGGAAGCGGGACTGCTGGGATTAGTTATTATCCAGAAGTTTCCCCAAGTAAATGTGTGAGATTTTACGAAGAGCTGCATGCCTCTCAGGGAGGTGCATTCCTGCTCCCCCAAAGCTTGACTAGCTCCAGGCATGGATCACGCCTGGTAATCGGAGAGTCCGATTACCACCTCCCAACAACCGAACGGGAAGGCAGAATCAGGGCACACAAAGCAAACCACAACAACCCAGCCTAACACTAAGACAAAGCAGGTACCATCAAAAGAAATCATGATTAGCACTAAGTTTTCCTACCATTTTCATCATTTAAACCATATCAAGATTTGTGGTACTTTTATACTACTTAAATACAAGTTATGCTGTGATTATTTCTATAATCTCCACTGTAAATCTAAAACTATAAATATAGCTTTATGTCAAAAAAAAAAAAAAAAAAGAATATACACAAGCCAGACCCAGTATATTCCGAATGCCCAGTGCCCTTTCAACATTACCTTTGCTTATACTTCAAGGAAAGTTCCTTCCAATAAGCAGTTTCCTCCTTTAAACTTGAAAAATCTGGTATATCTTCACCATCCATGATCAAGAAAGCCTGGGAAAGAATCAAGACAAACTGTTACAAATTAGAGAACCTCCCATCTAAGTATAAAATCTGGGGCAACACCAAATCAGCAGCATATCTGAGGAGCTAAATATGAAACAGCCACAGAGTGGTTAACTCCTTCCTGCCCCTCAAGCACAGCAACCAGGAACAACCAAGACTGCAGCCCTGCTCATACCAGGAGACGAGACCAACAAAGTCCTCTGGGGCAAAGCCACATGAGGCACTTCCGGCTGCGGCACTAGATGCTGGGTGACTGGAATCCATGGAACCATCTTGGACACAGCGCACCCACAGCTAGCTTACAGGCCACTGGCCTTGGCGTCAGCAGACATGCACAAGCCCACCGTGAGGAAGGCTGCTCCTGCAGGCCCTTCTCTTCTGTAAGCTATTTCAAAGCATCTGCTTGCAGCATTTTATGCCAGATGACCTTGCTAGCAGGTCAGGCTTCATATTCCCAATAATTTACTACTATCACACTTGAAAAAAAGGTAGTCTTTTTTTTTTTTTCCTCTCATTTATATGAGAAGTAAAAAAAAGACTTTCCAAACCTGGAGCTGAATAGAAGCCACAGGCTCAGTCCAGGTCTCCCATGAGGATTGCAGGAACCCAGTCACTCAGTAACTCCTCCCTTTCGGGGACTGCTGGGGTCAGGAACCAGACGGGGGACAGAATCCAGGTCCTGTGATGTGGAGGCAAGCAACTACACTCCAGGTTGCAATGCCAGCACCAAGGGATCTCTCCAGTCTGAAGCTTCCCCAACGAGTCCACCAACTCTATCTTAAAAATACTTCACCTTGGCTCTTCTCCCAAGGCACTCGGAGAGCAGGGGGTGGGTGTATCTACTTACCTTACATTTGACTGGTCACCTAAAACCCTAGTGACACCATTGTTCCTTACACTTCTCTACCCCAGCCCAAGCAGCCCACTTTTTTTTTTTTAAGATTTATTTATGGGCCCGGCGCGGTGGCACAAGTGGTTAAGGTCCTCGCCTTGCACGCCCGGGATCACCTATGGGCGCCGGTACTAATCGTGGCGGCCCGCTTCCCATCCAGCTCCCTGCCTGTGGCCCGGGAAAGTAGTCCAATAAAAATAATAAAATAAATCTTTTTAAAAAAGATTTATTTATGTATTGCAAAGTCAGATATACAGAGAGGAGGAGAGACAGAGAGGAAGATCTTCTGTCCGATGATTCACTCCCCAAGTGAGCCCAACGGCCAATGCTATGCCGATCCGAAGCCAGGAGCCTCTTCCGGGTCTCCCACGTGGGTGCAGGGTCCCAAAGCTTTGGGCCGTCCTCAACTGCTTTCCCAGGCCACAAGCAGGGAGCTGGATGGGAAGTGGAGCTTCCGAGATTAGAACCGGTGCCCATATAGGATCCCAGCGCGTTCAAGGCGAGGACTTTAGCCACTGGCCACGCCGCCGGGCCCCAAGCAGCCCACTTTTGTATTTCAGCAATACTGTTCAAAATTGTCTTTTAATAAAGCATGCTATTTCAATCTCATATTTTCTCAACCTGAACTGGCACTCCCTTCCTTGCATTTGGAAGTTATTTAGCTTTAAAATCCAGCTGTCACTTTTCCCAGAAATCTCCTCTCACCAAGACAATCTCTTGCATTCTTTACCCCTCCCTCACACAGGCTTTTATAGCTATGCCTATACCACATAGCAATAACTCACTTTCATCTTTGTGTTCCTTATTAGACTGAATTCTTTTTGTCTGCTCATTATTTTCACCTATTAGAAAGGTAGAGCAATAGAAACAGTGGAGAAGGCATCTATCCACTGATTCACTCCCCCAAATGTCCACACTGGCCAGAGCCAGGAGCCCCATCACGGTTTCCCACATGGATGGTAGGAGCCCAAAAGCTTGAACCACCATCTGCTGCTTTACTGTCCATCTACCAGTTTGCTCCCCAAATGCCCACAACAGACAGGACCAAACGAGGCTGAAGCCAGGAACCAAGAGCTCCATCTGGGGCTGGCAGGAGCCAAAGCCCCTGAAACCTCATCTGCTGCTTTCCTGGAGAACATCAGCAAGAAGCTGGGTCGAAGGGCTCTCCAGTTGAGACACAGGCATCCCAAGCAGCAGTCTGACTGACTGCACCTACCTCAGTTTCTCCTTGTTTTCTGCTCTAACACAATGTTTGCACACAGTATTCAATAAAGTCTATGTAACTGAATCATATTTATTCCTATCTATACTAAAGAGCAAGAACTCAATACCCAGGCCCAGCATAATGGCTCAATGGCTAAATCTTCACCTTGCAAGCACCAGAATCCCATAAGAGCACCGGTCTGTGTCCCAGTGCTCCACCTCCCATCCAGTTCCCTGCTTCTGGCCTGGGAAAGCAGAGAATAGCCCAAAGCCTTGCATCCATGTAGGAATGCTCCTGGCTCCAGATCAACTCAGCTCCAGCTGCTGTGGCCACTTGGGGAGTGAACCAGTGGATGAGAGATCTGTCTCTCCTCTCTGTAAATCTAATCTACCTTTCCAATTAAAAACAAATCCTGGGCGAGCATGGTAGCCTAGTGGCTAAAGTTCTCACCTTGCACACCCCGGGATCCCATACGGGCACTGGGGTTCTAATTCCAGAAGCCCCACTTTCCATCCAGCTCCCTGCCTGTGGCCTGGGAAAGCAGTCGAGGACAGCCCAAAGCCTTGGGATCCTGTACTTGCATGGGAGACCCAAGAGGCTCCTGGCTCCGGATTGGCTCAGCTCAAGCCACTGTGACCACTTCTAGTGGATGGAAGATCTTCCTCTGTCTATCCTCCTCTATATATATCTGACTTTACAATAAAATTAAATAAATATTAAAAAAAAAAAGACTAAGATGAAGACAGAATTACAGGACATATGCAAGAAGTATCTATAGGTAAGGCCATAATTCCTTCATCTCCCTGAATGCTCAATGAGATCTTTCTCAAAAATCCCTTAACACGATGGCTCAATGGGCTAATCCTTCACCTACAAGCATTAGCATCCTATACGGGCACCGGTTCTAATCCCAGCTGCTCCACTTCCCATCCAGTTCCATGTTGTTGCCTGGGAAAGCAGTAGAGGACAGCCCAAAGCCTTGGGACCCTGCACCTGTGTGGGAGACCTGAAGGAAGCTTCTGGCTCCTTGGTTTAGACTGGCTCAGCTCCAGTCATTGTGGCCACTTTGGGAGTGAACCAATGGATGGATGACCTTTCTGCCTCTCCTCTCTGTAAATCTGCCTTTACAGTTAGATTAATAATTTTTTAATGCCTTTAAAACTGCTATGATCACATTGGAATTCTCTTTGCCCAGCCTGAAGGAAGCTGATTAGGCGCTTGCGGGCAATGGCACTCCAATGGGAACAGATGAGTATCATCAGAACACCGCCAACCATGTATCAGTATGCACCCCAAATATTTACTTTCTGATCCACCACCCAATCGTGGTTTAATGAAACAGCAGTTTAAGTGACAGAGCAAGCAAACTTCTGTTGCTACGTACTCTGAACAGCAACCATTCTAAGAGGAATGAAATATCAAGTCTCCAGCTGAAGGGCAAGACCTGAGTCTTAATTATATGTCTTAATTCTGGTTGCTGGTGCTCTCAATGGAGAGCTGATTTGACTTTCAATCTCTTTTATTCACTCTTTACCAACTCCTTCACTAACACCTGAACTCCTATTTCAAGGATGAAGAAAGCCAAAGGCAGGTAATTTTTTCTACCTCCCGAAGCACCTCATGTATTAAATCCAGATTATAAAAGCAATCACTTCCAGGTGTAAGAAAAGATGCATGCCCAGCTACAGTCAGTTACCTGGACAAGATTCACACGAAAAACTGCGAGACAATGAGACTCCTGGGGACAACTTTAGAGCTACAGCTCCGACCAGCTACCTCAGCGAGTCCTTCTCCAGCCCTTCGACCTTACATACCAAGGGGTAAGAACCTTCTAACAAATGAGAAAACCCAGCCAGCAGTTTACGTCAGAAAATCCTAAGAGCTACTCAACTGAGAGCAAACAGATAATCCAGAAAGTTGTCTTCCGCCAAGAACTCTGGAGGGAGCTACTCCCAAGTGCTTCCCAGGATGTTCTAAAAGGACAGTGCCATGACCTGGCTCCAGCTCAAGCCACAGTACACAACAGGCTCAGGGTGAAGTCTAGTGCATCAATCCCAGAGAAACGCAGACACAAGGACAGCTCCAGGAAAAACAAGGAGTCCCACACAACAGCTAGCACAGGGCGGGCGCTGGGCAGTGGTTAAGGTGTCATCTGGGACACCTGTGCGCCATTATCAGAGTGCCCAATTCCAGTCCCAGTTCTTGGATAATGTACACCATGAGAGACAGTGGGGATGGCACATGCCAATCCAGAAGATCTAGACTGCATTCTGGCCTCTCACTGCAGCCTGGCCCAGCTCCTGTGGTTGTGGGCACTTGGAGAGTGAATCAGCAGATGAAAGATCTTTGTGCCAATATTTAAAACATTTTTTTAGGTATGACAGAGAAGCTGGATAAACACTGAGGTTGTGAGGAAGGCACAATAACGAGCAATTAGAACTTCAAGAATAAAAACAAAAACCTCAATAAAAATCCAACATAAAACAGCTCTGATGGCTAAATAAAACGACTTTTAAACAAATTATTTCAAGTCTAGCAATTTTAACTTACTGATTTCAGAGGAGGGTACTGGAAAATGCAAGCAAAAATTTTTAATACAAAGTAATTTTTTAAATCCATACCCATAATATACCACATATTTTCCACCACACCAACTTTTTGAAGTCTTTTTATATTATCCTAAGGAAAAGGGATAAGTTCCCTAGCTATAGTCAGCAATAAACTTCCCACCTGGGGTTGTAAATTTGCTGTAAACTTCACACATCACTTTCCTGGCAATGTCAGGACTTGGTAAGCAGAAGCAGTCCCCTTATTTCCATCCTTTAAGATGATACAGATTTTGATGACACCTCTAGTCTGTGGCCTTCCCAAAACACGTGCTGGCTGTCTCCCTAACCTTCAGTCCTCAGGCAGCATCCAAGAGACAGACAGGGATGGCACCTGCCAATCCAGAAGATGGTCCCTTAACCATCGTTCTGCTGCCCCTGGCTTCCACACACGCCTCTCTGGAGCCCAGTGACTAGTGCCACTTCAGTGTGAGACACTTTACCCACTGCAGGATTGTTCAAGTCTTTGGTACCCTCCCCACTACTACGAAGCCTTTAGCAAGGCTGCAGCAGGTGCAGACCCCGGACCAGTGTCCAGATGAGAGTTCCTCTCATTGCAAGACATGTGCCTTTGCCTCTAACCCCCCAACTTCTACAAGTGAATGCTGCATTCCAATGTGAAGCCCACCCTTCTACAAACAGGGTCAGAACTCTTTGCCTGTAACTGTTATTCCCATGTCCACCTTGCAGCCTTCTGCTTGTTTTGACCTGTTACCACAGGATCAGTGGCCCTCCAGGTCAGTTCCTGCTTGAAGAGCAGTTAGCTCAGTCAGCAGTGACCTCGGGTGTTGTCTGGGACATTAGGTCTGGAACACAGACACAGCCTTAAGATAACTACCGACTTCCCCATCAGTGGCCCCTGAGGACCCAGGGTTTAAATGGCCTTTCACAAGAAACTTGCTGAGAATCTATTTCGAACTTCTGCATCCTCTTAGTCCAACTACCTACTTCAGTGATAATTCCCACAAAACTGTTTTCATGTTTTTACTTCATACAAACTATTTCTTGCTGAATCTGTGAGGCCTGAATGTTGTCCACAATCTACCTAGTCAACAAGCTGCCTTCCCAACTTGCTACTGGCCTTCCAACAGTACTGTTACCTATGCCAGAAGCCTTTCACCTAATTGGCCAACATCTTTTCCAGAAGAAACCAATTACACACATTTAACCAATTGCAGTAGAAGATTCTAGTGGCCAAGATTCAGTAACCTGCACTGAAGCCAACTGGCTGGGTATCAAGCCAGACTCTTTCCTCACTAGCTGGGTGCCTGTGAACAAATTATTTAACTACTCAGGACCCCATTTCCTCACCTATAAAATGAAACTAATCCTTACAACAGCCTTGTTTTGAAGCAAGACATTGTATCACAGTACTTGGAGCAAAGCACAGTACACAGTAAACATAGCTTAAATGTTTATCACATTTTTTTAAAATAATCAACAGCAGATTCTTCAAATATGAGAAACTAAACAGACCTGCAGAATTTAAAATATGCAATATTTCCTTAAAAGTACTTCTCTCAGGAAACCTTATATACATATTCCAACAATACTACCGTCACTTAACACATTTATAAAACTTTTTGGGATAGTCTTTAAGAGCCAAATAAGAACTCAGAAAAAATAACCAGAAATCCACATGGGCATACATCCCTCTCAACTATGTGAGCAATGTTTGAAATAGAATTTAAAATTAAAAAAATTTTTTCAGAAAAATATTCTTATGTAATCAGCCCTCATTTAATTGGTATTAGCCAGCTTTAATACTTAGGTTTTACTCATCAAAATCATTCTTAAACATTACAAACGGTGCAATGCATTGAGCCATTTGCAACTTCTGTATCCCATGCCAAAGTGCCCATCCGAATCACTGTTACTGTGCTTTCAATCCAGCTTCCTGATCAACCTGGCAAGGCAGAAACACCTGGGTCCCTGCCACCCATGAGGGAGAACAGGATGGAGGTCCTAACTTGGATCTGACCCACAGATCTGTTGTAGCCACTGAGTATGAACCAGATATCAATCAATTCTCTCGCTCTCTCATCTTCTGTGTCACTGTCTATCAAATCTTTAAAATAAAAATCAGGGGACTGGGCCTGGCAAGATAGTGTAGCAGATAAAAGTTCTTGCCTTGAACGTGCCGGGATCCAGGTCTAATCCCGGAAGCTCTACCTCCCATCCAGCTCCCTACCTGTGACCCGGGAAAGCAGTTGAGGACAGCCCAAAGCCTTGGGACTCTGCACCTGCATGGGAGACCAGGAAGAGGTTCCTGGCTCCTGGCTTCAGATTTAGCCGTTGCAGTCGCTTGGGTAGTGAACCATCGAATAGAAGATCTTCCTCTCTGTCTCTTCCTCCTCTCTGTATATCTGCCTTTCCAATAAAAATAAATAATTTTTAAAAAATCAGGGGACTGGTGCAGTAGCTCAACAGGCTAATCCTTCAAAGTGCTCTGGAGGCTTTGAAAAGCAGTGTCTGTTTGCTTCAAGTTACATCGGGAGGATGTGTTCACTTGCGTTATTTGAAACTATGTAACTGGAGCGATACTAAGGCTGTAGAAAGTTAGCCAACAGCAAAAAATATACTGCCAAAAAAAATATATTCTCCTATTACATAACTCTCAAAGGCATTATATTATACTGCATGTGACCTTCAGATAGCTAACAACTTAAGTCAACTCATGTGAGTTTAAAAGAACCTGTCCAGGCCGCCTCGTTTATGAGGGAACTTCGCTTCCTACAACGGCAAGGCCCATCTATCTGGAGTATCCTTTTCACCATGGCCAGCCGAGCTCTTCCAGGAGTCCCTGCAGGGAGCGCCCGCAGGTTCACAGAAATTCTCCCATTGGTGACATGCCTTTTTTTTTTTATTATTAACGGCTCAAGGTCAATCATAAATACAATCTCCCTGGACCCTGACAGACTTCTTTTTCTACTTTATCAGATGCTCAGAAACTTACATCAGAAGTAATTGCAGGCTTTAGTAACCGGATTTACTTCACATGGTTAAAAAGGGAAGGAGGAGGGGGTGAAAGCCTGGCAGATGAAAGCCATTCCTAAGTTTCTACTGAGGTTTCCACTTCGTTTAAACGCTGCCTGTCCAACTCCACTCTACCTAACAGGCCGAAACACAGAGCTCAGCTACAGATGATTTAGCAAAACTTCATCAAGTCAACCACCTCCAGAGCTGGCCCCAGGTTTTCTTCATTCCTCTTGCACTTCTATTTTAAACAACAATTCTCGTTCAGAGGAGACGGCTTACTTCACTTCCCTTTCTGTCTCTTCAATCCATGACTCAAGGCAGCTTCTGCCCCTGACATCTCACAATTTAACAAAAATCATCCCTCATCTCCTAGGTACCCAGAACAACAAGATGAGACAAAGCAATTAACCGGCAACTTGCAAAGACGCTTCCAAATTCAGGGTTGGTTTTTGGGTTTTTTTTTTTTTTTTTTCTCCTAACGAGTTCTCCTCGATGAGTCTGCCCACAGAATAATTTTAAGTCAGCTACTGCCTTCCGGTAGACCTCTAGCAAGTCAAACCTCCTTGTCTTGCTTTCGGAAAAGCGGGGGGAGGGGGGGAATAATCCCTCTTTGGAACCACTAGTTCCAGTCGGGAAATGTAAACAACCTGATCCAAGTTTGGAAGGAGAGCGAAGGGGGACTCACTTTACCAGCCGCACCTGGGCCCCCTCGCCCCACCCCACCTCTTTGTAAAGAAGATAACGAAATCTGCCACAACTGTGGGGTGAGCAGGTAAGCCGGAGACTGCAAGAAGTGTTCGGAAACGCGTACCAAGGGGGGGGGGGGGGAAGGGCGCTGCAGAAACGCAATGGTGGCATGCACGGCACACTTCCTGGGCAAAACTTAACAGGGTAAATAAGTTACCAACTCGTTCCCCACAGGCAAAACACGAGGGCCAGCAACAAGCCAACCCCTACCACGCAGGCTGGGTGACACCTTTCTGACCTCCACGCCGGGTGACCAGCAGGCCCTTGGGTGGGCAGGAAGGTGGGGGGTCGCGGGCTGCTCCCCCTCCCACGCCAACCCGGCGTCCGGCAGCCGAGGGGACGCGGGTGGACAGCGAGGCGGACCGGGCGCCCCGCACCCCTCGCCCGGGGCCGCCGAGCAATCCTGCCGAGGCCGCCGCGCTCGCTCCCCCGCCTCGGAAGGGGGTCCGTTGAAGCGGTTGGGACAGGCGTCCCCTGGACCTGAGCCGGCTCCGGCCCGGCGGCGGGACCTCGGGCTCCGCCCGGAGAGGGTGGAGGGGAGCCGGGGAGCCGGGGAGCCGCCGTGCCCAGGGCCGTGGGCAGGCCTCGGCGCCGCCGGACCCGGCTCCGGCCTCCCGCGCTCGGGCCGCGCACGGCAGGCTCACCTCCACAGTGTCAAAAGCGCATGTTCGCCGCCGCTCGAGCGCCGTCTCCGCTCCACCGGCCTGGCCAGGCCCGCCCAGCCGCTCGGCTCCGCCGCCCTCCGCAGCCCCCGGCTCAGCTCGGCGCAGCTCGGCGCCCGGCTCCTCCCCGACACGTCAGGAGCCGCCTGGCTGGCCGAGGCCATTCTGTGACGCACACGGCGGGGCGGAGCTCGGAGCATGCGCACGCGAGCGCGCGGAGGCGGGGCGGGGCGTGCCGGCAGGCTCTCGCGCGCTGACGTCAGACGGGCACGTTCTTCTGCGCAGGCGCCGACAGACGCCCCGAGACCTGCTTCGTCCTCTCCTGTTCCCGGAAGTGCTGCGTCCCTCGGGGGTCTTGGAGAGGGAAGGTAGCTGGAGGCAGTACCGGGTCCAGGAGCGGGAGTGGAAACTTGAAAGAGCCGTTTTTAAGAACAGTATTAGGTCTCTGCTTTGTACGATGTGATCCTAATTGCAGTGCTTTCAGGATTGGGTGGTGGGTTTTAGGGGTTCCAAGGTGATGAATTAAGACACGCCTCTGGGTGTAGAGCAACACGAGCCTCAGAAACCCTTTGAGTGTGATAGGCTGCAAGTAAACTAGATCCACGGGATTCATGGGCTCTTGGAAATCTGGCAACTTGAGCCAAACTCTGAAAGGATGCCGGGTTGGGGAGGGGAAGGAAATGATGAGTAATGTCCTTGTGTTGTGCAATTTCTGCACACTGGTAATTGTGCCAATCACTTGGCCTGCATCACTTCATCTTTAAACCGACCGCATTAGACCGTCACATTTAGGTCCATCTTAGAAATGAGGAAGTGAACCCTGGCATGACGAAGATGCCAGGGGTCACTAAACTATAAAGAGGAAGACTCAAGATTCAAACAGGTTTGTCTTCAGCCACCACGCGCTTAGCTAGTTCAACCTTCTGCTCAAGCAGTGAGGCGACCGGTGGGGGGGTGGGGTGGGAAGTGGTGAGCTGCTCTCTCCCTCCTCACTAGGAACCTGTATGTGTTGTCAACAGAGACCCAGGGGTCTCTCTTGGGGTTAAAACTCCAAGAGGTCAGTGGGCTGGGACTTCCTGGAGTAGCATCCAGGCTCCCAGAGAAGATGTTCCTGGGGTGATGGTTCCAAGACAGAAAAGTCCCCTCCCCAAGAGGAACAAATACTGGCTGCAACACTTCGGCTGAGATGCTTGCTGGGAAAGGCAGGGTGACTCTGATTTCAGGCTGGCCTGGCAGTGAGGGTAGGCGTCACCTTGCTGTTGATCCCTGCAGGCGTGCTGACCGCATGCAAGTGAACCGGCTTGGCCTGGTGGGACTCTGAGAGGCGGCACAGGCTCTGCAGTGTCATCCCAAGTCCCTCTTCTTGGTGGAGCTTCTGCCCTGGGTGGTGGGCTCTCGAGCAGAGTAAGATTCAGTGACGTGTGCCCAACCCTCTACTTCTGATATGCCAAACCCAAGAACTGTAATGTGGAAGACAACTCGAAAAGAGACCAGAAGTTGTGAAAAATCAGCCTTATGAAAGTACAAGAGGATGGTGGGGACCACACTGTCCTCCCGCCTTCATAAACCTGTTAGGAAGGGGTTTGCTGAGGCGTGGTCTCCGCCCCCATACAAAGTCTTTGCTTAGCCAAGGTCCTGGTGGGGGGTAGGACAGGAATGTCAACGTGGGGGTGGGAGGTGCGATGCAGTGGGTTATGCAGCTGTTGACAGTGCTGGCATCTCATATCAGGGCACTGGTTAGTGCTGGCACTTCTATCCAGCTCTCTGCTGATGCACTTAGGGAAGCCGTGGGGGTTAATGGCTCAAGTACTTTGGTCCATGTTACCCAAATAGGAAGCTAAGATGGAGCTCCAAGCTCGTGACTTTGTCTTGGCCCAGCCCCTGGCCCATTTGGCTATTTAAGGGTGGACCAGAAAATACACACTTATCTCTTCCTCTCTCTCCATTTCAACCTCTCTTTCAAATAAATTTCTTGAATCATTTTTTAAAAATCACCATTCCTGGGCCCGGCGGCGTGCCTAGCGGCTAAAGTCCTCACCTTGAACGCGCTGGGATCCCATATGGACGCCGGTTCTAATCCTAGCAGCCCCACTTCCCATCCAGCTCCCTGCCTGTGGCCTGGGAAAGCAGCTGAGGACGGCCCAAAGCTTTGGGACCCTGCACCCATGTGGGATGCCTGGAAGAAGTTCCTGGCTCCTGGCTTCAGATCGGCATAGCATCAGCCACTGCGCTCACCTGGGGAGTGAATCATCGGGCGGAAGATCTTCCTCTCTGTCTCTCCTCCTCTATGTATATCTGACTTTCCAATAAATAAATAAAATTTCAAAAAAAAAAATCACCATTCCTGAAAACATGCCACAAGCATCCTAACAGATTGAAAAGATGAATCAATGGTCCAGTGGCTGTAACTCAAAAGCAACTGAATTTGCTGAAAAATGCCCCAAATCAGGAACAAACAACAAAACCCACAGATACAAGAAATTTTCAGTTATGAAACACCAAATTTAGGCGTTGCCAGGATACAAAGGAACTAGAATTGACGCCATAGGCAATTATGCCTTTTCTTTAACCTTCTCTATAACACCTACCATTCGCAATGCAAAATCTCTTGCTTTTGTAATTTAGTCAACAGTTCTGGGGGCTAGAGTTGTGGTGCAGCACTTTCAGCACAAACCACCATTTGTAATGCCAGCATTGCAAATCACAGTGTCAGATCAAGTCCTGACTACTCATTTCCTTGTGGTTAATGTACCTGAGAAAAGAGCAGATGATGACGCAGGTGCTTGGGCCCCTTCTCCTATGTGGGAGACCCAGATGGAGACCCTGGCTCCTGCCTTCAGCCGGGCCCACCTTGGCTGTTGCACGTACTTGGGGGAGTGAACTAGTAGGTAGAAGACTCATCAGTAAACATTTTTGAAATAATCATCACTTAGGGCCCTGTGGGGAGACACATTTTTCCTTGCTCAGGGGCCATGCTAATCTTCGCTGTATCATTCCAATTTTAGTATATGTGCTGCTGAAGCGAGCACAGGGAAGACACATTTTTACAGAGAAATAAAAAGCCTGTCATTCATCAGCTCTGAGTTTCATGCTTGCTGGGTACAAAACTCTGTTCCAAGCCTAGCAGGTTTGTCCTACAAAGCTTGTATGCTAATGGCAACAACAGACAAAAAGCTAATAGACGGGGCCATGCCTTGAACGCGCCCAGATCCCATTTGGACGCCGGTTCTAATCCCGGCAGCCCTGCTTCCCATCTAGCTCCCTGCTTGTGGCCTGGGAAAGCAGTCAAGGATATCCCAAAGCCTTGGAACACTGCACCCATATGGAGACCCGGAAGAAGTTCCTAGCTGCTGGCTTTGGATCTGCATAGCATCGGCCGTTGTGCTCACTTGGGGAATAAATCATCGGACGGAAGATCTTCCTCTCTATCTCTCCTCCTCTCTGTATATCTGACTTTATAATAAAAATAAATAAATCTTTAAAAAAAAAGCTAAGACACAAACATTTCTGTCAGCTCGTGACAATACTATTTTAAAAAACTCATGACCTGGGTCAGAGGCTCAGGTGTGGGGAGGGAGCCCAGACAGGTACAGGGTTCAGTGCTCACGGCAATTTTTTTTTCATGCAGGAAGTTATCAAGGCCCTTCAGGTAAAGCACACCAGGTAGGGTAGGCTCCAGGCCTGGCAGCAGGGTGGGCCCCAGGCCTGGCAGTGTTGGGCACTAGGCCTGACAGTGGGTGAGGCCCAGGCATGGCAATATGGTAGGCACCAGGCCTGGCAGTGGGGTGGACTCCAGGCTTGGCACCAGGCCTGACAGTGAAGATGCCCACAGCAGAGACCCATGGTTTAATTCCCAGTTCTAGCTCCAGACTGCAGATTCCTGCTGATGCAAACCCTGGGAATCCTAGACTGAGATCCTGGCTCTTGATTCCTGGGCTCAGGCCCCACCCCCTCACCCCTGGCCTTTGCAGGCATTTAAGGAATACATTTAAGGATACATTGGATGCAATCTCTTTCCCTCTCTCTCTTTCTCTCTCTCTTCCCATTTCTCCCTCTCTCTCTAATAAATAAAGCAGGGGGAGGAGCGGCACCATGGCATAGGCAAACTAAGCCTCTGCCTGCGGTGCCAGCATCCCATGTGAGTGTTGGTTCAAGTCCCAGCTGCTCCACTTGTGATCCAACTCCTTGCTTATAACTTGGGAAAGTAGTGGAGGATGGCTGAAGTCCTTGGGAATGTGCACCCACATGGGAGACCTGGAAGAAGCTCTTGGTTCCTGGCTTCAACTGCCTTTCACTTCTAGCTGTTATGGCCATTTGGGGAGTGAACCAGTGGATGAAAGATCTTTCTCTTTGTCTCTTCTTGTCTTTGTAACTCTATCTTCCAAATAATTTTTTTTTTAAGAATAAGGGGTTGTTATATAAAATACAACCAACATGTGAAATTAAGAACACACATACATACAAACACAGATGCCTTGAGTAGAGAACTGTGTCCTGGCCAGCTTAGAATGGCCACCCAATAACTGTTGGTATCATAAATTATTTGCTGACTGTTCTACAGAATACCAGAACCTGGTAAATTTGCCATTTTTAATGGCAACCAGTACATGTTTCATTCAAAAAATACCCTCTTCTGATTTTGGGCACAGCAGGTTAAACAGCCCTTTGTAACTCCAGCATCCCATATCAGTGTGCCAGTTCCAGTTCGAGCTGCTCCACTTCCAATCCAGCTTCCTATTCACGCACCTGGGAAGGCAGTGGATGATAACCCAAGGATTGGTGCCCCTGCCACCCAAGTGAGAGATCAAGGTAGAATTCCTGGCTCATGCCTTTGGCATAGCCCGGCTTTAGTTATTGTAGTCATTTGGGGAATAAATTGTGGCTGGAAAATAGATTCTCTCTCTTGCTCTGCATTTCAAAAAAATACATAGGGGCTGGTGAGGTGGCAAAAAAGGCTAATCCTCCACCCTGTGGTACTGGCGTCCTACACAGGCCCCAGTTCTGCTGGTCCTGCTGAGGCTACTGCACTTCGCATCCAATACCCTGCTTGTGGAAAGCAGTGGAGTGGAGAATAGCCCAAAGTCTTGGGAATCTGCACTCTCTTGGCAGAC